CAGCAAAGAAAAGCTAAGATGGTCTGGAGCTCCTGGGTTTCAGTTCACTGAGTGCAAGAATGTAATAGGCATCCAGTGTATGATATGACTTGAAGAAAGATTCCAATTTGAGCTTAGGCTCTGTGTCCCTTAGAATTTCCCTGTCAAAGCCAGTTTTTAAGATGATTAGGAATCAGCCTTCCAGCCATCTGTCTTATCTCCAAGCAGAGACTTTCCTGGTGAAAAATTCACCTCACAGGGGACAGTCTGGATTCCTGGGTCTGCCTACAGTCAGAGGAGATATGAGATTCAGGTAATAGATAGTCTGTGAGACAATGTGTTCTTTGATCCACTCTCTTGAGTTCTAAGGTATGGGACATCAAGAGTTACTCCTTGCCCAGCCAGTGTGGCTCAGTTGGTTCAATATCGTCCCATGCACCAAGAGGTCGCTGGTTTGATTCCAGGTCAGGGCACATGCCAGGGTTGCAGGCTCGATCCCCAGTAGGAGCATGCAGGAAGCAGCGATCAATGTTTCTATCTCTCTCCCCCTCTCCTTTCCTCTCGAAAACCAATTTAAAGACATATTTTAAAAAGAAAGAGAGATTCCTGCTTAATTAGATGTAGTTCCCAATACAGAATATAAGACCCAGGCAAACTCAAGGTTATTCATCTAGATATACTTTTATTGCTTGAGGTAAAAGCATAATGAGCCTTGAGAGCCAGCAAAGTCAGCTCTTCTATCACCTAACACTTCCCAGAAAGATTGATCACTTCTTCCTTGTGTTCTCATCCCAAATAACTTTTTCTCCATCTGTGATATATATTGTTTCTTAAAACAAAAAACTTAAAAAAAAAAAAAAAAAGACCCAGCTTTTCTCTCCTGGCTATAACTTTAATTTGAAGGGAGAGATGGTGATCAAGAAGTACAATAATGATACTTTCTTATTATACTCTCCAAATCAAAGACATCCTCTGGCTAATAGGACCAATAAAAGCCCTCCCATCCCCCTCACTTGCCTCAAAAACAAGACTATGGTTAAGATATCTCCTCTCAAATGAAATTTTCACTTTTCCTCTCACCACCCCCCCAAAAAACCCCCAAAAAACAAACAAACAAAAAAACAAACTCGAAGAAAAAAAAAGTTCTTTATTTCTGTTAGGTATCTCCCAAGCTTAAATGTACTATTAAATCTAGAAGAATTGTTGGAATGGTTCCGGTAAAAATATCACCAGGAAGGTGCTACAGGTAGTTATTTACCTTCAGAGAGGATGACATTCAAGGCTGGCTGTCGCTTAGCGCAGTCTCCTCCTACTCAAGTCCATCTCTTGGCAGCCTCTCCTCTTCTTGTCAACCCCCACTTATAGAAGGAGAGTGTTTGGTAGCGCTTTCCCTTCCCCACTCCCACACTCCGAGGCTTCATCAATAGTTCAGCTCAAACAGGATCAAGTTTCAGACACTCCCACAGCGAGTGAGAAAATGATCCCACCAGATTAAATTGGAGCCTAGATCAGTAGAAGAATATTTCCACAACTCCGCCAGGGCAGGGGCAGCCAAGGCTAATGGCTCCAATGATACCTTCTAAGCAGGATCACATGAGTGGGAAAAGATGCCAGCTATTTGGTCTATTCAGTCACTCTCTGGATTGGCAGCATCCCTGGAAAATGGTTAGAAATGCACACGCTTGGGCCCTCATCCCAACCTCAGTGAATCAGAAACTCTGAACAGGTTGGCATCAGTGTTTTCGCCAATTCGTCCAGGTGATGGTGATGTACGCTCAAGTTTGAGAACTACATGTCAGCAAGGACAGTGACGCTCCAAAATGTCTCCTTTTCCTCAAAAAAGAATTTACTTAGGACATCTGGATCAGAAAAGTCAAAACGATTTCATTGAGCTTTAGTTATTATACATGTTGGCAAAATTTACCTTGTTTCCTCTAAGGTTTTATTTGGTTCATTGTAAAAACTTCTATAGGGTGTGTGTGTGTGTGTGTGTGTGTGTGTGTGTGTATGTGTGTGAGTGTGTACACACCCTCATAAATATACAGAATACTTATGGAGGGACATACTCCAGGGCTTCAAGATGAGAAATTGAGTGGCTTATATACTACCATGTGTATATTGTCTACTCAGAATTTCTTTTTTCAAGTAGATAAATTTTCAAAATATCACACCTTAAAAAATAACACTCCTGAAAAATGTGCTATATTTAATAAATATTTACTGATTGTCCACCATGTGTCAATCACTGTGCTAGATGCTAGGGACAGAATGGAGAATAAAGTATGGTTCCAGCCCACAAACTCTTATTTTTTGAAATAACACTAAATATAATAATTTAAAAATATTTTCAGTTTCCAAATCTCTCTTGATCTTGACCATATGAAATTGTGTGGAAAAGCTGAGGGAAGGTAAGGATCATACCTCTTTCTTTCCAGGATAGAAAAAAACTAAAGCCTGAAACAAAATCAGACTTGGGCTTATTATAATAGTTATTTATTTAGTGATGGACCTTAAAACAAAATTACATTTTTTAAAATAATTATAAATGTAACATAAAATCATATCACATCCAAACATTACAGAAATACATACCAACAGTTAGATCTTCTATTAATCACACTCTCCAGAGATACACGGTTAACAGTCTGGTGGCTTTCTCCAGCTTTAATTTTTAAAATTATTTTATTTTTATTGATTGGAGAGAGAGTGAGAAATACTTTCACAGCCCTAACCTGTCTCCTTGTCTTCCCTAGGGCCATGCTCACTTCTTTTCTTGTGCACATATATTTTCTTGCATTTCTTATTTGCCCCTCAGTCTATAGACATATTTTTTCTATTCCCACCCCTACCCTGTTCTCCACCCCTGCTACCATTTGATCACTTTCTCTTCATTGCCGTATTTCTTGAAAGAGTGGTGTATGCTATCTACCTGCCTCTATTTACTCACTAGCTATTCACTTATCACTCACTGGAACTATGGTTTCTCCTCCCTTACTCTCTTTTGATTTGCTATTCTCTTCTCTGAACATATGGTGCTATTGCTTAAACTCTTTTATCTTTTTAAAAAAATATATATTTTATTGATTTTTTCAGAGAGGAGGAGAGAGGGATAGAGAGCTAGAAACGTTGATGAGAGAGAAACATCCAACAGCTGCCTCTTGCACACCCCCTACTGGGGATGTGCCCCGCAACCATTGTACATGCCCTTGACCGGAATCGAACCTGGGACCTTTCAGTCCGCAGACCGACGCTCTACCACTGAGCCAAACCGCTTTCAGCGAAACTCCTTTATCTTGAAACTCCTTTGGCTTCTACTGCCCTGCTCTTTCCAGGTTGCCTCTCCCTTCTTGCTTAACCTGAAACAAGTATTTTTGAGGCATCCTTTGTGTCCTTTTTCTTATTTCCTTTAACTTTGATAATTTCATTCTCTGCAACTACTAGTCTCTTGCAAATGATGCACTGTTTAGACTAGGTCCCTCTCTTGGGCAGATGCCCTACAATTTTATACGATGAATAAGCATTTTTGCTTGGCTGTCCCAACTGAACAAATCTGAACTTCTAGTTAGCATCTTGTTATTGATATCATCCAAAAGCTTTCTTGGATATCTCAGCTTTTTTTTTATTCCATATACAATTACATAGAAGTCCTTGTTGGTATTGTCACAATAGCATTTATGGCAATCATTTCCTTTTCAGTATCGTTGACCTGTGTCTAGTCCTTAAAATTCCTCCCCTGAATTTTTGCAGTAGCTATTTACCCAAGTGGATTTCCTGCTTCTAGTCTCTCATCTTCCCAAAATAACCTGGATCAGTGTTCTTTATAATTTTAGCTGCCAGGAGTAGGGTTTCCAGATAAAAGATACTTTTTTTTAGTATAAATATGTCCTGTGCAATATTTAGAACATACTTTTACAAAAAGTTATTTGTTGTTAAAAGTTCAAGTTGTTTGAAGTAATTTTTAAAAATACATATTTTTATTAATTTCAGAGCGGAAGGGAGAGGGAGAGAGAAGCATCAAGGATGAGAAAATATTGATCAGCTACCTCCTGCACGCCCCACACTGGGGATCTTGCCTGCAACCCGCTTTGCTGCTGTTTCATTATCTCCAAAATGGAAATACTACAGTAATAGAATCGACCTCACAGTTTTGTTGGGAGGTTAAGTGAGTAAATGCATATAAAGCAGTTTTAGTCAGTGTCTGGCCCGAAGTACTCCACGTTTCCTGTTAGAAAATAAATCTGTGCAGTCCTCATTTTATCACTTCCCTACTAAAATCCCGTCACTGTATCCCCATCTTTGACCAAAGAAAGTTCTCCCCACTCAGTCAAAATACCTTCTTGCCTTCTGTTTTTTGACTTTCGGCATCTCCCTTATTACACTGTGAGTGCCGAGATCCTCCTGCACTAACCAGTACTACAGCAGACATTTGAAAATCAGTTACTGATTTTTTTTCACCAGGGACCCATGTCTTTAAAAGGGGAAAAACTATAGAAACTATTAGAGATCACCACATGAAATGTAGGCATTTAGAGCGCCTAGCGCGGACTTTACAAAAACCAATCGTCTGCAGAGTGGCCAGCTGGGCGAATCCACCACCGAGCGAAGCATGTTAGTAAAATTGTTTTTCACTGACGTTTCTCATCGCTGACCTCTGATGCCCAAGAGGTGGGATTAGGAAGACAGCTGACTCCTTCCTCGCCCTCCCTCCCTCCACCGGACCGGCTGGTTCCGCGGCCAGCCCTGCCTGTGGCCGACTTGGCGTTCCCATTGGCCAGCTTCCCCGAGGAGGCGGGCCCTGACCGTGACTCCGCCCCCAGGTGGGCGGGGCCACCCCGCCGCCGGGTCTGGGGACGGTGGGGGTTGTTGTGGCCGCCATCTTGGGTTCCGCGGTAGCGGTGGCGGCCGTAGGGTGCCGCGTCGGGGAGTGGCTCTTCCCTCCTGCTCCCCCCTCCCGCCCCGTTCGGTGTCAGTGGCTCCTCCCACCGGAGGGGGGTGGCGGGACGGCGGTGGCACCTATGGCCATGGCGGCTACAACTGCTAATCCCGGTGAGGAGACGGGGGACCGGGGCTCCTCCGGGGGAGGAGGGGCTGACGGGGTTGGCAACTAAGGTGGACCCTGGGCTGAGGGGCCGCGGTGGGAGCTGAGGGCACGGGGGCGCGTGGGGGCCGGGAGGGGGCCGTGGGGGATGGGGCTGACCTGCGGGAGGGGCCTGACCTGGGGACTTCACTTGGGGAGACTGGAGTCGGAGAGGGAGGCGGCCGGCGGGGAGTCGGGGGGCTCCGCACCCCGAGTTCTGTTGGCGCTGGTGTCCCCTTCCCACCCTGCCTGTGCCCACGGGCGCCGCTTGACGCCAGGTAACTGGGGAGAGTGGTTCAGGTCACTTTAAAAAGTAGTTTAGACTCCTGAACCCCGGACCACGTTGCTGTCTATCCGAAGGGGTCCTTTCAGACGTTTAGGTTTAAATGTAAATTTAAGAATTCTCTGAATGTGTTCGCACCGCTTCTCTGGGCTGTACCCTGCCCCCCACCGCTCTGTACCCTGCCCCGCCACGGGCTCTGAAACCTCTGTACGAGAGGCGCCTCTTCAGCTGCGGAGGTTTGAGAAATGGTTTGAGTTCAGGGCAGATCTTAACAGCAAGCATTCAGAACCCCCCGTTTAAATACTGATTTAAACGGTGAGGGGTCGAAGCATTCCCCCCTTTAAGAGTTAAGTCCCATCATCTTTCAAACATCTTTTCAAAAAGGGGAGCTTGGACACTGAAAAAAAAAAAAAAAAGAAGAAGAAGCCATTCATGTCCTAAGAGATGGAGTGAGGTGTATGTAGTGCATCAGGTTCAGACAAATCAAATTCCTAGTCCCGGTCCTCTTTCCACTGAATTACAGTTATTTGCCCATAGGAAGTATTTCATTTTAGGGACCCCAGTTTTACCGTGGCCATTTTCTTGCAAAATGAAATCCCTTCTTAGAAATCCCTGCCTCTAATAGACTTAACAGGTGGGGATGGATTTCTTGAAAATACAAGTGGAAGGGATTCAGTGCTGTCCCCACGTTGCAGTTTAAATTGGATTTCTTTGTGTCTGCAAAGTCAGTATTATTTTGCAATACCCAGGTTTTGCTTTAATAGTTGAATCACTGTGACATTTACTCTTTCCTACCATGTTTCTGGGAATAGAATTACTTAAGTTATTTTGTCACATGTCAGTATCTTTTAAGTTTTTTTTTTTTTTTTTTTTTAAAGGAAAAGGAGATAAAATCCTATTGTAGGAAGTGCTTAGTGATGGAATCAAATCGGAAAGATGCTATTATTATAGCCTTATCGTAAAATAACCTAAATCCTAACTTGGGAGTAAAGAAACAAGATTTTAAATTGATAACACATTGCAAAATACTTATATAATCCTAGTCAAGTTGCAAAGCAGTTCTGTTACTAAGTCGTTGCTTGGTAAACAAGTTCTGTGCATATGTCCGGATTCCCCCCCACCAATAGTGTAGGTGGGGTTGCTTTATTTTGGGGTGTGTGTGTGTGTGTGTGTGTGTGTGTGTATTTTTTTTTTTTTTAACAGTAATCAGAATGACAATCACTTGACCCACATTTTTATTAGCTGATTAATATCAACTTAAATCTGTAAGCAAAAAATATTGTGCGTGTTTCGAATCCTTGCTAATGAAACAGTTGATTTTGTTGATTGCCCATTGACAGTCCACTTCTGCAATTTTTAGATTTATTTTTTGATGTTGAAAAATTCTTCGAACTCTTCCAAGTTATTGATCTCATGTTCAGCACATTATAATGAAATCAGAAAATGTATTTTTTTCTTCATTTCTTTTGCTACTTTATATCAAAAGAAAAAGATCATAGATGCAGTGTGGACTTTTAATAACCTGTTGCTTTTTTGGAAATGAGGATCATGAATGGGAGGAAATGTACTGTGCTCAGTGAAAAAATAAATAGTTTTCAGGTCAGAATTCTTTGTCACATGGAAACCTTTTCTTAGAGCCATTTTAGGGAATAGCGACATTATACTTTTTCTTTGAGTTTTTTCTACTTTTTTTGGTTGGTGGTTATTTCACTTCATGTTCTATCTTATCTTTACTTATGTCTGCAAAGGGCTTTTGTACTAATTAACTGTTCTCTCTAAGCTTCATTTAAGTTAATCCTTAGCATTTATAACAATACTTGATCATTTTAACTGTGCTCTCGGTGGCCTTTAGTATCTTGCAGGGGACCTGTTTTCTTTGCATCTTCACTGTCTTAACATGATGCTGGATCAAGAGAAATAATAAGAAATGGTTTATACTCTACTCTCTATTAAGAATTATGCTGGTCCTAGCTGGTTTGGCTCAGTGGACAGAGCATCGGCCTGTGGACTGAAGGGTCCCGGGTTTGATTCCAGTCAAAGTTGGATGCCCAGGTTGTGGGCTCGATCCCCAGTAGGGGGTGTGCAGGAAGCAGCCAATCAATGATTCTCTCATTGATGTTTTTCCTCCCTTAATTCTGGTACTCTCTTTAGTAGAGTTGTTGTTGTTGTTTTTTTTTTTTGTGCTATCATTAAGTACCATTTATTGTGGATGGAAAATGTGGTAGAAGGCAAAGGAAAGATTACTTTAGGGTTTGTAAGGCTGACATTTAGGGAAAAATTTTCTTTTCACATAATTTTTGCCTACATAAATGACAGTTTTAAAAGCATCAATTAACAATTTATATAGTGTAAAATTAAGATGCCAAGATACTTTGTATTATATTCTATTACAAACACTTTTGATAAATTACTAATTTACTAATTGAAATATAATTAACATTTTTGAAAAAAGAACCTTAATCTGCATACTTTTTATACTATTAGATTGGCATCAACCTGAATCTTCTCCATTTTCTTAGAAATTAAGAAGTAAATACTTCTGCTTTCTTTCAACTCTAGTTTTGTTGTTGTTTTGAAATAGTGGACTCAGCTTGGTTTTTCAAATTCCAATCCTACCCTTCTATCAGCCCATCAGATGAAACTAATATGTTATTTTGTGAAAGTTTTTTTATGGTTTTCTGCTGTGGATCACTATCTTTTAATGCAGTAACAATAGGAATTTCCACTGTAGTTGTCTTCAAAAACTGAATTGCAACACTCAAGAAACAAAACCCTTTTAAAAGTTATTTTACTTAGTCCATGACATGTTGGGGTTAATTTAAAAACTAGTGAAATTTGAACTAAGCTTTCTTATTTAAAAGACATCTTTAATTGAATAATCTTTAACATACTCTTTTTTTTTTTTTGCTCACCAATATTTCCTCATATATATTTCCCTTTTTAACTTTACCTTTTATGATGATCACAGTTTTGTATTCTTTTATGTATTCAGTTGTCATATCTTTTTTTGCATAAAATATTTTGCATATAATATTTAAAATAGCCATATTTAAATGTTTAAACATCTAAATGTTTAAAATTATTATTATTATTTTTTTATTGACTTCAGAGAGGAAGGGAGAGGGAGAAAAAGATAGAAATATCAATGATGAGAGAGAATCACCCATCCGCTGCCCCCTGCATGATCCCTACTGGGGATTGAGCCTACAACCCGATCATGTGCTTTGACTGGGAATCAAACCCAGGACCCTTCAGTCCACAGGTCAACATTCTATTCACTGTGCCGCAGCAGCTAGGACTAAAACTATATTATATTATTTTATTTATTTATTTAAAAATATTTTTATTGATTTTTTTACAGAGAGGAAAGGAGAGGGAGAGTTAGAAACATTGCTGAGAGAGACATATCAATCAGCTGCCTCCTACACACTCCCACTGGGGATGTGCCCACAACCAAGGTATATGCCCTTGACTGGAATCGAACTTGGAACCCTTGAGTCTGCAGGCTGATGCTCTATCCATTGAGCCACACCAGCTAGACTAAAATTATTTTAATCATAATTATTCATGTGTATATTAACTGTTCTACATGATTTGTTGCAAAAACAGCAGTCTTCTACTCTCTTCTCTCAGTTCCTTCCCAGTGACAACCATTTTTATATCTTTTAATCAAACTTTTGTTTTAATTAAATGTCCCTGAAGTGAATCCAGTTTTCAAACTGAAGGGGCCAGACCATGGAATCAAAACAAACCACATCAAGGCATATTATTACAAAACTGCAGCATCATATGCAAAGAGCATCCTACAAGCTCCAGAGAGAAAAAAAAGAAAGTGGGTCATTTCAAAAGATTCAGGAATCATCTTGGTCTTGCTTCTCAGTAGTCACACAGGAAAGTAGAAGACAATGAAGCAATGCCTTCAAAATTCTGAGGCAAACTAATTTCCAACTTAGAATTCCCTATCTAGGCAAACTGTCAATTAGTGAAATAGAAGAAAGGTATTTTCATCCATCCATCCAAGGTCTCCCTTACACTCTCTCAGGAACTCACTAGAGGATGTGCTTCACCAGTAGGAGAGAGTACCAAGAAAGAAGAAACTGAGGACAGGAAAGAGGCAGGACCTTAGGAGAAGAGAAGCAATCATTTTACATACACTGCAGTTAGTTTCCCGGTTTTCAGTTTGGACCCTCACTTTCCTCTTTGCCCAGTGTTCTCCAGATTGGAGGACCTCTGGTTTACATTCTCCAGAGAATCAATCACTCTTTTGACAGGGTGAAGGAGGGACAGTTTTTCTAGAAGGAACCAGGGAGGGAGAGGATCTGGGAATCTACCTGCTGCTTAAACAGATGTTGAATCAATCCTTTTAATTTTGGCTTTTATTCCTCTGGCAATCCCCCTCCCCCCCTTTAGTCACCAGTTCCTAGACTGTGGGAGATTTTACCATGTAAATTGCATTTTGTTTTCTGCTTTTTTCCTTGCGGGCTTAGGAGTGAGTTCTTGTGGGTCTACCAAGGAAGTTGTCCCCATTTCCCAAAAATTTATTCTTCCTTTCTTCCTCCCATTTTTCTATCCATGTGGTTTTATATTGTATAAAACTGTTTTTCTCATGTATATGTGTATATATTTGGGGGGTGGGGGAGAGAAAGTAGATGTATACATTTAATCCACTATCGTTATTAAGTTGTATAGTTTTACAATTTTAGAGGTTCCTTTACCTTTTCATCCTACTGTCATACTAATTTAGGCCTTTATCACCTCATTTTTTAATTTTTTAATTTTTATTGATTTCAGAGAGGAAGGAAGAGAGAGAGAAACATTCATGATGAGAGAGAATCATGCATCAGCTGCCTCCTGCAAGTCCCCACTGACGATTGACCCTACAACCCGGGCATGTGCCCTTGACCGGAATCAAACCTGGGACCTTTCAGTTTGCAGGACGATGCTCTATCCACTGAACCAAACCAGCTAGGGCTATCACCTCATTTTTTATTAGTCTAATTCATCTTCCTACTTCTATTACTTCAAACTTTAAATCTATCAGATTAATCTTTTAAATTATATTTTTCTTATCACTGACTTAATGGTATATCTTGCAGTTGTTGAATCAGATCTAAGATGTTATCATGCATTCAAAACCTTCTCACAGTTGGGTAGCACTTGACATCTTATTTTTTTCTCCTAAATATAGACTCTAGGTTCTTTGTAGGACTGTTTCCCTACAGCTCTTCACAGCTATTTGCTCTTCATGCCTTTTTGTCTGTGTGGACTGTCTCCTTTACTTTTTTTAAGGCCCTGCTTGACCTACCTTTCTTGAAACTTCCTGACTGGCTGCCTGCCTGCCTTGTTTCCTTTGGGTTTTCCTTCCTATTGAAGACCTTCTCTGCACTAGGGACTATGCCAGACTTTAATTTAAACCATGGCAGAGTCATCTTTTCTTCCTCTAAATTCTAACTATTAGAGTCTATGTAAACTATTACTAAAAGTATGAACTTTATTTTTTTAATGGGAATATTTTGCTTTTTCTTAGGAATGTTATTTATTTTATTTATTTAAAATTTACAGGATGAAATAGAAAAGTAGACCTATAAATTAGTAAAAATTTGAAGAATTCCCAAAACCCTGTGCTAGTAGAGGTATGGATAATTTGTTACTGCTTAGGCTCTTAATTGGTATAACCTTCTTGGAAGGGAATGGGCTCCTTTAGATCCAGCCAGTCATTCAGAAATTTGTCAGTATGGGAATACTACTTGCATCAGTGCTTACATGAGGATATTCATCAAAACATTTATGATAGTGTCAGGAGATATGACCAATTAGCTCACAAATCTGTAGGAATAACTTGTCTAAAGAAAGTCTGATGTCTTCTTTAGAAACTTAGATGATTGATTTGACTTTTCCTCTTTTCTGACATAAGCATTTTCGTGCTATAAAATTTCCTCTGAGTACACCTTTTGCTGTGTGCCACAAATTTTGCCAACTTGTATTTTCATTTGCATTTTAGTTCAGTGTATTTTTATTTCCTTTGAGACTTCTTCTTTGATTCTTTTAAAAAATATATATATATATTTTATTGATTTTGTACAGAGAGGAAGGAAGAGAGAGAGTTAGAAACATCGATGAGAGAGAGTCATCGATCAGCTGCCTCCTGCACACCCCCTACTGGGGATGTGCCCACAACCAAGGTACATGCCCTTGACCGGAATCGAACCCGGGGCCCTTCAGTCCCCAAGCCGACGCTCTATCCATTGAGCCAAACTGGTCTCGACTCTTCTTTGATTCTTTGTTTAGAAGTGTGTTTAGTGTCCATGTGTATGGAGACTTTCCTTTTAATTTTTGTTACTGATGTCTAGTGTGATTCCATTGTAGTTGGAAAACTATAATCTATGATTTCAAATCTTTTATATTTGTTGATGTTTATTTACTGGCTTAAAATGTGGTCTATCATGGTATATGTTCTGGGGACACTTGAAACGAATGTGTATGTGTTGTTGAGTGGAGTGTTTCTATAAACATTAATTTCATAATGTTGAGTTCTATATCTTTGCTGATTTGTCTCTCTAATTATTCCATCAATTTTTAAAAAATATATTTTTATTGATTTTTAGTGAGAAAGGAAAGGAGAGGAAGAGAAGAGAAAAAGATAGAAATATCAATGAGAAATACTGATTATTGCCTCCTGCATACCCCTCTTGGGAATAGAGCCCCAAACCCAGGCATGTGCCCTGACTGGGAATTGAACCAGTGACCTCTTGGTCCATGGATCGATGCTCAGCTACTGAGAGGCATGTTGAAGTCTCCAACTATAATTATTTTATCCTTTCTGTTCTATCAGTTTTTATATAACATATTTTTCAGCTCTTTTATTTGGTGTGTATACACCAGGTGTCTTCTTGGTGGATTGAATCTTTATTATATAACTAGAGGCTTGGTGCATGAAATTTGTGCACGGTACGGTCCCTAGGCCTGGCCTGCGATCAGGGCCTTCTTTCCCAGCTGCTGCAGCTAGCCCCACTTCCCACCCCATTCACCATCAGGAGCTAAGTTATATATATTTGTTGCATGAATGCAATGTATAATCTAATTTGTGTATATGTTTTAGATTAATATTATGTAACCATTAGAAGTGTCTAAAAGTGAAGTCTGCAGAATATATATAGTACTTTCTCTTCCAACCTGGGAAATCGTTTACCAGGATAAGAATTCAAGAAGAGAGATCTGGACATGAACATTTGTGTTTCCTAGCAAACTACTGTGATTTTTATCTATAACTTGAGCCTTTCTTCTGGACAACTTGATCATGATGGTAATAGTGATTATGAGCAAGGACCATCTTTTTAAAATGTGTTTTCTGCTTTTCACTGATAGAAATGACGTCAGATGTATCATCACTGGGTCCAGCCATTGCCACTGGAAACCCTGGGCCTGGGATTCAAGGTGGAGGAGCCATTGTACAGAGGCCTATTAAGCGGCGACCAGGGTAAGCTTGGGATAAATTGTGTCATGAGTGTCTCTCCCAGTAACCAGCCTGACTTACTTAGTAGCTGAACCCTTTTTTTCTTCAATATTTTATAATTACAAAAATATATATTTTATTGATTCTTTTACAGAGAGGAAGGGAGAGGGATAGAGAGTTAGAAACATCGATCAGCTGCCCCTTGTACACTTCCTACTGGGGATGTGCCCTCAACCAAGGTACATGCCACCTGTAGGTCTGTGGTCCGACATTCTAACCATTTAGCTATGTGGCCCATGGCTTAATTTTTAAAATATAGAATTGATGTTTTTGTCTATTATTTTTTAATCCTCACCTGAGGATATTTTTTCCATTACTTTTCAGAGAGAGTGGCCGGGACCCTTCCACGACCCTTTGGTTTCTGGGATGACACGCTAAACATTGAGAAAACCGTTCAGGGCTTGTCTAAGATTCCTATAAGTCTTTTTAAAAGCAAAAATTTCTGCAATGTAAAGGACTATGAATGTTACTGAGAAAATTTTTACTGCTTTCATTAAACTTTGTGTTTGCATTTTCAAAATGTTTTTGATAAGGCTGTCTACATTTATGAATTTATAGAATTCTGAACCCTAGAACAGTTCTCTAAGTTATTGGCATGTTTATTTAAAAAAAAAATGTTTTTATTGATTTCAGAGGGAAAGGGAGAGGGAGAGAGATAGAAACATTGATTGGTTGCATTCTACACCCTCCTTACTGGGTTATCGAGCCTGCAATCTGGGCATGTGCCCTTGACTGGGATGGAACCCAGACTCTTCACTGTGCAGGCCAATGCTCTATCCACTGAGCCAAACCAGCTAGGGCTGATATGTTTCTTGATTTCGAATGCAGAGTCTACTCAGTTCCAAAAGTATTTATGAAACGCCTGATTAGCATAAGGCATTGGGCTGATTGCTAGTAGGATATGAGGGTAAATAAGACACAGTCCTTTAAGTTGCTTATGAACATAATCAACTGAGAGGGATCATCATTACATACATAAATACAACACAAGGTAAAATATGCCAAGTTTGCTAAGAAAGAAACAAGAAGACTGCTGTGTCTCACAGTATGGGAATGCCATCATTGGTTGGTAAAGATTGGGAAAGACTTCAGAAAGGAGGTTGCTTTAGAAAGGCCTAGAAGCATGGGTAGTATTTTTATCCATTTTTTGGCATTTCCTTTTTCCTTTTTAAAAATTATGTAGTTAATATTATAGCTAGTCTTTAAGTTTTAGCTCATCAATAGTAATGCAAGAGTGATTCCTGGATTAAGGTGGTAACATGAGTAACATATTAAGACTTGTTATGTCTCTAAGGGCTTTACACATTTTTAACTTAATTTACCGAGGCATAGGGTGGATAAGTAACCTATCCAAGGTTCTAAAGTAAGGGGAAGATCTGTGATGTGAAACTTGGGAGGTTAGCTTTAGAGTCCATTCTCTTAAATACAGTGTTATGGCTATAAAAAAAAAAATCACAAAAATTTAGAATCAATATGAATATCAAAATTAAGGGCTTAGTTAAGTTACAGTATATTTAAAAAATGGTGCCGAAACCGGTTTGGCTCAGCGGTAGAGTGTCGGTCTGCGGACTGAAAGGTCCCAGGTTCGATTCCAGTCAAGGGCATGTACGTTGGTTGCGGGCACATCCCCTGTAGGGGGTGTGCAAGAGGCAGCTGGTCGATGTTTCTCTCTCATAGACGTTTCTAGCGCGCTCTCTCTCTCCCTTCCTCTCTGTAAAAAATCAATAAAATATATTAAAAAATGGAGTACTGGCCCTAGCCAGTTTTGCCCAGTGGATAGAGCATTGGCCTGGGGACCAAAGGGTCCCTGGTTTGATTTTGGTCAAGGGCACATACCTTGGTTTCAGACTCCAAGCACTTTTGATGTTTCTCTTGAAATTATCGTGTTTTCTTTGATCGCAAAATCCACATTTTAACCAGTACACCTGGTAGACAGATATTTAGGGACTGCAGGGAGGAAGAGGGACAAACACTTTCAGGATTGTTGCTGCATACTTATATACCCACCTAGAGGACCATAATACCAATTTGTCACATTAGTGTAGATACAAGAGATCACTGAATTAAGGTGCTAATATAATGTTTAAGTTTAATAGGGTACAGAAATTAATAGGAGGTTGGTTTTACCTTGTTACCTATAATCTTTCCTAGTTTCTTGAAATAAAAGTCACCTCTGCTTTTGGCACTTTCATTGAACAGCAGTAGCACATTGATTATGCTCCTTACTTGTATTTGCTTTATATTTGTATTTGTGTATACAAATAGTTCCTTGAAGGCCAGTCTCTTGTTTTCACCTCATCTAGTACAGTCAGTGTCTTGACTGTAGCATAAATTATAAGTTTATTAGAAAAAGCAGTATTTAACCTTTTGAGGTATTAAATCACTCTCTTATGTAATATTACTATTAGGAAGATGTTTCAGAAATCTGGTAACACAGCTTAGAGTAGTCCATAGAAATGAGAAATGGACTTGAATTATTCATATAATTTTTTTTTTTTTTAGTGTGTTTCTACTCCTTTTGTAGAGATTGTATTACTCAGATGTAAAACTTGGCAAAGGTTGACTGCTACCCTGGGAGAATGTAAGGTAGCAGTAGGTACTCTTTTAAAAGGGAGAGAGGGAGAGAGAGAACAGCAGTGATGAGAGAGTCATTGTATTAGCTGTCTCCAGCACACCCCACACTGGAGATCGAGTCCACACCCTGGCATATGTCCTTGACAGGAACATCTGACCCTTCATTCTGCAGGCTGATGCTCTATCCACTCAGCCAAACCAGTGAGGGCGGTACTCTTTTTTGATTGCCCAGTTTCTTTGTCCAGTTTGGTACAGCTAAGAAGAGGTAACATGGCTTTATTTTACTTCTGTCTACTATTTTCCTTCTTTCATTTGGATGGGTGTTCAAGAAGCTTGTAGGTTGAGAATTTAAAAAAAAAATATATTTTATTGATTTTTCACAGAGAGGAAGAGAGAGGGATAGAGAGTTAGAAACATCAATCAGCTGCCTCCCACACACCCTGCACTGGGATGCGCCTGTAACCAAAGTACATGCCCCCGACTGGAATCGAACCCGGGACCCTTCAGTCCGCAGGCTGATGCTCTATCCACTGAGCCAAACCGGTTTCGGCAGGTTGAGAATTTTTAATTTCTTAATGTTATATATTGTCAGTAGGCTTATACTATTTATTGTTGGCTTTCCCTAGGTTGGATTTTGATGATGATGGAGAAGGCAACAGTAAATTTTTGAGGTAAGATTTTGAAAAACTTTCTCTAGATTTCTGATATTAAAAATTAGTTCATGATCTTTATATTTCTTTCTTTCTTTCTTTCTTTCTTTTTTTTTTTTAATCTTTAAACCTAAGGAGAATGCTTCATCCTAGAACTAAGTTTTTTTTTTTATATTGTATTCCATGAAATTTTCAAGCATTCTTTTATTTATTTATTTATTTATTTATTTATTTATTTATTTAAAATATATTTTATTGATTTTTTACAGAGAGGAAGGGAGAGAGATACAGAGTTAGAAACATCAATGAGAGAGAGTCATCGATCAGCTGCCTCTTGCACACCCCCTACTGGGAATATGCCCGCAACCAAGGTACATGCCCTTGACCGGAATCGAACTCGGGACCCTTTAGTCCTCAAGCCGACGCTCTATCCATTGAGCCAAACCGGTCCCGGCTCAAGCATTTTTTTAATAGCTGCAAAGGAAGGAGCTCTTTGAGGGGAGGGCAGAGAATTTACAATATCATCAGTGTTATCTATTGCTGTGTGTTTGGCTTAAAAACAATGATTTCTTATTTCTCAGAATTCTGTAGATTGGTTAGGTCCGTGGTCGGTAAACTGTGGCTCTCAAGCTACATGGGGCTCTTTGGCCCCTTGAGTGTGGCTCTTCCACAAAACACCACGGCCTGGGCGAGTCTATTTTGAAGAAGTGGCATTAGAAGAAGTTTAAGTTTTAAAAATTTGGCTCTCAAAAGAAATTTCAATCATTGTATCGTTGATATTTGGCTCTGTTGACTAATGAGTTTGCTGACCACTGGGGTAGGTGGATAGTTATTATGCTAATCTTTCTTAGACTCACAATACCATGTTCAGTTGGCTGGTCAGCTGGGAACTTGACTCAACTGACATGGGTAGATATCTCTTTGTGGTCTTTATTCCTTCCCCCCCACCCCCATTAGTAGCTGTTTATTGATCAACGGTTTGATATAAAGTTATTTGAGATCTTCAGAACTTGCCCAAAAGGATCACAAGCTTTACAATTTTTTATTTTTCTCTTAAAAAAAGGATAAGGGGCAGGTTAGGAGTACTAGCAGTAGTGACATTTGAAAATAAATTAACAAAAAAATTTTAGCTTGGTCTTTTATTCTTTTAAAAAAAATATATTTTATTGATTTTTCACAGAGAGGCAGAGAGAGGGATAGAGAGTTAGAAACATCGACGAGAGAGAATCATCAACCAGCTGCCTCTTGCACACTCTCCACTGGGGATGTGCCCGCAACCCAGGTACATGCCCTTGACCGGAATCGAACCCGGGACCTTTCAGTCCGCAAGCCGACGCTCTATCCACTGAGCCAAACCGGTGCTGGCTGGTCTTTTATTCTTAAGAAGGCTGGTAGGTCAGGCTGAGTTTCTATACATGGTGATGACTATAATCCAGAGGGTAAGTCCTTATCCTTTGCATTGTAGGATTTATCATACCTTATGATAACTAAATGCTTATCAAGCCTCTGCTCTGTTTTGACATTTGTAACAGTTCATTGGACAAAGCAAGTCAGATGTCTACATGTGAGTCAATGTGGTAGGGCCTACACAAGGGAGTAGAGACTAAGGGGTGTGATTTGTTGGTGGGTCATTCTCTGAAACCCATTCACTTCTCCTGTAGAACAGGAATTGGAATTTGTATTTTTGATTGCTGACTCTGTTGAAGCACTGAAAATGGACTTTTTAGTATATTGATGGAGTTCTTTCAGAAATGGGAAATATTGTGTGCTTTTCCTCGTTAGTATAGTGGTGAGTATCCCCACCTGTCAGAAATAGGAAATATTTATTCTTATGGAGATCAATTACTTGGCTTTGTAAGTAAGGAAAGCAGTAAGAGTCAAAGAAAGAAGGATAACTTTGACTACAACCTGCCTTTTTTTCTTTTTCTTTTCTTTTAATTTTTTTATTATTTGGTAAACATCTCTAAGGCCTAGTGTACATTGACACTATCAATATTTTTACAATTAAACATTATTACATTTCTGAAAATGCTAATTTTATTTATTTTTAATTTAATTTATTAGGGTGACATTAACAAAATTATATACCTAGGTTTCAGGTATACAATTCTATAATACATCATCTGTATATTGTATTGTGTTTTCACTACCTCAAGTGAAGTCTCTTTCCATCACCCATTTTTCTATCCCCTTTTACCCTCTTCTACTCCCCAACCGCCTTCCCCTCTGGTAAGCACCATATTGTTGTCTGAATCTATGAGTATTTTTTTTCCTTTGCTTCTCCTTTTTCATTCAGCCCCCACCTGCTTTCCTCTCTGACAGCTATCAATCTGTTCTCAATAAAAAATGCTAATTATATTTAGCCAGGTATTCCTTGTCTACACTGCAGGAAGTCAGAAAAAGTAGTGTTAAATGATATTGATGTCTAGGCAATTCCTTGCTCTTATTTGAACAAGTAAGTTTTATCTTCTCCCTTCATTTTATTAAACCTGCTAAGGGAAAGCTAATGACGTACATTCTTTCCCAGGGCCCACATACCCTCTGGTGGAGATGATAAGTAACCAAATCCCCACACACTGATGTCCTAATGTTAACTTAGGTAATGTTAAAGGTAACTCCACATTTTGTTTTACTCTCAGCAGCTTTTTGATCTTCCTAAAGATGAACAGGGCCTGTGGCCTTAAGCACTTATTGCCGGATGATGACATCATATTAGCTGAATATCCTTTAAAAAATGACTTTACCTTTTATCAGTAATCTATAAAATCAGTATCAAGATATTTCTCTGTGTACAAGTTTGTGAGTCATCAGTGATCCTGTGCATCTGAGGAACTGAGATAAAATAAACATATGCCACATAATCACTGAGGCATGGCTTGACTTGGCATGAAATCTAGCCTCTTTGCTATTTTCATTATATCAGATTTAGTGGTTTACATCATGTCTTCACAGAACAGTGTCCTTCCTTATCGCTAAACTTCTACACTCACACCTACCTCTTACCGTGATTTAGACAATCCAGGCTTTCACATACTGTTCACTTCTCAGGAGGGCATTCTTAGCCCTCGTCATCCATATTCTATCCTCTTTTCTTTAAAAAAAGAAAAAGAAAAAAGATGTTTAATTGATTTTTAGAGAGGAAGAGAGAAAGAATCACTGATCAGCTGCCTCTTACATCTCCCCCTTCCCCTGGGGATCAAGCTGGCAACCTGGGCATGTGTCTTGACGGGGAATGGAACTGGCAACCTTTCAGGGCATGTGGGACGATGCCCAACCAACTGAACCACACCAGCCAAAGCAGCCTGCCTTTTTCTTTCCAAAATTGAAAATACTGGGCTGGAGAAAAGTAGGTTAATAATAATGCAAGAATAACTTCTGTGTTGCACGCACTCACATCTGTAAACCTGCTTTTGCCCATCTCTGTATGTACATGCATTCAAGTTTGAGAAGCACTATTCTAGTTAATACTAGTAACTGACATTGTCCTAGAGTTTCAAAGCCTTGACATTCTTTTTCTTTCTTTCTTTTTTTAATTTTTTTTTATTGGTTTTAGAGAGAGGAAAGGAGAAGGAGAGAGAGAGAGAGAAACATCAGAGAATCATTGATCGGCTGCCTTCCCTAAGCCCCCCACTGGGGATTGAGCCCCGTAATATTAGTATGTACCCTGACTGGAAATTGAACTGGGATTTCCTGGTTCATAGGTTGATGCTCAACCATTAAACAACACTGGCTGGACAAAACCTTGACATTCTTAAAAACATTTAAAAAAAATATATATATATATTTTATTGATTCTTTACACAGAGGAAGGGAGAGGGATAGAAAGCCAGAAACATCAATCAGCTGCCTCCTGGCACACCTCCTACTAGGGATGTGCCTACAACCAAGGTACATGCCCTTTACCTCAATTGAACCCAGGACCTTTTTTTTAGTCCACAGGCCCATGCTCTGAGCCAAACAGGCCAGGGCTCTTAAAAACTATCTTACAAATGTTTTCTAGGAATATAAAATGATGCAACCACTATGGAAAATAGTATGGAGATTCCTCAAAAAATTAAAAACAGAATTACCATATGATTCAGCAGTCCCACTTCTGATTATATATCCAAAATATTGAAAGCAGGATATTGGAGACATATTTGCACATTCATGTTCATTGCCCCATTATTCATAGTAGCCAAGAAGTGGAAGTGACCCATATAAACATTGATAGATTACTTGATAAAGAAAATGTGGTATATGCATCCAGTGATGGTTATCAGCCTTATAAAAAGAAGAGAGTCCTGTCACTTACTACTACATGGGTGAACATTCTACTAAGTGAAATAAGCAAAATAAGACAAATACATTTGACCCTTGATCAGCTCAGAGGTTGGAGCGCCAACTGTTTGCACAATAAAAAATTGTAGTTCAAATTCACCCTCTGTATATGTGGATTGAGAATGACAGTTGACTCTTGAACAATGCAGGTGCAAACTGAATGGATTCACTTAACTGCGTATATGTGGGCCCACCAGTTCAAATTTGCATTGTTCAAGGGATACCTGTACTCTATGATTCTACTTATATGAGGTATCTATAGTAGTCAAAATAGAAAAAACAAAGTAAAATTATGGTTGCCAGGAACTGGTGGTGGTGTGGGGGGTTGAAATGGAAAGATGGTGTTCAGTGGATATAATTTCAGATTTGAAAGATGAAAGAATTCCAGAGATCTTTTGCACAACATTGTGAATATAGCTAATATTACTGAACTGTACACTTAAAAAATAGTTAAGATGGTAGTTTTATATTATGTGTTGTTTTTTTTTTTTGTTTTTTTTTTGCCATAATTAAAAACACACACAACATGAAAACAGCTATCCCTAACCTTAGAGGGATGCTGACAGGGAAGTCAGCCCTTTCCTTAAGATATTATCTTTGCCGAAATCGATTTGGCTCAATGGATAGAGCGTCGGCTTGGGGACTGAAGGGTCCCAGGTTCGATTCCAGTCAAGGGCATGTACCTTGGTTGTGGGCATATCCCCAGTAGGGGGTGTGCAAGAGGCAGCTGATAGATGACTCTCATTGATGTTTCTAACTCTCTCTCTCTTCCTCTCTGTACAAAATCAATAAAATAGAATAAAAAGATATTATCTTTGTACCTATCTTTTTTCTTTGAGTGCCTGATAAGTAAGGGATTTACAAAGTTGTATGGAATATTGTTATTATCTTTGGGTTTATGGTGCTTTTCCAATGGCTTTTCCCCCATTGAATATTTTTACTCTTTTCTAGTTTTCATTTCAAAGTGAAATGGACATAAGTGTAATTCTTTGAACAAATTATTTTTTTTCTCCTTCAGGTGTGATGACGATCAGATGTCTAATGATAAGGAACGATTTGCCAGGTAATACAATAGAACATGGGTAACATGTCTTCTCACTATGACTTCAAACTAATGGTATATATTTTACACTGTATTTTTTAAAGAAAATCTTCATGTGGCCCCAGCCAGTTTGGCTCAGTGGATAGAGCATTGGCCTGTGGACTAAAGGGTCCCAGGTTCGATTCTGCCCAAGAGCACATGCCTGGATTGAAAGCTCTATCTCCCCCAGTAGGGGACGTGCAGGAGGTAGCCGATCAATGATTCTCTCTCATCATTGATGTTTCTCTTTCTCTCTTCCTTCCCCTCTGAAATCAATTAATATATATTTAAAAAAAAATCTTCATGTGCTGATGTTTTTAGAGATGGGAAGGGAGAGAGAGAGAGAAACATCAACATGAGAAGGAAATATTAATTGGTTGCCTCCCACACGTCTGACATGATCAAACCCTCAACTTTGGTATGTGCCCTGACCAGAAATTGAACCCACAACTTTTTGGTGTACCAGACAGTGCTCCAACCAACTGAGCCACTGGCTAGAGCAGTTCTTTTTTTTTCTTTTCTAATGCTCACCTGAAGATATTTTCTCCATTGATTTTTGGTCAGAGTGGAAGGTGGAAGGGACAGGGAAGAGAAACATCCACATGAAAGAGATTCATTGATTGGTTGCCTCCTACTCACACCTCAATCAGGGCCCAGGATTGAACTTGCACCTAAGGTATGTGCCTTGACCAGGAATCAAACCCTCAATCTTTTGATCCACAGGCCAACGTTCTAACCACTGAGAAAACTGGCCAGGGCGGCAGTTTTATCTTTTATAAATGAGAGCAGAGAAACAGTTTTTGTGGTGACAAGTTTTGATTGAAATAAATTTGTTTAAATTACTCATTGAGATGAAAAACACTTTGTTTTTTATTAGATAATAAATCCTTTTCAACTTATTGGTTTTATATTTAGAAAGTTTATCTGTATATTATTAAGTAGTGAATTATTTTTTAAAAATAGAGTTATAGCAACCTCAGAAAAATGAGTAATTCAAAATCCAGTGCTTAACTGCACACTTAGTACTTAATTTTTTGCTGATGCTGCTGGTCTGGGGACCATACTTTCAGAATCACTGATGTAAAGGGCTAAAAAATATCAGTCAGAGTACATTAAAACTTCTCTGAAGCAGTAAGATGCTATCATAGGCTTTGAATGAGAAGATGCTTTATAAAATACATATGGGATTTTTCTATATTTGTAGTTTGATAAAAGAAGCACTAAAGTCAGGGAGATAGCTAGGAGGCTATTGAAATCAGAAGATAGCTATAAAATCATGAGGGCCAGGTGGTAGTAAAGGCAATAGAAGAGTAAATTTAAGAGGTTTTTGAAGAATTTATCAAAGTAGACACTTGTAAATGCTTTAGGATGTAAACCATCTCTAAAATGAAAAGTTAATCATAGATATTTAGGTAATAGTTTTTCAAGCTACATTAGAAAGTCAAGCCACCAAATAGTAGTGCTATAGGTTCACAATCTCTTGACTGAAATTCCAAAAAGATAATGAAAACCTGACTTGATCGCCGAAATCGGTTTGGCTCAGTGGATAGAGCTTCGGCCTGTGGACTCAAGGGTCCCAGGTTTGATTCTGGTCAAGGGCTTGTACCTTGGTTGTGGGGGGGGGATGTGCAGGAAGCAGCTGATTGATGTTTCTCTCTCATTGATGTTTCTAACTCTATCTCTCTCCCTTCCTCTCTGTAAAAAATCAATAAAATATATTTAAAAAAACAACAACATGACTTTATCTATTTTAATCTTATTTACCCTGTATAAGGGGAATATTTATATATTTATATATTTATATATTTCATTCAGCAATATTAAACTGGACAAGGGGTTATGGGTCTATAGTAGTAAGAAGCAGTAATAATAGGAATTTTAGATATTTTAATTTTCTTCCAAACAACACAGATTATTCTTCTAAGATATAATTTATTAAGTTAATTTACTTCATATCCTCCTTGGGAATTTAGTAGAGGTTCTTCAAAATCTGAAAATGTATGATTTTTCTCAACTTTAAATAAATGCTAAGTAGTTTAAGGAACTATAATAACTGGAAACTTTAAGCTATGTAACATAATTCAGTTCTTTCTCTGCTCATTAGTATATATAAATTTTCACATATGTAAAATTTCTCATAGTTATTTTGTTATTTGGAGTCTCTGTTTTCCTGCTGGCTGTTTTATAGAAACTTTGTCATATATTGGTAAAATCATACATTGATAACGTGTGCTTGTCATTTTTAATTTTTTTTAAATTGATTTCAGAGAAAAAGGAGAGGGAGAGACAGAAAAATCAGTGATGAGAGAGAATAATTAATTGGCTGCTTCCTACATGCCCCCCAATGGGGATTAAGCCCAGGCATGTGCTTTTGACCAGAATCTGGGGACCCTTTAGTCCGAAGGCCGATGCTCTATCCACTGAGCCAAACTAGTCAGGGCTGTGCTTGTCATTTTAAATAATCTGTTAACATGTCAAATTTAGATATTTTATTTGGGGCTTCTTAATTTATTTACACACATTTGTGTATATGTGTTTGTGTATTGGAATTGATTACTGATAAAGACAACTTGGTGTGTTTTAAAAAAAATATATTTTATTGATTTTTTACAGAGAGGAAGGGAGAGAGATAGAGAGCTAGAAACATCGATGAGAGAGAAACACTGACCAGCCGCCTCCTGCACACCCCCACCGGGGATGTGCCCGCAACCAATGTACATGCCCTTGACCGGAATTGAACCTGGGACCCTTCAGTCTGCAGACCAATGCTCTACCACTGAGCCAAACTGGTTTTGGCACAACTTAGTGTTTTTTCAGTTGCCACCAATCCTTATAGTATTTCATTTTTCCACACAGATTTTGCAGTAATCTTTTGTAGTCCCCTCCTAGGGAGGAAGAGTTGGTACTGGGGATCCACCAGGCCTCATTTCAGAGAAGCAGGAGAGTGGCTGAAGAGAAATTTACTACCTCAGGATCAAATCAGTGATATGGGAAATGCCAGAAACCTAGCTCTTAGTTTAACTTACATACTTTTCCAGTAAAATCTGGTTGAATATTCTGTCTGAATACATGTATATGTGCCTATGTGTTATAGAGAGATTGTATGTGTGATCACTTATTTGACATAGTTATCATGATTTCCTCCTTGATTATCTACCTAATAAGAGTAACATTGTAATTGACCGTACCTTTGCAACACCCACCAGCAATCAGGAGTTAGTATGTAACTTAACCCAACAAAATGGTGGGTTAATTTGCATACACAGACACTGAGCGGGCAGGGCGGGACGCTTGTATCATCATGATGGCGATGACACAGGTGTTCCGCACCACCCCCAGCCGCTCTGGGCCTCTAGGCAGCGTGGGAAGGGGAAAAGGCAGCTCCGACCAGAGCGAAGGAGGTGCTGGGAGCCAGGGAAAGCAATCTTCGTGCATTGGGCTTCTAGTTTAGATACAATTTTCTTTATAGATTGGGATATCGTGTGAGAATGGTATGCCCTAGTTTGGTTCTTTTTCAAGCTATATATACTTGGTTTCCATAGAAATTAATTGGCAAAATGCTTTCTGTGTTCAAATTATATTTATAATAAATATTTGCCTTGACCTTTATACTATAAGTTACTTTTTCTTTATTCTAACAGATGGCTTTGTAGATTTACAATGCTCTACCAATGAGCATTGGGTTCCTATCCATATTTCCATTTTTCCTCTGTTCTTTGAATATATTTTATTCTATTTCCTTTCCCCTCTCTTTCCTTTCTTTTCCTTTTTTCTTTCTTTCCTTCCTTTTTTCTTTTTATTTACATTTTAGCTTAGTTCATTAATTCTGTTTTTAGGTCGGATGATGAGCAGAGCTCTGCGGATAAAGAGAGACTCGCCAGGTAGGAGAACAGTATCTTTTAGCATGATAAAGCAGATAATGCTGCTTTTTTTCTCCTTTTTCTTACTCTGCTCTTCCCCTTTCTCTTTGTGTTTTTCCTTATCTGTGGCCAGAGGAGACAATATCTTTTAGAAGTTTGTGTGTAATAGGAACTTGGGCTTCCTCCATCAGAAATTGAGTGGTGAGTTGAGGGACTTAGGAATTTTAAAAACTGCTATTAGTTTATGGTTTTATCTTTTTCCCTTCATCTCAGCACTGTTTCAGAACAAAAAGCTTTTAGGAGCATTGCAGCTGTGTCAGTTGGTGCTCTAGTAGGGACTCTTTTATCAGAAAGTCAATAAACATACTTGTGTTTGCAATTAGTTCGTGGCCTTTAGGCCTCATCCTTTACTTCACACCTCTCTTATTTTTCCGTGTAGTCTCATACCTAGATTACCATGTCACAGCAGTTCTGGTGTTGCTCTGGTGGTTGAATCTTTTGTGGTTTCCCAGGAAATTCTCAGCAGCCTTGCTGTGACTCTTTAAAAGATCAACCTTCTGGACTTCATTGTCAGGAAACTATCAGATTATAGGGAGATAGGTGCTTTAAGTTTGAGAGCAGAATTTCCTATTCCTGGACCTCTTTGGTGAGACCTTTCTCTTTTTTCCTGTTCCTGGTCTCTGTGATTTGGGACACTCAGTAGGCGATAGCTTGTTGATCCAAACACCTAATTTACTACTTTCCCCTCCTTTTATATGTTATTACCTCTTTCAGCTGGGTCACAAGCTTATTTTACTGCCATTTCAACTCATGCCTCCTACTCACTCACCCTTCTGAAAGCTGATTTGCATGGTATGGTGGGAAGAGCTTTGCATTCATTGGTATGAAGGCAGCCCTTGGAACAGTTATCTAATTAAACTGCTTGACCTTAGTTTGCTCTTCCCATAAAAAAAGAGATTTACGTTAGATTAGTTCTATTTTTTCTTTTTGTTTTGACAGAGAACTTTTGCTCAAATAGAATCCTTATGTGGTAATAGAAGTAAATAAAATAGAAGTAAATAAAGCTTCCCGGGTAGCAAAAATGCAGCATGTTCTTTGGTTCTGTCTTTGAGGCATCCCCATGAAAACACTGAGGACTATTGGGCTTTGCAAAAATCCAATTTGAGAGTATTGGATTATTTCTTTTTATGATAATATTCTGTCTTAATTTTGAGGATGTCAATATTAGAGATGTAATCTCCTTACACTGATGAAATAAAAAATGTCTATTTATAAAGGCCTTTTCACCCTCCTCCCTACTCCACTCCTACTCTCCAATTCACTTTGTCCCAATCTGGGGACCCCATAAGGAATCATTAGTAGATGGTATCTTACAATCTCTCTTTCTCTCTCTCTTTTTAAAAATATATTTTATTGATTTTACATAGAGAGGAACTGAGAGGTATAGAGAGTTAGAAACCTCCATGAGAGAGAAACATCAACCAGCTGCCTCTTTGCACATCCCCCACTGGGGATGTGCCAGCAACTAAGGTACGTGCCCTTGACCGGAATCGAACCCGGGACCTTACAGTCCGTAGGCCGACGCTCTATCCACTGAGCCAAACCGGTTTCAGTGGTATCTTACAGTCTCTTGAACTCAGTGCACTGGCACCACACCAAGAGAGAGAAGGGAGGACTTTGTACAAATAGAATTTCAAAACTTTTAATTGTCTTCTAGAGTTGAGAATGAGAGGGAAGCTTAGAATAAATAACATTTTATAGACCAACAGTGTCTATACTATCAATTCTTGTATCAGTTGTTGAGCAACATACTTGTGTTGGAAAAAAGTAGTCATTTTATGTCTTCAGCTTTTAAGTATCTAAGACAGTCTAACCTTAAAACATTTTGTTTTTGTTTTGTTCTAAGCGAGTGGTAATTTACAGAGATGACATTTCCAGGAAATAGAATTGCTGGTATCTGCTTATTCTGTTCCCCTTGTTAGTTTCTATCCATGCTTGCTCTGCATGAGAAGGTTGGCAGACCTTACTCTAACTTTTGACTTAAGCATCCCTGAATCTAAATACCACATTTCTCCAGCAGCTCACTTGGTGTTCATATCATTCTCCCTGCTCCCAAATGTTCAGAATTGACCACCTGGATGGGACTTCTCCTCTCTTTCTGTGCAGGGAAAATCATAGTGAAATTGAACGACGGCGACGGAACAAGATGACAGCCTACATCACAGAACTGTCAGACATGGTACCCACCTGTAGTGCCCTGGCTCGAAAACCAGACAAGCTAACCATCTTACGCATGGCGGTTTCTCACATGAAGTCCTTACGAGGAACTGGCAACACATCCACTGATGGCACCTACAAGCCGTCTTTCCTCACTGATCAGGTCTCTGGGATGTACAACTCTGAGAGAATCTAGAAACTCTTGAAAGTTTTTATCTTTGGGGTAGAAGACCATAATCCTGAATAGAGGGTGTCATAGCAAAGCTGAATCTGTAGATTTTTTAAAGGACAAAAATTCAGCTCTTAAGGAAAAATTTGGACCATGGGAAAATTGAGTTTTGATTCCTGGCTATAACATATTAGCATTGGAACAGAGAGAAGTAGAGATGACTTGTGAAAACTATTTAGCAAGCTTAAAAGTATTTTAAAACTTCATTCATAAATACAGCTTATAAGGTAGAAGAACAGTGGAATCACCAGAAGTAATGACTATGTCTCTATAGCCAGTCATCTGCCTTGGCTTTAGAGTTATAGAAGATGGAAGAAATTTATTTTTTATTCCTGAAGCAGCTTCTGTTTTAGTGATTAAAGGAGTCTTAACAGGCAGTTGTCATTGCTTAGTGATTTGCTGTTCCATTTGATGCATTATGAAAAGAATTGAGAAGGCAAAAACATTTTCAGCCTTTCATGAACTCAGTCTGAATATGAATATGTGAGTGGCAGAATACATACATAAGTGAAAAAAGATAGGAAAATGCATACAGAGAAGAAATAACTTAAAAAAAAATAATATGGTTCCAGATACAGTAGATATATACTGATGGGATTGCTAAAGTGAATAGAATAACCAGGCCTGACTGAGGATGGTAAGCAAAGACTTGTAAAAGTAAGAAAGCCATGTTCTATTTTGATTATTAAAAATAACACAAGGTTACTGTAGAAAATTTTGAAAAATCCAAGTATAAGGAAGAAATTGACCTATAATGCCACTCTTATTCAAAGGATTAAAAAAAAGGAAAGAATGTGATTTGGAAGAAAGCAATAAGAATTTTTCAAAAAAGATGATCTATATGAAAGTACATATAGCACAGATTATATATATATGCACATCAAAATAGTTAATCAGTTTGTTCTTATAGTACTCATACAGATATTGATTCAGTGAACTCCAGGTATGTAACTTTTGTGGGCTAATCAGGTGCTTTGTGCTGTGAAAAATATAAAGAATGAGAGCAGATTATCACTGATGGAAATAACATATAAATAAGAAAATCATAATATAAATACAGGATCAGCTTTGTAATAAAGGTGCATTAAGTTCTGTAGAGGTGCAATTATGGAAAACAGAATAGGGGAACAGAGTAAATTTTGGGAATACTGTAACTTGAGCAATGTGAGAACAAAGCCTAGTGAGAATGACTGGGTTATCAAAAAAAATCAAGTAGTTTAGCATGCCGAGGGAGATGATAATAGGAAGGTAGGCTGGGAACTGGTGATGGAATCTTTAGGAGTTATGCTAAAGAATTTAGATTTTAATTTTTAGGCAGTGGGGAGCCATCACTTAAGACTTGAAGAAGAGAAAGTATATTTAGAAAGGAAACAAAGTTTGGAGTATGATGTCATAGAAACCAGGGGAAAATAAAATTTGAAGGATAGAATGGACAACTTGTCAGATTCTGAAGAGAGATTGAGTAAAATGATAAAGAGCCAGGAAAGGGGACTTGCATTAGCAATTAAGAGGATTTGATTTGACAATTAGTAACCTCCTGAAAAAAAAAAATGCTATGGTTTAGAGTGAAGATTGCAGTGGAATTGTGGAATGAAAGATAAGAGATTTAGCTAGTGAATGTAACATTATTCTTGGTATATAATCTTGGCACTGAAAAAGAGATGAGTCAGGCAAAGTTGACAGAAGATTTGTGTAAAACAGAGTAGTTTATTATATTTATAGATCTGAGGGGCAAAAGAAAAAAAAAAAAAAAGGAACATTTATAGAGATAGATCTTAAAAAGAGACCAGAGAGGGTGAGATAAAGAACTGTTCGTGGTAATCTTTTTATTTCCCATCTTTAGTCCTGAGATAAAAAGGGTAAGGGTGGTTAATGACAGACACATTGAGGAAATATCTATTGGGATAAAAAGCATCTTGTCAATGAAGGTAATTACATTTAGGGTGCAAAGCTGTGGGTGTGGATGAGGCAGGAGCCAACAATTGCTTCTGGAGAGATACTTTATGGCTGTAAGTGCCTTCTTTCCATGAATAATAATTATTTTCTCAGAGTTCAGTATTAATTTTTATTTCTCTTCCTTGGACAGGAACTGAAACATTTGATCTTGGAGGCAGCAGATGGCTTTCTGTTTATTGTGTCATGTGAGACAGGCCGGGTGGTATATGTGTCTGACTCAGTGACTCCTGTTTTGAACCAGCCACAGTCTGAGTGGTTTGGTAGCACACTCTATGATCAGGTGCACCCAGATGATGTGGATAAACTTCGTGAGCAGCTTTCCACTTCAGAAAATGCCCTGACAGGTATGAGATAGGTAGATGGAAATGAATAAAAGTCCTTTCTTTTCTTTCTCAGACAAAAGAAGAGTTTTAGCTCTTACGTTTGTTCATTGAATTTGGCAGGGCTTCTAGAATTTTCTCCTTTAATGAATATATTCAGTTCTTTTTATTCACATGCAGAAAATACACTTTATAGCTAGCTCATCCTTAGAAACTTTCATGAGTGGCAATGCTTTTAAAAGTCTACTTTAATCTTAATATTAGTGTAAATAAAACAGTAAAAGTAAAAACTCCAATAGCGGCCAGGCCTGGAGCAGCCGGGTCTGGTGCGGCCAGGCCCGGAGCAGCAGCTGCCAGGCTGGGAGTGGCCAGGCCCGGAGCAGCAGCTGCCAGGCTGGGAGCGGCCAGGCCCGAAGCAGCAGCAGCCAAGTCCACAGCAACTAGGTTGGGAGCGGCAGTGACCAGACCCGGAGCAGCTGGTTGTGGAACGAACCAGAGCAAGAGGCCAGGCCCTGAGCAGCCAGGCCCGGAACAGCTCGCTCCTCGCCTGCCCCTGCCCCACAGCTGCCTCTCAGACATGGCTGGAAACTTTCGTGGGAACTTGAGGGTCTGCTGAATCAAGTGATGAAGGCTTAGATCTGGATGTGTTGAGTTAGTATAGGGCTGGGGTGTTGATCTGTGAGTGCCTTGGGTGGGGCCTGGATGAGGCTAGTTGACCTATTGGGAAATGTCTTCTGTGTGAAGTGTATCATTAGGCATGTGGAGGTATTATTGATATGAGAAAATGCTAAGTAACTGATTTACTATCTGAAAAGGGATTTACTATGGGTGGGAGGGAAGGGAGGGAGGAAGAGACTGAACATAAACTGTGGATGAGGACAATGGGGGATGGGGAGGGGGCGGAGGGTGGGGTGGGAACCTGGTGGAAGGGGGAAGAAATGAGGAACCTTTGTAATAATATGAACAATAAAGATTGATTTAAAATAAAATGCTTTCAAATGTTATGAAAAAAAATGAAGATATTTGGCCAGCACTGAATTCTATGATACCCCAATTCTCTTCTAGTTCTAGTGTTCTGTGAGATTGAGGAAGAAATATGGATATTAAATAAAAACACAATAGGGTATACAGATATAAAATTATAATGTTATATGCCTGAAATTTATATCATACTATTAACCAATATTACCTCAATAAAAAGAAAAAAAGAAAGAAAAAAAAAACCTCCAATAAACTTTTTTCCATTCTGAAAGAATTAAATGATCCATATTTCTGTCTCATTTGTATGGGTAATTACCTGGTATTTTTCCTACTTTGTTGTGCTTGGCTTTGTACTAGATTCTATGATAATAGATTTTTATTTTATTTTGTTTTTTAAAAATATATTTTATTGATTTTTTTACAGAGAGGAAGAGAGAGGGACAGAAAGCTAGAAACATCAATGAGAGAGAAACATCTATCAGCCGCCTCCTGCACACCCCCTACGGGGATGTGCCCCCAACTAAGGTACATGCCCCTGACCGGAATCGAACCCGGGACCCTTCAGTCTGCAGGCCGATGCTCTATCCACTGAGCCAAACGGGTTTCGGCTAGGTTTTTATTTTAGAGGGGAGTTATCAGCCAGTGTGTAAAGTTTGTTTTGTTTTGTATTTGTACTATTTTTCTGTCTCTTTTTGTTTGGTTCCTCCCCACCCCCATTTTAATGCTCTTCAGTCTTTTTGTCAGAGTTTTACTAAAGGAAACAAGTCACATCTGTTTCTAAACAACTCTGGAAAAAATTTTAAAGTGGAAGCAGATCAAAGCTAGTAATTAAAATAAGACCATTTTGATTATATTAATGTCAGTATTTAGTTTCACCCTCTTTTATGTTTTTAATGGATTTCATTTTGCTGTTCTCCCCGCGCCCCCCAAAGTTGCCATTGCTTTCTATATGATAAAAAGGAGGAACAATTTTGGCTTGACAAAGATACATGCTTCTATTGTTTATAAAATTGTTTTTAAACCAGTGATATTTACTGTTTGTATGCATCTGTGTGTGCATGCATAAATGTAAAAATAATTAGATCCATGAATACAACTTTGTCTCTTGCTTGCCACTCCTATCTTCCCTTGCACAAGGTTATTTCCAGTGCTACCTTTGAACTTAAGAGCAAGCTTTATTGATGTGAATCTGGAGGTATTTTAGGCTTGAAAAAAATCATCCCCTCCTTGGCCCAGTGTATTATAAGCAAGAAGATTGGAGGTCATGATTAGGTTATTTACTATCATTGCCTTCAGAGTCTCTCTCGGTCTTCCTCATATACAAGAATGCGCTCCAGGCTACTCTTCGCATTCTTTTTCAGGGCGTATCCTTGACCTGAAGACTGGAACGGTGAAAAAGGAAGGTCAACAGTCTTCTATGAGGATGTGCATGGGCTCAAGGAGATCATTCATTTGCCGTATGAGGTGAGTGTCAAGCTGAAGATTGTTATTTGACAGAGAGAAAATGAAGAGCTGAGGGTTTGATTTCTGGTCAGAGGAGTTAAACTTTTTTTTTTTTTTTTTTTTAATATATTTTATTGATTTTACACAGAGAGGAATTGAGAGGGACAGAGAGTTAGAAACATCGATGAGAGAGAAACGTTGACCAGCTGCCTCTTCCACACCCCCAACTGGGGATATGCCCACAACCAAGGTGCCCTTGACCGGAATCGAACCCGGGACCTTTCAGTCCGCAGGCCGATGCTTTATCCACTGAGCCAAACCGGTCCCAGCAGGAGTTAAACTCTTAAATCCAAGCTTTGGTTGGATTAAATTTAATTCTCAGGACCCAATGGGCTGTAACATACAATAAAGCATTAGATAAGGGAAGTAACTTTTACTAAATCCTCCTGTGCCAGACATTATGATGGGTGCGTTATGTTTGTCATCTCATTTCCCCCAATTATCCTTTAGGGTAGATTTATGGTTACTATTTTGCTGAGAATAAAAAAAAGAGATTCAAAGAAATTAACTTCCCAGGATTGCATAATGTCTGATGCAGGATTTTATTTTAAACTCCTGTTTTTTTTTTCTCAGTACATCATGAGACAACATCCATATATTCAGACCATTCAGATAATTTCTGCTGTTTGTTTTTGTGTGTGGTTTTTTGTTTTTGTTTTTTAGAAATTTGAGACTTTTTTATGACCTTTAGTTAATATTTAGTGTTTATAAATTTTATACTGTACATTTTAGGATTCTGAAGAAAAGGATGGTGGTACTTTCTACATAGGTAGAAAAGATCCCTTAAAATCACAAAATAATTCCAGGTTTTATAATAGAAATTGACTACTTTGTTCTGAGAATACGCGTATTAAAAGGGATGAGTAGAATGTTAAGAAAGGTTTCCTAGGAAAGTTGCAAAATGTAATTGTGGCTCTGGTTTAAGTAGCTTCAGATCCAGACTACTAGATTTGCCACTCACTATCTTTTGAGATCCTGATCAGATTAAATTACTACTTTGTGTTTTGATTTTATCACCTAATATTGGGAGTTATATTACTATCAACTTCATAAAGTTGTTATGAGTATTAGATGAATAAATATACATAAAGATGCTTAGAATAGTACTTGGCACATATTCTATGTAAGTTTTATATATTATTTGAAATAAGGAAATTAGAGAGGATGGCAGAGAGTGTCCCAATATGTGGACATGGCTAATGGAAATATGAAGGCAGGAGCAAGATAAATAATGAAATGCAGCAAAAGAATAGATTGTGGTATAGAGTCAGCAAACCACAGCTCTTTTTTTGTTTTAATTCTCACTCAAAGGTATTTTTCCATTGATTTGTTTTTAGAGAGAGTGGAAGAGAGGGGAAAGACAGAAACATCAGTGTGAGAGAAGCACATCTATAGGTTGCCTCCAGCACATGCCCTTGACCAGAATTGAACCCAGGGCCCTTTGGTCCACAGGCCAATCAATGCTCTATCCACTGAGCCAAACTGGCTAGGGCCCACAACTTTTTTAAAAATTTATTTTTAATTAATTTTTTTTATTTATTTCAGAGAGGAAGAGAGAGGAAGAGAGAGAGAAACATCAATGATGAGAATCATTGATCAACTGCCTCCTGCACGCCCCCTACTGAGGATCAAGCCTGCAGCTTGGGCATGTGCCCTGACCAAGCATTGAACTGTTACCTCCTGGTTCACAGATTGATGCTCAAACACTAAGACACACTGGCCAGGCTCCACAACTCTTTATTTGTAAATAAGCCTTTATTGGAACAGCGCCATGCCCACTTGTTTATATATCTGTGGTTGCTTTCATGCTATAATGGCAGAGTTGACTAGTTGCAACAGATTGTATGGCCCACAGAGCTGAAACTATCTACTATATGGTCCTTTACTGAGATAGTATACTGATCCCTGATGTAGAGAATTTCTGTATTTGAATTACATGCAGGAAATTTTGACTTCAAGTTCAAGGACTGTTATAGGTTTTGGAAATACCATATTTGACTTCTTTACGCTTTCTTGTTAGGAGCATTGTTCAGTTTCCTGTGTCTGGTTGTATCCAGAACCTATAATCTTGCTGTTAATGGATAAAAAGGTCTTTGATAGTGCAGCTAATTGCTTTTAATTTATCTGTTCTTTGAAATAGGTGTGGCAGTAGCTCTGTGGACCCAGTTTCCATGAATAGACTGAGCTTTGTGAGGAACAGATGCAGGTGAGATTCTAAGCAGTTAAAACCAAAGGATGGCCAGGTACCTGTAGAATCATCACTTCTTCAACTATCTTACTGTAGGACTCCCTTTAGCAGCCCTCATCCTGACCCCTCACTTTCTGGCAGTGTTTTCCTAACATTTTAAAGCTTTTGATTATTGTGTTTAAGGAAGTTACTCTGCCACTTTATCTACTTTTTTCTGCTATAGTACCTTTAAGTTGCTTGACTTTGGCAAGGGTCATCAGCAATAGGACGGTCACTTTTGGGAGGGAAAGATCCAAATACAGTTATCCTGTTTTCTAAACATTAAGAGTCTAAAATTAAAGGTTCTAAATCAGTGTTATCTTTTCAGTGTTACTGGGTAGAGTTTTCTCCTCACATCTGTAATTCTTCCAGGAATGGACTTGGCTCTGTAAAGGATGGGGAACCTCACTTCGTGGTGGTCCACTGCACAGGCTACATCAAGGCCTGGCCCCCAGCAGGTAGGAAAGTTGGATAGTGGCTTCTCTCTTTATGCAGCAGGTTCCTCAGAGTCCAAGAAAGTTAGCTAATATTTACCATATCCCTCGTGTATGAAATGTACTTTGGTATAAATTAAGGAAATGGGGGAGTGGGGAAGGTAGACTCCTTTCCTTCCCCCATTAAGGATTTATATTCCAATGAGATGATTACACAGACTTGAAAATGACTCAGTGTTGGCTGTCTCACAGAATGTAGTTTTTAAATATGCAAATTTATAATAATGTATACTGAATACCTAAGTTCTAAGTATTTGTGTTTAGAAATAAGTTGGCCTGGAATACAGTTAATTTGGGAAGATTTCCTAAATTAGGAGCAAGAATTTGCCCTGGCTTGGTGGCTCAGTTAGTTGGAACATCATTTCATAAATGAAAAAAATTTGATTTCTTGAGAGGGCACATAACTGGGTTGCAGATTTGATCCCCAGTCAGGGCATATATGGGAGGCAGCTGATTGGTGTGTGTCTCTCTCTCTCTCTCTCTCTTTCTCTCAAGTCAATAAAAACATATCTTTGTCAGGTAATGAATGAATGAAGTAGGAGCAAGATCTTAAGAAAGAAGGGAAATGGCTTGATTGTATTGACTTATAAAAAGAGTATTATTTGTTAAGGCTTTAAATCAGGATGTGAGCAGATTAGCTTAACTTGATGTCAAACAGGGAATGTGAGAAAGGTGGTTGGGATATAGGGACTATCCAGTCTTTTAAACTAGCTTTTCAGAATTTCCAAATCTTAGCAACTTTATTACTTCATGCTGGATGAGTATAATTTGGAAGTGGGTGTTGTAGGAAGACAGAAACTAAGAGAAAAGAAGCAAGAAGGTATATTTTGGTAAGAGATCAAACTTTAGATGTGGAAAAACCTGGTTTTGACTCTGGCATTTACTAGCAGTATAAATTGTTTGACCTTTGTATATAAAAAACAACCCCTCAGATTTCTCATCTGTATTTCAGAGATAATATATCTAATATAGAGTTATTGTGCCAGTTAGATTTAATGTAAGAATAGTACCCAGCCCAGTGCCTGGGCACCCAACAAATGGTATTTAAATGTAATTAGTTAATTTTAAATAGTAATGACATTTGAACTTTTGAGCTAAATTTATGGTGTTTTGTACTTCTGTATAGCTCTCAAAGCAATTCTATTTTTCTTGGTAAAAAGAAGATAACTATGCAAAGAGTAAAGAGAAAATGCAACCTCTTTTCTTTCCACATAAAATAAGGAAACAATAGCTTCTCTGGTCATAGAAAGACAAAATACCTCATGATCTTACTTAGATATGGAATCTAATGAACAAAATAAACTGACTAACAAAGTATAGAAACAGAAACATAGGCATGGATATGAAACAGATTGACAGCTGTCAGAGGGTAGGAGGGACTGGATGAAAGAAGGTGAAGTCATTAGCCAAAAAACATAGACACATATAACACACAGACATAGGTAACAGTGGTGGTAGCCAAAGGGTAAGGAGAGTTGGGGCTAGATGGAGGTGGGAAAATGAAGACAGAAAGAAACTGCAAGGGCAGTGACTGATGATGCATTGTGCAGATGATTGTACACTTGAAACCTATATGGTTTTGTGAACCAATGCCACTCCAATAACCTCAATTAAAAAAAAAAAAGCATTGGCTTCTCTCTTCTCCAAAGGAAATAAATAACTATTGATGTTTGGTTTAATTTCATTTTTGGATGTTAGCTTACTTTAAAGTTTACAGGTTGGGCAAGACATCTGTTTTCTGTCTATGATATGGTCACAAATGAATGGCTATCTTTATATGTGTTTGATTTGGCCAGCATAATTTGTTAGAATATTTTGGTTGGACCTGTATTCTGCAGTTTATTACAATTAATATGGGTAAAATATATGAATTTATACCTATATACATACATATATATGTACTAGTGGCCCAGTGCACAGATTCATGCACATTGAAAGGAAATTAATTAGAAGAAAGATTTGTGCAGTAATTACATTACTGCAGAATTTACATGTCAAAATAGTATATATAATATAGTACTATAAAATTAAAACACATGTGTGATTGGCGCCAGTGAGAGCTTTGTATGTATTGCGCATACACGAGTCAACATTTATTTTTAAATTACCAGTGTGTGTCATATGTACCAGCCAATCAGTGGGATGGTCGGATGTGTGTACAGTCGGTTACTTAGCCTTTTTTATATATAGATATACATATATACATATACACATACACATGTGTACACACACACACACACACACACATATATATACATACATACTTAAAACAGTACCTGGCATATATGGTAAATTCTGCATAATTATTTACCTTTATTCTTTTTTTTAAAATCCTCATGTGAGGATATGTTATTTTTTAAAGTTGATTTTCAGAGCAAGAGGAAAGGAGGGAGGGAGGGAGAGAAACCTTTTGGTGTATGAGACAATGCTCCAACCAACTGAGCCACTTAGCCAGAGAGTCCTTTATTGTTTTTTTATTTTTTATACCAAACACCTTTTAAAAAATATATTTTAAAATTAAGCACATTTTTCCTTTGCAGTTTTTAAATTTTTAAAAAGTTATAGTTGACATAAAATATTATGTTAGTTTCAGTTGTACAACCCAAAGATGTGATGTTTTATATACCTTATGTAGTGATCACCCTGATAGGTCTAGTAACCGTTTGTCACTGTACAAAGTTATTATGATATTATTGACTATATTCCGTATGTCTCTGTATCATTTACTTTATAACTTGGAATTTGTATCTCTTTTTAAAAAATTATTATTTTTTAAATGTTTTTATTAATTATTTTATATAGAGAGAGGGCTAGATAAATAGATAGAAGCATTTATGAGAGAGGAATATCAATTGACTACCTCCTCTATGCTCCCTACTGGTGATCAAGCCAGAAACCCAGGCATGTGTCCTGACTGGGAATCATCTGGTATCTTCTTCGATAATCTGTTGACACTCAACCACTGAGCCACACCAGCTGGGTGGAATTTGTACCTCTTAGTCTCCTTCACCTTTTCTGCTTATCCCTGCATCCCAGCCATCAGTTTCTTTTCTGTATTTATGAATACCTTTATCTTTTGGCACTCTATTGTTTTACACCTAGCTTCTTCAGACCTACATGTATTTTAAATCTTTACTTATCTCACTTTGAAGGCAGTTGAGTTTGAGATTCCTATTAAATCTTTTAACTTACCTTCCTAAAGGTGTCTCCCTCCCAGATGATGACCCAGAGGCTGGCCAGGGAAGCAAGTTTTGCCTAGTGGCCATTGGCAGACTGCAGGCAAGTATGAATTTTCCATATCTATATCATCCCTTTTCAATGAGAAGAAATCTCCTTCAGGACTTGTTCATGTTATTTTTCTCTTACTCTCTGATACAAATGAACAATTCTATAAAAACCCACATATTTGAAGGAATATGGCATTCATAGTTAACATTGCTCCTCTTCGATTTAACAGAAACTGAAGAGGATGAGAGAAGGAGGGAGGGTTTTTCCCTTTATTTTTCATATATTCAGCTTTACAATGTTGAATTTTCTATTTTCAAATAATGTTTTTTGCCTGTATACAAAAAAGAGGGAGTTTTAAATTTTTTTATTATTACGTGTCTAACGAGAGAAGTGAAATTATTTTGACTCCTCATAAAAATAGATAAGTTTCTTGGTTACTTGGGACTATAATTTTCCAGTCTGAATAATAAACACAGGCTAGCTAAATGAAGGTAAGAGGATTTGGGGTTGAGTGAATTTTTTATTTTATTTTATTTTTTATTTATTTTTTGCTCAGGGTCACTTTAAAAAAATTTTTTTTTTATTTTTATTGATTTTTTACAGAGAGGAAGAGAGAGGGATAGAGAGTTAGAAACACCGATGCAAGAGAAACATTGATCAGCTGCCTCTTGCACACCCCCTACTGGGGCTGTGCCCGCAACCAAGGTACAAGCCCTTGACCGGAATAGAACCTGGGACCTTTCAGTCTGCAAGGCGACGCTCTATCCACTGAGCCAAACCGGTTTCGGCAGGTTGAGTGAATTTTTCTTTTTTACAAAGTTGTTAAAGAGTATATATATTTGGGAATTGGGCTAATTTGCTCTTTGATTGCGATTATCATTTTTTTCTTCCTTGATTATGTGTGAACGTTTTGAATTCCTAAAACTGGGTGCCTCATGTCTATGTAAATGACTATGAGGTAGTAGGAAATATATCTGCAGAGAAATAGTGCTATTTTATCTCATTTTGTCTCTTTACTTTCAGGTAACTAGTTCTCCCAACTGTACAGACATGAGTAATGTTTGTCAGCCAACAGAGTTTATCTCTCGACACAACATTGAGGGAATCTTCACTTTTGTGGATCACCGTTGTGTGGCTACTGTTGGCTACCAACCACAGGTGAGGAGCTGGAGCTGTTGCAAACTGATACATTAGCCTCTTGTTTTCCCTTGGCTTTGTTGAGATTATTCAGTGATGTAATTCCAGAGACAGCCAAACATATCAGCCTCTAGCTCAGAGCTAAATTTATTCTCAGCCTCTTATAAAATGTTGAATTTTCTACATATTCTAGAGAAATATGGCTTCTGAAGCCAGGTGGGAGCAGCAGGTCCCGATATATACATTTTTGTTAATGATATTAATGCAGATATTGGTGCTAATTTTAATTAGTTATGCTATGGCCACCTTTTGGTAATTCATCTAATCGCCTAGATAAATAGTAACCCACAAGTTATTATGATTTTATTTATTATTTAGACTTATTCAGAATACCAGGTAACTATATCTCAGTTGAGAAATAAGTCATAATACAAACATTCAAAACTATAGTGGCTAGGAAGCAGTTCTGGCTATGGCTGTGTGAAGAAGTTGATGAAAAATTGGTCTTAAAAAAGAACAAAGTCAGCCGAGACTGGTTTGGCTCAATGGATAGAGCGTCGGCTTGGGGACTGAAGGATCCCGGGTTCGATTCCGGTCAAGGGCATGTACCTTGGTTGCGGGCATATCCCCGGTGGGGGTGTGCAAGAAGCAGCTGATCGATGACTCTTTCTCATCGATGTTTCTAACTCTCTCTCTCCCTTCCTCTCTGTACAAAATCAATAAAATATATTTAAGAAAAAAAAAAAAAGAAAAGAACAAAGTCAAAGGATTTACACTACCTGATTTAACAACTACTATAAAGCCATTGTTATCAAGACAGTGTGGTATTAGTATAAGGATAGGTACATAAATCAGTAGACCAAAATAGAATTTATTCTCACATGGTCAACTAATTTTCAACAAAGATGCTGAGAGAATTCAATGGGGAAAAGAAATCTTTAAACAAATGGTGATGGATCTATTGGGCTATCCATATGCAAAAAGCACACACACAATAGAACAACAAAGAAAAATAAATAAATAAATAAATAAATAAATAAATAAAAGCACACACAAAACTTAAACTATTATAAAATTTTTAGAAGAAAGTAGAAAATCTTTGGATCTTGAGTTAAACATGATTCTTTTTATTTATTTATTTATTTTTATATATTTTATTGATTTTTCACAGAGAGGAAGAGAGAGGGATAGAGAGTTAAAAACATCAATGAGAGAGAATCATCGACCAGCTGCCTCTTGCACACTCCCCACTGGGGATGTGCCCACAACCAAGGTACATGCCCCTGACCAGAATCGAACCTGGTACCCTTCAGTCCACAGGCCGACGCTCTATCCACTGAGCCTAACCGGTCCCAGCTAAACATGATTCTTATATTACACTTAAAGCATGCTTTACAAAATAAATTGATAAATTTTCCCTCATCAAATTTAAAATTTGCCCTCTTAAGAGGACATCATTAAGAAATTGAAGGCCCTGGCTGGGTAGATCAGTTGGTTGTAGCTTTGTCCTGATATGCCAAAGTTGCAGATTTGATCCCCGGTCAGGGCACATATAGGAATCAACCAACGAATGCATAAATAAATGGAACAACAAATCAATGTTTGTCTGTCTGTTTATCTCTGTCTCTCTCTCTGTTTCTCTCTGTCTCTGTCTTCCTCTCTCTCCCACCCCTCCTCTCTTCCCCTAAAACCAATAAAAAGAGAAAACAAAAAGACTAACCAAAAACTAGGACAAAATTTGCAAATTATATGTCTGAAAAAGGATTTATATCCAGACTAGATAAAGAAATCTTATAATTCATTAAGACAGCCATTAATTTGAATGGACACTTCATTAAAGAAGAAATATAAATGCCATATAAAATGATATTCATCATCATTAGTCTTTAGTTAAGTGCAAATTAAAATCACAGTGATTGCCGAAACCGGTTTGGCTCAGTGGTAGAGCGTCGGTCTGTGGACTGAAAGGTCCCAGGTTCGATTCTGGTCAAGGGCATGTACATTGGGCAGCTGGTTGATGTTTCTCTCTCATCGATGTTTCTAGCTCTCTATCCCTCTCCTTTCCTCTCTGTAAAAAATCAATAAAATATATTTTTAAAAATAAAATAAAATCACAGTGATACCACTGCATGCCCACTAGAATAACTATAATTAGGAAGTGTTCTCCGTGTAATCTCATTTAAGAAGTTTAATTAAAAATATATTTTTTTTAAGTATTGGCAAGAATGTGGAGAAACTGGAACCATCATACATGTTTGCAGACATGTAAAATGGGATAGCCACTTTGGAAAAACATTTGGCAATTTCTTAAAAAGTTAAACATATACTTATCTCATAACCCAGCAATTCCACTTCTAGAATTTACCCAAGTGAAATGAAAATATTGTTTCACACATATTTATACACAGCTATTCATAGCTCTATTATTCATAATAGCCAAAAAGTGAAACAATTTAAATATCCATTAACTACTGAATGGATTCTCAAACTGTGGTATATCCATGTTAGAATGCTGCTGAGGAATAAGAAGGAATATATTATTACAGTAACATAGATGAACTTCAAAACTATGTTCAATAAAAGAAGCCAGACAAAAGATTACCTATATTGTATGATTTCATTTATATGAAATTTCTAGAAAAGGCAAAACTAAAAAAGCAGAAAGCAGATTAATGGTTGGCTAGGAAATTGTATACTAAGAATGAGTGAATTATATATATAAATTATAACCTCAAATCTATAAAACATGTAGTTATAATAAACATACAATGCTCTGAAAGGAAAATGCTCCAGAAGCCAGTTTAGCAGATTCCATCTGTTATTTTTTCTTTTCCCCCTTCCACACTTATCAATCATCCTAGGATAAAGACAGGAGAAATAAAATCCAACCCCCCAGTATGGGCCAGGAATGTTAGATGCTCATAAAAGTGTTGACCTTACTCTTCTTTTTTCCTTTTAGGAACTTTTAGGAAAGAATATTGTAGAATTCTGTCATCCTGAAGACCAGCAGCTTCTAAGAGATAGCTTCCAACAGGTAACTTTTTTTCCTGGTTTGGGTCTGAGTAAAAGTTTTATCTAATGTCTTTTATTACATTCATTCCACAAATATTTATTGACTACTGATTATTGCGATAGGCACTACAGTTTTACATTCTATAGTATTTAACCTGTATTTTTAAGGAACAGAAAAAGACCAATCTTTGAAACTGTGAATAAATGTCCAAAATATTTTAGTTTGGCTTTGGCTACTGACTATCTTAAATTTAACTAGCTGCATCCAAGGTTCTCTTTAAAGTATGTAAATTGGCCCTAACTGGTTTGGCTCAGTGGATAGAGCGTCGGTCTGCAGACTGAGGGGTCCCAGGTTCGATTCTGGTCAAGGGCATTTACCTTGGTTGCGGGCACATCCCCAGTAGAGGGTGTGCAGGAGGCAGCTGATTGATGTTTCTAACTCTCTATCCCTCTCCTTTCCTCTCTGTAAAAAAATCAATAAAATCTTTTTCAAAGTATGTAAAATATTCTGTGCCTTCCTGCACTGTGGATAGTATTAGAAAAATGCATTTTATATCTTATAGTTCTTAAATAGTTAACTCTTAATTGTAAGTGGACTCTTTAATTGTAATTTTCAGACCCTATATCCTGAAAATATCTGGTGAATTAGGTAGTAGTTCTTACTTTATACCAGACTAGTTAATTTTTTTCGTTATGCTTCAGTAGTGTCCTCATTGGCACAATAGGTATGATAATAGTACTTAAATTCAGAGGGTTGTTGGGAAGATTAAATAAGATAATGCAGTAAAGCACATAACCCAACTTCTGGAGGAAATCAGACATTGGCAGTAAAAAGTCTGTCTCCCGAGTACTCAGCATTACCAGTTCCATCCACTTGGCTGCAGCTCACAGAAGGATCACATTCCTTTTATGTCTAGTCTCAAAACCTAGTCTGACTTGTGTGGAAATTATTCATAGCTAAAATACGAACCTTCAGTAGTTTGAGAACATATTGTACAGTATATTTTAAATGCATGAAATTTATCATTCTGACGTTTTTGGCCACACAGTATCATTTTATCACTTTTGGGAAATGTTTATTTCAAAATAGCTTTAATGGCCCAGATAGACACTACATAATCTCGAGGTTATTATTCTGACATCAGTGTTTGCTATGGTTTTAGAGTATATAAGTAAAGGTACTTTTTAATGGGCACTCAACAGCTGCTTACTTAGTTACTGCTTTCCAGATTTTGATGTTGCTTAAATCTAGATGGATGTATTTTTTTTCCCAGTGCATTAATTTAGTTATTATTTCCAATGAAGCTTCCTTTTCTTTATTTTCCTCATGTTGATTATTTCAGTGCTTTGTTTCACAGTTGATTTGTAAAAGTTTTAGACATATATTTAAAATGAGCTATTTTATTATTGCTAAGTTAAGTATGTCCCATTTTCTGCTATACTTATTTTTCAGTCAGTTTGTAAGATCAGCAGATACTGTCGCATTGATCAGCCAAAACATAAATGTTAAGTGTAGATATTTTGAAGTGCTGGGCTTATACGTCATTGGAATAGATATGTACTGCAATAAGCAGGTTTGTAAAACCAGTACTTAGTTTGTGTACAAACGTAATTATGTTCATTTTATATGTATTAGACAGTGAATACATTTAAGTTTTAAAAGCTACTTACTATTATTTAAGTGCAAATATTTACATTACATTTTTTTTATCATGTTAAGTGAATGATGATATTTTTTTTAAAAAAGCACAAAACCTAATGGTTGACATATAAAAACTATAAGATAAATATTACTGCTAATATTACTTTTTTATTGTTAGAGAATGAGAATCAAAAGATTATTTCCTTTTAGACTAGAAGCTAAAATAATCTAAAATTAGTTTCTTTTGCAAAACTAAAGCAAATAAGAACTAAAGCCAATTTTGTTTAATTTATAGAAACCTTCATAGGTGCTGTGAGAACAGAAATGCTTAGGTTTTGGGGGAAAGCGAGGATTCAAGAGCAATGCATAAGCTATATTCAGTGTTATTAAATTTCTAGTTTATGCTTGTAAAGCTAGATTAGCATTATCTTTAAGGGACTTTCCAAGGGAAGTATGGAAATGTAGTCTGTTTTCCCTGGAAAGAATTGTTACTCCTTTTTACTTTGACTAGAGAGGTCAGGTAGTTCTGGGATTCTGGGAAGAAATATGATAAATATATCTCCTAATTATTTAGTCACTTAGTTTTTACTCATACTGTTTTTTTAGTAGCATTGAAAGGGACAGTGCCACAGGAATCTTAGGGTTATAGAGTGGGAATTTTATTTTTTAATTTTCTAAGGATAATTTTTGTGGGTTTCACTGATAGCATGAAAACTTTTTCAGGTGGTGAAATTAAAAGGCCAGGTGCTGTCTGTCATGTTCCGGTTCCGGTCTAAGAACCGAGAGTGGCTCTGGATGAGAACCAGCTCCTTTACTTTCCAGAACCCTTACTCAGATGAAATTGAGTACATCATCTGTACCAACACCAATGTGAAGTATGTACCATAAAGGCCTTTTCGAATGTTGGGATTTCTCCTGGGCCAAATCTGCTTATCTTCTTCTCTTCTACTTTTCTAGTAATCAATAGCATTAGTTTGAAATTCCTCGTCTTCCAACTTCTCACAGTTTGGGTAGTTCATCCAGGTAGAATAAGGTTTTAATAAGCTATAGATTAGAGACGAGGTTGTAAGATGTGAAAGATTTGTATTTCAAGTTCGTTTAAGCCCTCTCTAGAAAGGATTTTGTTGTATACCCCATTTTATTGCTCTTGTCTGGCAGAATTTTTCTCTATAGCAGATATCTGAAGACTTTCTATAAAATGCCAGATAGTAAATATTTCAAAGGCTTTGTGGGGCATACACTTGCTATTGCAACTACTGAACTCTGTTGTTATAGCAAAAAATAGTCCTAGACGAATAAAATGAGCAAAGATACCTATCTTCAACCAAACTTTTATTTTCAAAAATGCAATGGACTGCATTTGCCCCAGGGTCTGTAGTTTGCTTTAGAACATGGCTTCATCCACTCTTTTGTTAGCCTTTGTTCTCCTTTATTCCTTGATTTCTTTCTGTTTGAGCCTTCCTTTTTTATTAAATATACACACAAAAATTTTTTATTGAGGTGGATTTCAGATACTGTACAGTTTACCTACTTAAAGTGTACATATTTTTAAAGTATGTCACAGGATTGTTCAACTGTTACCACAATCTAATGTCATCTATTCTAAAAGAAATCCTCCAAGTCCTATGCAAATAAATTTACCTATTCTAGCAAGACAGTTCATATAAATGGAATCATACAATATATGGTTCCTTTGTGACTAGCCTCTTTCACTTACTATAATGTTTTAAAGTCATCCATGTTATAGTATATATCAGTACTTCATTTCTTTTTATTGCCAAATAGTCTTTTTTATGGAAATCCCAATTTTGTTTATTTATTCATTGTTTGATGGACATTGAGTTATTTCTGCTTTTTGGCTATTAAGAATACTGCTGTGAACATTTGTGTACTAGTTTTTGTGTGGGTATGTTTTTATTCTCATGGATATATACCTAGGAGTGGAATGGCTGGGTCATATGGTAACTCTGTGTTAAATCTTTGGAGGAACTGCCCAACTGTTTTCGAGAACTGCTCCTGCATTTTATGCTCCTGTCAGCACTGTATGAGGATTGCAGTTTCTCCACATTCTTGCTGTTCTTTTTATTTTATTTTATTATTATACCTATCCTAGCAGGTGTAAAGTTACTTCTTTTTCATTTAATCTCTCTGTGTAAAATTGGCTTTGAATCCACCTCCTGAAGATCTGATTTTATAAATAACTAGTGCCCCGATACAAGAAATTCATGCACATTAAAAAGGGATTAATTAGAGAAAATAATTTAATATTGCTATTTGCCCTTTCTCTATAATTGAAGTGTCAGAGATGGAAGAAAATTAGTAAAATTTATATGAAAACCTTCCTCCTGTCAGACCAAGAGTCAAGTCCCTTGCCCACCCACGTGCGCCTCAAAATCGCATGAGACTCAGACCTGGCCTTGGGGGGACCTCCTCCCCCCAATTGGGCTAGATCCAGACCCGGCCAGTCCCACCCTTGTTAAGCCCTGCCGGGCAAGGGGCATAGCCTGAGGTCCCCCAGCCCAGACCGGGATGGGGGTTTTGCCTTGAGTCCTCTGTCAAGCCCCCAGGTGGGGGACCTGGCCTGAGATCCCCTGTAAAGCCCTGCTTGGTGGGGGGCATGGCCTGAGGTCCCCTGTAAAGCCCTGCTGGGTGGGGGGCATGGCCTGAGGTCCCCTGTCAAGCCCAGCCAGGCAGGAGGGCCCAGCCTCAGGTCCCTTGACCCGGTGCTGGGTCGGTGGGATGTGATCAATTAGCATACTCCCTCTTTATTAGATTATTAGATAGGATTAGCAGTATGACTAGCATCTGGTGAGACATTGAGTCTGTATTCTCCAATTCAATTGTTAGGGCTTGTAAAGTTTAATTCTCTGTTAAATTAACTTAGTATAATGGATTGAGTTAGAAATTTTTATTAACTTAGAACTCAGGTACATATGGTCATGGTCATTGTAGATTTTTGTTTACTTTGTTTTCACATCTTTATATAACAGAATAACTATTGTTTTGTGTTCTCATTTTGTTTAAAATTTGAAATCTTTTTAGGAACTTTTTTCTGGAAATAATGGCTTCTCCCATTTTTACATAGAGTTTTCCCCACCACAATTAATTTTAATGAATTATTAATGTTTTAAAAGAAATACTCTTTGTAGAAAATTGGAAAGTATTGAAAACTATGTGAAAGTAAAAAAATTTCCCTATCCAGAAATAGTCCTTTAAAAAAAAAAGAAAAAAAAGATGTATTTTTATTTGATATTTGCCCTGACCAGGAATTGAGCTGTGATCTACTGGTTTATAGGTTGACGCTCAACCACTGAGCAACATCGGCCGGGTCAGAAATAATCCTTTCTATGTTTCAATATATATATACTTTCAGTTTTTCACTTAGGCTTTTTAAAAACACTGTATGTATATACGCACATATCCACACAACTAGGTACTAAATACTTGGGAAGTGTTAGAACCCAAACAAGAAGAACCCATGTGCCATAGGACATAGTTTCTCTTTGTGTCATGTTGTCCATAGTTGTGAATTATTTGTTGAATCTGAGGTCATAGGTTGCCTTTAGGATTGTTCTTTTTTTTTTTTTTTTTTTTTCTTTTTTTTTTTTTCAATTTTATTTATTTTTTATTTTTTTATTATTTTTTTAAAACAATCTTTATTGTTCATATTATTACAAAGGTTCCTCATTTCTTCCCCCCTCCACCAGGTTCCCACCCCACCCTCCGTCCCCCCCCCCATCCCCCATTATCCTCATCCATAGGTGCAGTTTATGTTCAGTCTCTTCTTCCCTCCCTTTCCCCAATAGTAAATCCCTTTTCAGATAGTAAATCAGTTACTTAGCATTTTCTCATATCAATAATACCTCCACATGCCCAATGATACACTTCACACAAAAGATATTTCCCACTAGGTCAACCAGCCTCATCCAGGCCCCACCCAAGGCACTCACAGATCAACACCCCAGTCCTAAACTAATTCAACACATCCAGATCTAAGCCTTCATCACTTGAAGCAGCAGACCCTCAAGTTCCCACGAAAATTTCCAGCCATGTCTGAGAAGCAGCCGTGGGGCAGGGGCAGGCAAGGAGCGAGCTGTTCTGGGCCTGGCTGCTCAGGGCCTGGCCTCTGTTGCTCTGGTTCATTCCACAACCAGCTGCTCCGGGTCTGGTCACTGCTGCTCCCGACCTAGTTGCTCTGGACTTGGCTGCTGCTGCTCCGGGCCTGGCCGCTCCCAGCCTGGCAGCCGCTGCTCCGGGCCTGGCCGCACCAGCCCCACCTGCTCCCCCGGGCCTGGCCGCTCCCAGCCTGGCAGCCGCTGCTCCGGGCCTGGCCGCACCCGACCCGCCTGCTCCCCCGGGCCAGGCCGCTCCCAGCCTGGCAGCCGCTGCTCCGGGCCTGGCCGCACCCGACCCGCCTGCTCCACCGGGCCTTGCCGCTCCCAGCCTGGCAGCCGCTGCTCCGGGCCTGGCCGCACCGGACCCGGCTGCTCCCCCGGGCCTGGCCGCTCCCAGCCTGGCAGCCGCTCCCAGCCCGGGCCTGGCCGCTCCCAGCCCGGCTGCTCTGCCTGGCCGCTCCCAGCCTGGCAGCCGCTGCTCCGGGCCTGGCCGCACCCGACCCGGCTGCTCCCCGGGCCTGGCCGCTCCCAGCCTGGCAGCCGCTGCTCCGGGCCTGGCCGCACCCGACCCGCCTGCTCCCCCGGGCCTGGCCGCTCCCAGCCTGGCAGCCGCTGCTCCGGGCCTGGCCGCACCCGACCCGGCTGCTCCCCGGGCCTGGCCGCTCCCAGCCTGGCAGCCGCTGCTCCGGGCCTGGCCGCACCTAGGATTGTTCTTGAAAGAGAATTTATTAGGATCACCCCACCTACAAGTGAATATATAGAGCTTTATGCACAAGCAGTGTTAGATATATTTTTTCTCAGTTTTACCTTCTCTCCATTTCCCCAGGAATTCCAGCCAGGAACCACGGCCTACACTGTCCAACACAATTCAGAGGCCACAGCTAGGTCCCACAGTTAATTTATCCCTGGAGATGGGCTCCGGGCAGCTGGCACCCAGGTGAGAAATGGTGGGAGAATCATTTATTGAGCAGTGACTAGTCCAGGGCCATCTGCAGTCCCATTATTTTTTTATTTTGTTAAGCCTTTTTCCCAGATTGTTTAAAAAAAATTTCCCCCCTATTTCTCTCCTCACTGGCTTTACCATATAGGCAGCAGCAACAACAAACAGAACTGGACGTAGTACCAGGAAGAGATGGACTGGCCAGCTACAATCATTCCCAGGTTAGTGTGTCTTCTTTGAAGAAGGACCGTGAGCATTTTTAAAAAGAAATATCTCTCAGTGCCAGTTAGAGTGTAAATGTATCTATGTGAATTTTAGGGTTATTGAATTGTCATGTTAAACCTTTCGTGGTTATTTTTATCATTGTATTCCACAGGTTTCTGTTCAGCCTGTGACAGCCACAGGGCCAGAACACAGCAAGCCCCTTGAGAAGTCAGATGGTCTGTTTGCCCAGGATAGAGATCCAAGATTTTCAGAAATCTATTCCAACATCAATGCAGGTATGTTTCTTACTCATTCTCCTTTTAAATTCTCATTTTGATCACTTACTGATGGGCCTGTTGCTGCCCAATCAGCAGTCTTCCAACATATCCCCTCTTAGTCACAATACCTCATGGGTAAATAGGAACTTGCTGAACTGTTATAGTGCAGCCCCTTGACTGGCCCTCCCCCACTCCTTTTGGTCCGCAGATCAGAGTAAAGGCATCTCTTCCAGCACTGGCCCTGCCACCCAGCTATTCTCCCAGGGCAACACATTCCCTCCTACCCCCCGGCCGGCAGAGAATTTCAGGTGAGCCCCATATGTGTGTATTGCTTTAAGGGCAACTGATGGATTCATTTGCTGAGTCCAAGTTTTATTCTTCCCTAGCTTTCTCTGGTTATTTCAGACAAGGCAGGGAACTTATAGGGCCTAGGATGAGACAAGCTGCTTTTCTTCCTCCTGTGTCTTTGCACTTTGCCTGTTGCCATGTTCTAGGTTCCATCTCTGTGTGTCCTGATCAGTCTTTCTGATCTTTTCCACATTTTTTATCAAGTTTTCCTTAACCTCAAGGAAGTCAAGGGAATCTGAGAATAGCACTAGATTGTCCTGTGATTCCTAGATTCTGTGATAAACACATCCTTTTAATCCTTTACCTTAACTGTTTGTTCACGCCTAGAAATAGTGGTCTGGCACCTCCTGTAACCATCGTTCAGCCATCAGCTTCTGCAGGACAAATGTTGGCCCAGATTTCCCGCCACTCCAACCCCACCCAGGGAGCAGCCCCAACGTGGACCCCTAGTACCCGCCCAGGCTTCTCTGCCCAGGTAAAGTTTCTCACCTGCCCCCTAGATATTGTTTTTTGTTTGTTTGTTTGTTTGGGCTGTTTTTCCCATATGTAAAATTATTGTTGTTTATCTTGGGCTCCTTTTCCTCAATCCCCACCATCTACCTTCCAATTTTTATCTTCATTGGGATTAATTAGATAATTAAAAACCATGGATAATATAAAACTCAGAGTCTGTGGTGTTTACATACCCACTTTAAGTCAGAATTGCTGCACTAACTGGTTTGGCTCAGTGAATAGAGCATTGGCCTGTGGACTGAAGGGTCCCAGGTTCGATTCCGGTCAAGAGCATGTACCTTGGTTGTGGGCACATCCCCAGTAGGAGGTGTGGAGGGGGTAGCTGATTGATGTTTCTCTCTCATCAATGTTTCTAACTCTTTATTCCTCTCCCTTCCTCTCTGTAAAAAAAAAAAAAAAAAATCAATAAAATATATTTAAATAAATAAATAAATAAATCAGAATTGCTCACATAAAACATCTTGAACAGATTTTCAAATGTGTTTTGGAGTAAATTCTTTTTTCCCCCTAAGATTTTAAAAACATACATACTTTTAAATTGATTTTAGAGAGGAAATAAGAGGGAGAGAAAAATAGAAACATCAATAATGAGAGAGAATCATTGATCAGCTGCCTCCTGTATACACCCCTACTGGGGATTGAGCCCACAACCCCGGCATATACTCTTAATCGGAATTGAACCTGTGACCCTTTAGTCAACAGGCTGATGCTCTATTCAATAAGCCAAACCTACTAGGGCTGAAGTAAATTATAAGAGGCTTCCGCTTCGTTTAGGACTACAAAATACAGGAACAAAGGAGAAAACTAGTTATGAATTTAGACACAAAGGTGTCTATTTAAAAAAAAGTGTTGAAAAGTTCCTATATACTCTATATGTATATCCTATATAATAAGAGCCTAATATGCTAAGTTTCTGACTGTTCAACTGTTCGACCAGTTGTTATAATGTGCACTAACCACCAGGGGCAGATGCTCTGACTGGTATGTTAGCTTGCTGCTGGGGTCCGGCAGATCAGGACTGGGTGAGATGGGCTGGACACACCCTGGCAGGCCAGCCTCCCCCAATCCCTCCCTGCCAGGCTGGCCCTTATCGGCCCCAATTGGGATTGGGCAAGATGACCCCAATCAGCCCTAATTGGGCTTGGGCAAGATGGGCCAGACATGCCCTGGAGACCTCCCGTGGGCCCTCCCGGCCAGTTGGCCCTTATCAGTCCCAATCGGGACAGGGCGAGATGGTCCCTATCAGCCCTAATTGGGACTCGGCAGTGAAACAGGCCAGACACTCCCTGGAGCCCTCCTGCAGTCCCTCTCCACCCTGATCGTGCACTGGTGGGGTCCCTCAGTCTGGCCTGCACTCTCTCGCAATCCAGACCCCTTGGGGAATGTCGGAGAGCCTGTTTTGGCCCGATCCCCGTAGGCCAGGTTGAGGGACCTCGAATCCATGCCTCGGGCCTCTAGTATAATATGTTAAGCTAAAGCTAATATCCTATGTTCATAGTAGCACAATTTACAATAGCTAAGATTTGGACAATAAAAAATAAAATAAAACTAATATCCATTCATAAGTTCATATATACTTATATTAGTAATATATAACATATATAATATATAACATTCTTTATATGATATGTAATATAAATATAAATGGTAACACTTTAAATTTAAAAAGCAAAATCCAAAAGTAGGCTCCAGAATTATTATTATACAATGTTATCTCAATTGTATAAAAAATTGCATAGGAAAATAAAAACTGGAAGAAATTATCCACCATATGTCTTTGGTGGTAGAATTGTGATCAATGTTTTAAAAGTATTTTCTTCACTTTGCAAATATTCCATAGTGTATATACATTACTATTATGGTGAGAAAAATGGGAGTTACTAAAAAAAAGGACATCATTAGGAACAAATGAATGTGCTACAGACTGAAAAATGATGAGAAGTGTTTTTATATATATACACACACACCATAGTGTTAATGCCTCCATTTTTATATAACTTCATAATTTATAAAATGATTTTATATAAATCATTTTTATTTAGTTTTCACAACTTTAAATGTATACTTTTATTAATTTTGTAGTTCATTTCTTTTTGCACTTTTCACAGTTGCCTAAAGATAGTGTCAAGAGAGATTGGGGATTAGCTGGAAGAAATATGCATTAGGAAATTGCTGAGTTTCAACCAAAAGAACCCAGTGATTGACAGAGCATTGACCCTCATAGGAATGGTATGTGCAATAATCTTAATGTTCTACTTATTGTTCTGTGTTCCTTTTTCTCTCTTAGCAAGTGGCCACCCAGGCTACAGGCAAGACTCGTTCTTCGCAATTTGGTGTGGGCAACTTTCAGACTCCATCTTCCTTTAGTCCCATGTCCGTCCCTGGTGCTTCCACTGCATCATCTGGTGCTGCTCCTTACCCTACTCTCACCAGTCGTGGATCCAACTTTGGTGAGTTCAGTCCAGAAGATGGATAAAAGGAAAATCACAGCACTAAAGAGAAAGGATTTGGAGGTTAAGATGGTTTGCTGTGCTCTGAGCTAATTATGAATAAATTTAAGGTATTTGCTATTTAAAACCTAGCCAGATGGCTCTGGCCAGTTTGGCTCAGTAGATTGAGTGTTGGCCTGCAGACTGAAGGGTCCCAGGTTTGATTCTTGTCAAGGACACATACCTGGGTTGTTGGCTCATTACCCAGAGGGGCATGCAGGAGGCAGCCTATCAATGATTCTGTCTCATTATTGATGTTTTTCTCCCTGTTGCTTCCTCTCTGAAATCAATAAAAATAAACCCTATGTAATAAAAGGCTAATATGCAAATTGACCAAACCACAGAACAGTGATGATGCCCACTGACAACCAGGGGGCAGATGCTCAATGAAGGAGCTGTCCCCTGGCGGTCAGTGAAGCTGGTTCACGGCTACCGTCAGTCGGACATCCCCTAAGGACTCCCAGAACTATGAGAGGGTGCAGGCTGGGCTGAGGGGACATACACACCACACATGCATGCGTGTGTGCACACACACACATACCACCACAGCACCACCACCACTCCCTGTGCATGAATTTTGTGCATTAGGCCTCTAGTAAATAAAATCTACCCACATGAAAAAGATCTATAACAAAAAGCATGTAAAATATTAACTTAATATGCACATTTATTCTAAAATGAGCAAAGGATTCTTTGGAATAGCTTCTTAAAGAAGAAAAATAAATTGGTTTGGGTTTTGAAATAGAAGAGGCATTGATTGGCAGAAAGAAAGGCAAGAGGTTTCTAGGTAAAATTAATGACTTGCATGTAGTTATGTGTTACATTTTCCTCTCCAATGAAATTAGTAGATTGAAGTTTATTCTTCGTCGCTAGCTCCTGAGACTGGACAGACTGCAGGACAATTCCAGACACGGACAGCAGAGGGTGTGGGAGTCTGGCCACAGTGGCAGGGCCAGCAGCCTCATCATCGTTCAAGTTCTAATGAGCAACATGTTCAACAGCCATCAGCACCGCAACCTGGCCAGCCTGAAGTCTTCCAGGTGAGAGGGTGGAAGGCTTTAGGAAATGAGAAATTTGGAGAGAAAGGGTAATAGAGGAGAGACAGAAAAGGAAATATGCACGTATTAGGGTATGAGTGGGAGAAGACAGTGGGGACATGTAGGGATAATTGTCATTAATAGGAAAGATGATGAATTTAGTTTGATGTACAGCCTTTAACCAGACCATAGTTAGTGATGTGCAGCACCGTGCAAAGATGTCAAAGTAATCATAGCCCATTCAAGGAGAGCCACATCCCCACTTCACAAACCTTGAGTATAAACATACTGATTATAGTTATAAAGGTCTGTTTACCTAATCCTGAGGGGACTGCAAGGCCGATTGGAGTAATCTTAGGCAATACAAAGGAAGAGCTAGTTTAAAACATAAGTTGAAAGAAGGCAAAACAGGTTTTGGTAGAAAACAAAGAGGATAAGAATAATAAATAATAAATCTATGGGGAAGGAGGCAGTATATGAAATGTGATAAGCAGATTTTTCCATTTTTGAAAATACTGAGTACTGGAAAAGTGGGAAATGTGTGGAACTATAGGGGGAAGACAGAGAAGGGACTAGGACAAAAGTTCGTCATCTAAAGGAGTCAGAGTTGCTGAGATTGAGGAAAGCTGAGAGAACTCAGCACAGCAGAAACTCTTTGGGGACAGGAATGTGGTTCAGGGGAATGTTGGAAGGGAGCTTAATAAATGTAAGGGATCAAGGTGTGTGACCAAACTTACTTTTCTCTTACTAGGATATGCTGTCCATGTTGGGAGACCAGGGCAACAGCTACAACAATGAAGAATTTCCTGATCTAACTATGTTTCCCTCCTTTTCAGAATAGAACTATTGGGGTGAGGATAAAGGGGTGGGGAAGAAAAATTACCATTTGTTTTTAAAAAACAAATCTTTCTGTAAACGGAATAAAAATTCCTCTCCCCTCCCTTCCCTCACCCCTATTGTGTACCCCCTTTCACTTCCGGCCTTTCGTTTGCCCTCCTGCCTCTCTGACATAATTTATAGATGAGATGGAGTAAATACTCAAGGTTTTGTGGACCGTTTGAAAATTGAGGCTGGGTGAAGTTAAAAATGCTTTGCCTTATGTCTCCTGACCAGCAATTTGTACAGAGGTGATTTCTGCTAGGGTCAAGGGACATATTAGAGAACTTGATGTCCACTATTTGCCTTGTACTGTGGCTTGTTTTTGGAAAGAAATTTTGAATAAAGCGGGGAGAGGAGAAATGTCCTCATATTTGAGGACCATGAAACATGGTAGGTATATATGGGGCTTTAGGAAGTGAGAATATGTTCTTTCTGCTGCCTGTGAGCAGTTTCTTTGGAAAGAAATGTGAGTGAAGAAATGAGAGAGAGAGAGAGAGAGAGAGAGAGAGAGAGAGAGAGAGAGAGAGAGAATGTGTATTTCTTTGTCCCAGATTTTATCTTTGTCTTTCTCTGTGTTTTTCAAAGAGTCCTAAGGAGTTAAATCTTCCAGGTATTTTCTACTTAGTATTGCAGCCAAAGAGTATTTAAATAAATGTCTTTGCTGTACTTACATCTGTGCCCAGCCAATATGCAACTCTAAGCAGATATATAACATTTTCTGCTGATATGATTGGTCTATCATCAGACATATTTAGTAATAAAACTGGTGCTCTCACCTTATATGGAATATGTGCAAACATTACAGGCTGGCAGGATAAAACTTTCAGAAACCCCATATTTGGCCATAAGAATAATGCTGCATTTTTGTCAGAATGACATATATGTGTTCCATGGAAGTTATTTCTGCATGGAAACTCAACTTCTTGGATTAGTAGTCCCAGTGCAAACCCTCACTGGTGCAGTTTGAACCAAATACCAGCCTTCTTGCAAAGTAGCCTCTCATCCCGTTCTCAGAGTATCCAGTCTGGCAAGAAACTGAGATTTAGGTCTTTTCTGACCTGTGACTCTTTGCTCCATCTCAGTCTTGAGACTGGATTTTGCTTTGTAGTGCAAAATAAATAAATCCATGTGATAGATGGGGCCTGGACTCCCATCCCAACAGGGTCACTTAGTAATTAATTAACTACAGCCATATAAATGTGGATACAGGTTACTACTATCACTTTACCTTCCTCAGGTAACAGTCATGTATATCAGCCTTTTTTTTTTTTAATTGGCTCAGGCCAGTATTGTAAGTGAAAGACTGAATAAGAAGACATTTTAAATGTAGCCATAGGGGACTGAGGAGCACGGATGGCCTTGGAGAGGCTCAGAGAATGTCATTTCGGAGTTTCCCTCCCTTTTGTCTCCAGTCTGGTGCCAGGTATTGGAGTGGAAAAGGAGACAGTTTATTTTTTTATTCTATGTGCACACATACAGTATACATATATATTTATATCACAATTTAAGAAACCAAAATGTTGAGTTTCCAATAAAGTCCTTGTTTTTTAATAATCACCTGTTTTTAAATGTGATCAAGACTATAATATTGTATAATTATTATAGGGCGTTGTGGGAGGGTTGGGAAAGGGAGGGAGAAGATGCTCTGGGGGTTTTGTTTCTGCTTTTCCTTCAGGGTTTTATTTTTGGTTGTTTTTCTCTTGTTGGCCATTTCTGTACTGCTGGCATCTGTGCTGAGCCTTACAGTGGCAAAAATAATGACATGTAGCAAGTATTTTAAAACAAAATATTTTTCCTTTTGTAAACTTTGTGTGGTGTCATCTTGATTGCGGCTTTATTATTCCTTTGCAGCTCATAAACAACAGACTCCCATGAATAGTTGAATCCATAGTTTTAGTTCCAAACATTCACACATAAAGTACAATATGTCTGTAGTTTCAGAAATGGGAAATCATAGGGCTCTGATCACTCAGTATTCCTCGGTTGTCCTCCTGATCCTGACTCATTCTGAGTGCAGTTAGGGACAGCTGACTGTGAGATAGGGTTGGGGAATGCCAAAGTCCTGTGAGAGGGGAGAATTGGGACTGGAGACGAGTTGGGCACATCTGGATTTCTTCTCTCAGCATCTCCCCCTCTTCTGGAAGAAAAGGAATTAAGGGCAGGGAAGTTTAAACTATTCAGATCTGGACCTGGTTTTCCTCTAAGTTCATGAGCAAATCTTAAAACGCATAGGCATAAGCCTGTGTGCTTGAGAGTCTATGTAATCCACCAGACACTAGATCTAGATTCCATGTATTATCCTTTCTGTTCCGTTCCAAGGACCCTCTTTTCCTCTTCCCCACATCCATTTATGGAAGAATATGGAGTTTGGGAGTGTGGCTCATGACCTGTCACATGCCTGGATATTGGGGGAAGTATGTGGAGAAGCTCATATGACTGGACCTCAGTTGGGGATGTTAGTAATTGAGACAGATAATGTTCACCAGCCATCCCACCATTAGAGTTTAGCAACAAATAAGTCACATGTGAGCCTGTCAGGGCCATGGCATTGATTCATGTGCTGTCATAAATTTCTAAGAATTCTGATTTTTGCTACTTTTAGAACTGGTTTCATCTGGACTTTGGGCATATCCTTCCTCAGCACAACTGTATCAGGGTAGGAGAGCTATTCCTGTGCATAGAAGCAGTGACAGCAGTTACCAACAAGCTTATAAAATACAAATGATTTTGAAGTCTATGGCTTCTCATATACTCTTTAAACCTTTTGTTTTTATTCCTTCACCTCAGACACAAATTTAAAAACAAAGTTTAAAATTGGAGAGACGGGTAACAGGAAAAGATAATAATCCTCCAATATAATAAAAAATGGGGAAAAAATGGAAAAGAAAATTCTAAAAAGTGGGAGAGATCAGGAATAGATCCCTCTACTGAGAGAAGATAAGCCCTGACTTGAGTACTGTGTATTGGGTCTATTGTTGTCTGCCCTTGATGTAAAAGCAGCTCTCCACCCTGGCTCACTCCACAGGCATACAGAAACACTGCAAATTCGATGCCTGCTTCTCTCCTCCCTAATTCCCCTTCTTAGCATTTCTATCTCCGCCTCCCTCCCCTGTCCAAATTTTCCAGCCAACAGCTGGAGCTGACTTCCGCAATTCTGATGGAATAAATCCAGCAATCCTAGGCATCCGCCCACATTATCGTCGCTTCCCTGCTGAAACTAGCCCAGAGAACAGATTCCCATCAGCAGGTAATATTTTCAACTTTCCTAGCTCTTGGTTTTTCATTCCTGCCAGTTCTACATTTTAGGGGTGTTAGGGATCTTAGTGACTTGAGGATCAAAATGAACTTTGTAGTCTCTGTGCAAGAAAACAATGATAGCCTTCTTAGGTCATTTCCTGGCCAAATAAAATCTGCCTGGAAATCTTTAGGATTACTTCTGAGACTTGTATGTATACATGGTTGTTAGTAAAAGCAAAAATACAGGAATCCTTTACCCATGCTTCACTTAGAGTAGCCTCTGGGATTTTCTGTTTTGGCCAAAGGGACCAAAAGGGTTAACATAGTGGGAGAAGAGTGGTACCAAAAGGGTTAACATAGCGGGAGTGGAGTGGTGCAGGGAGTGGCAGCTCAGTACTTGCTACCCTGAGACACCCCAAAGCAACCAGTTTGCAGAGATTACATAAAAATGGACTATAAATTCAAAACTTAATGCAAGCTGTGTGACTTGCTACAGACTGTAAATTGTTCTTAAAATGGAGGACATGTAATTAAGCCACTGCAAGGAGTAAAGCTAGCGCAAACTAGGGAAAGCTGTATATTTGGTCATAGAACATTGCTTTACTGTCTTACATTCTTTTAACAGACTTTGGTTCTGAGGCTATTTGTCTTATGAGGCAGTCACAGAGGTTTTCGTTGTCAGAAAAAAAAAAGAAGAAGAAGAAAAAAAAAAGAAAAACAAACCTTCCTGCCCAGAGCAGCTGGTTGAAATTAGGACAGTTTCCTGCCGGAGGAGGGAGCAAAAACAGAAAGAAAGAAGAAATGCTTAAGACTAAGGAGAGAATAAAATATTCTTTCATAGTTAGCGAATAGGAAATAACTGTCAACTTTTCCCTTGTCCTCTCCTAGCAAGGTCTGGAAAAATATCGGAACTTAGGCACAGAAAGGAAGAATGCCTTAAAGAAATGACCAGGAAGCAAAATGAAACAGGCAGTCTTCCTTTTTTTGTATTATTCAACCACCATCATCCGCCCTGCGTTTATATGTAACCTTGTCCATCTTTTCCAAGTCTGCTGGGGATATGGGAGGAGACAGGTGCTGAGCCCATGCTGATAGTCCATTTTCTACCCTGTTTAGGTTGTCAGTGCAAGTTGTGTGTGTGTGTATGTGTGTGTGTGTGTGTGTGTGTGTACGGAATTTTCCTAGGTCAAAATACTTAGCACCAGAAGTATCTGCACCCCATCCAAACCCAGACTTCTCCTGACTATCAGGTTTATCACATGGACATCACCTTCAGTTGTTTTTCTGTCTTCATGAAGCCCAATTTTCCTTTGCCTCATAGTCAATAGGAAGACGTTCTCAACTTCAGGCTCATCAATACCCCAGAATTATTGTGTGTGCATGCATTTTTTCTGGTGCGAGGGATTATATAGTGGCTTGCAAATTTTTACTAGCTTCTCAAAGGAGTCTGTGACTGCCAAAGGTTGAGAACCACCTCTTTGGGAAGATGGCTCCAGGTATTTCCTCCTAAGCCAGGCTAGACTTCCTTGGCAAATACAAGCGTTGTCCCTAATTATTCCGTTCCTCAGGATGTGGGAGCTCAAGGTTCTACTGCTGCTGCCCATGGTGAGCTTTGCTCTATACCCTGAAGAGATACTGGACACCCAATGGGAGCTATGGAAGACGACCTACAAGAAGCAGTATAACAGCAAGGTGCCCAGGGACTTGGAGGGAGCAGGGTAGGAGGGCTAAGTGGGACTTCCAGTCCCAGGTTCCAGATTCCTATCCAATATTTGAACCACTCCAACCAAGCAAACCTGTCCTTGTTCCCCAGCTGTTAACATAGAGTTTTTATTCCTACTCCTCAAGTCACCAACAAGTAGAACCATCAAGTTCTATCCTTACTCTTCTTTATATTTTTCTTTTGGGAAGACTTCTAAGATTAATGCTGTTAATCCATAAGCAACTTTTCTGTACATCTCCAGATCTTTGCATTCTATTATTTGACTATGCTTATACATTTCTTCTTGCATGTTTTTTATAATTCCATAATCATTTCCCAAACTAGATTGTATACTCTCTGTTATTGTAAGTTTTTATCTTTTCTCCTAAATACCTCCATAGTATAACATATGTAACTTTGCACACAGAACCCAGTCTGTGTCAGTACTGACGATGCTCTGTTTAGGTGGATGAAATCTCTCGGCGTTTAATTTGGGAAAAAAACCTGAAGCATATTTCCATCCATAATCTTGAGGCCTCTCTTGGTGTCCATACATATGAACTGGCAATGAACCACTTGGGGGACATGGTGAGTGAACCTCAGCTCTTGTCCTACCTGTCCTGTTTGCCTTAGTTTCCTGATTATGCCTGGCCTCTCTTTTCTTTGTCCCAGACAAGTGAAGAGGTGGTTCAGAAGATGACTGGACTCAGAGTACCTCCATCTCATTCTCGCAGTAATGATACTCTCTATATCCCAGACTGGGAAGGCAAAGCCCCAGACTCCATTGATTATCGAAAGAAGGGATATGTTACTCCTGTCAAAAATCAGGTACCCTCCTGACTCCTGGGAATGGGTATGTAAGCTGGCATGACCTTTTCCTTTTGCTGTTTCTTTGCTGTTTCTTAAGATACAAGGGCATTAGGAAAGGGGTGAGGGATTAACCTCTCCCCGTGCAAATAGCCTATTTCATCATTTAACTCATCTATTTTCGAACTTTTAGTTTTTTTTGTTAATCCTCACCTGAGGATATTTTTTCCATTGATTTTTAGAGAGAGTAGAAGGGGGGGAAGAGAGGAGAAAAGAAAGAAGATGATGTGAGAGAGACATCAATTGGTTACCCCCCTCACAATGCCCGAACCCCCAACCCAGGCAGGGGATCAAATCTGCAACCCAGATACATGTCCTTGACCAGGAATCGAACCCTCAACCTTTTAATGTGCAGGATATCTCTAACAATTGAGCAACACTGGACAGGGCTTTAGGTTGTTTCTACATTTTCCTTTTTTACAAATAATGTAAGCACCGTGTGCACATATTTTTGCATCCATATACAAATATTCATCCAAAATAAATCCTCAAATTAAAATGAATAGATCCTTTCCAAAAAGGTTTTACTATCTTACATTCTCTCAGCATGAGAATGCCAGTTTTCCCACAGCCTTAACAACATTAATTGTATGTGTCAACAGATGAACAATTGACTTAACATTCATTCAACGAATAAATTTTTTCCCCCAGGACTTAACCCCCAGGAATAAATTCCCCCCCCCCCCAGGATATGTGCTAGGCAGTAGAGATTCAAGATGACTAAGACACACCTGTGTCCTCAAGAAATCCTCAATCTTAAAAAATAGAAAAAAAGCCCTGGCCAGTGTGGCTCAGTTGGTTGGAGTGTTGTCCCATGTACTGAAAGCTCACAGGTTTGATTATCATTCAGGGCACATGCCCAGGTTGCGTGCAAGGTTAATCCTCTGTTGGGGCATATGGGAGGCAGCCAATGGATGTTTCTCACATCGATGTTTCTCTCCCTCTCCCTCTCCCTCTCCCGCTCCCTCTCCCTCTCCCTCCTTCTCTCTCTCTCGAATCAATAAAAAACGTATCCTTAGGTAAGGACCAAAAAATAATAATAAAAATATAAAAAAGAAAAATCTACCACCTATCTTAAGAAACACTAATGATTGCTAGCACGTTTATCATCCACATTTTACAGAGAGGGAAACTGAGGCAAAAAGAGGTTTAGTAACTTAACTCAAGGTTTCCTATCTAAGTGGTTACAAAGTCAGTACTCTGCTATACTTCAGCTAATGAAACAATAGTAACAAAAGATATCAATAGCAATAATAGCAATAGAACAGTGCAACAAATATTAAATGAAGGGAAATCGCAAAGGGGACATGTATACTGGAATTTATAAAATCTATGGAACTTCATCAGGCAGGTAGAGGTGAAAAAACAAAAAGCATGAATAACAATGACTGATGGTTTCTCTGTTATGCCTCTCAGGGTCAGTGTGGTTCCTGTTGGGCTTTTAGCTCTGTGGGTGCCCTGGAGGGTCAACTCATGAAGAAAACGGGTAAACTCTTAAATCTGAGTCCCCAAAACCTGGTGGACTGCGTGTCTGAGAACGATGGCTGTGGAGGGGGCTACATGACCAATGCCTTCCAGTATGTGCAGAAGAACCGGGGCATTGACTCCGAAGATGCCTACCCGTATGTGGGACAGGTGAGACCATCCCGCATAGCTCTGGAACGCATCCTCCTGCCCCGGCATGATATTTTGTACTGGAAACAATTCCAGAAATCTTGTTTTCTGTTACCTTATTCTGCTTTCTTACTGGGAAAATAGTCCACTGAGGCCAAGAAGATTCCCACACTCTGGGAGAATTTGGGGAGCTTAGGCTACCATAGATCCCATCTGCCTCTGTGCCCCAGGGGAGTGGGAGAAATAGGGGGTAGGCTATTCCATAGATCTTGGAGAAGGTCTTTATAACCCTCTGTTCAAAGCTCACTCCCATCACAAATCTCATTTCGTGAATCATGTGGCTTTATTTTGAATAATCTCATTTTGGGTTCTGGGAACATTTAAGCAAATTATGTAAGTTTACATATATAAAATGAGAAAAAAAACAAGTTGCTTCATATTTGTTGTAATTTTAAAGGTCAACTCACTTCCTCCAATAAGCCTCTTTAGCAATAGAAAGCAGATCTTATCTAAAATGAAGAAATTCTGAGGGCTGTTTATAGACATGGGGTTGATGATATGGGGCCTTTGCAACAGGAGCCTTGGAAGAAGGGATAACCAGTTTCATTTATTTATTTATAATATATTTTATTGATTTTTTTTTTTTAACAGAGAGAAAGGGAGAGAGATAGAGAGCTAGAAACGTTGATGAGAGAGAAACATTGACCAGCTGCCTCTTGCACACTCCGTATCGGGGATGTGCCCGCAACCAAGGTACATGCCCTTGTCTGGAATCGAACCTGGGACCTTTCAGTCTGCAGACTGACACTCTAACCACTGAGCCAAACCGGCTTCGGCGGGATAACCAGTTTTAGTAATGAAAATGATGGCTACAATGTGCTAAGCCATGTGCTTGGTGCATTTTCTCATTTAATCTCAACAGCCCTGTAAGGTAAATGTATCCTCACTTTGTAAGAGGAAATTGGCACAAGGTAAAAGAGCATATTCAAATTTATACCACTAGTTTTGTAGCAGAGCCAACGTTTATCTACCAGATCTGTTTATCTGCATGTCTTCTACGTATATATGCAAGAATTATCTTAAGTCTTAAGTTATTCAACTTTGCTAGATAGATAATATCAAATATTTTACCTATATATATATATTTTTTTAAATATATTTTATTGATTTTTTACAGAGAGGAGAGGAAAGGGATAGAGAGTTAGAAACGTCAATGAGAGTCATTGATCAGCTGCCTCTTGCACACCCCCTACTGGGGATGTGCCTGGAGCCAAGGTACGTGCCCTTGACCGGAATTGAACCTGGGACCTTTCAGTCCGCAGACCGACACTCTATCCACTGAGCCAAACCTTTCGGCAACATTCAGTCTTGATGTGGCTTTTTTATATCTTAGTTGCAGGAGTTCTGTTTATCTAGTCTTCAGGTGATTCTCATGGGTGGTGGTTCTATGGCTTAGTTGGAATTTTGAAGTGGTCATGGGAAGAGATGAGCACAGTTCTACTGACTCCGTCATCTTGATGGAAAGTCCCACATGTTCATCAGTGTGTTTATGTGGTCATCTGCTTTTCTTCTTCAGTGCACTGAATGTTTATATCTTTTGCCCATTTTAATTTGGTTTATTTTTCTTTCTTACTAATTTTTAGGGATTTAAAAAAGATATTTGGATACTTATGTATATTGTAGGTTGATGTTTGTCTTTTCACCCTTAATTTTAGTGTATTAAAATTATTAATTTTTTCCTTTGTAGTTTGTTCCTTTAAAAATTCAATAACAATGAGTTTATTCATTTATGTCTAACCATCTGAAATGATGTCTGCTGCAATAAAATGCTAAAGAAATCCATTATCTAAATATTAACAATAATGGTAGCCCTCCCAAGCTCACACATACTATGAAACCAGAAGGTGAAATGTGCTTTTAAAAAAAATCTTATTTCAGAAATCTTTACACTGAGGTAATAAAAAATTCTTTCTTTACCTGTTTTTTAGGTTTTACAGTGTTTCCTTCTATATTTATATTTTAAAACCACTTGAAAATGATTTTTGTGTATGGTGCAAGGTAGTCACTTTTTCACAGTGCTCTAAAATAGCAGAGAGAGAACAGACTTCTTTAGAGACTGGTCACTGACCCTGTTAGTTCATTAAAACGTTGGTAGAGCCCTGATTGGATTGGCTCAGTGGATAGGGCCTCGGCCTGCGGATTGAAGGATCCCAGGTTCCATTTCAGTCAAGGGCATGTACCTTGGCTGCAGGCACTTCCCCAGTAGGGGGTGTGCAGGAGGCAGCTCATCAACATTTCTCTCTCATTGATATTTCTACCTCTATATTTCACTTTCTTCCTTTCTGTAAAAAAATCAATGAAATAAATAATAAAGAAAAACATTGATAGAGTTTCTCACTCACCAATTCATTGCCTGTTGCTTTGTCCTACTATTTCTTCTATTGTTTTTTTTTTTTATTCCCCTGCAGGATGAAAGTTGTATGTACAATCCAACAGGCAAGGCAGCTAAGTGCAGAGGGTACAAAGAGATCCCGGAGGGGAACGAGAAAGCCCTGAAGAGGGCATTGGCCCGAGTGGGACCCATCTCAGTGGCCATTGATGCAAGCCTGAGCTCCTTTCAGTTTTATAGCAAAGGTAAGCAGCTGCTCTAGAGGAGCACAGTCAGCGTATGATGTGGGCTTGGCAGCTTCTCAGCGGGCACTGAGCGTTTTCAGTACTTCGTTTCCCTATTCAGAATGAGTCTGCCAGAGAGAAACTAACAGCTGCCATGGCACAGAGCATCTCTGATGTAAGCCCTTCTGACTGGGATGGATGCTACAAAGGGTCACCGAGAGTGGGAGACCCCACAGGGCGCCCCTGGGATTACCGGAAGCTTTACCTTAATTGACTGTTTCTTAGGTGTGTATTACGATGAAAACTGCAACAGTGATAATCTGAACCATGCAGTTTTGGCAGTGGGATATGGGGTCCAGAAGGGGAAAAAGCACTGGATAATCAAAAACAGGTAATGAGGGGAACACTACTCTTGTCAGTCAACCACTCTCCTTTCCCCTTCCCGTCCTCCAGTCTTCCATTCTCTCCACTTATTTCCTTAGCAACCTCATCCATTCTCATAGCTTCATTTATTTTCCCTATGGTTTTTAATTCCCACACTAAAATCACTAATTCAGCCTCTCTTCCTTCTTTCTTATGCTCTAGACTCATGTTTTCAAGATTACTCTTCCTAAAGCATAAATCAGATTACATCACTCTCCCAATCAGAAACCTTCAGTGTCTCCTCCACTATGATGGATCAGAGTCCAAGTCTTTATTTAGCCTGGTAGTAAAAATAACTCAACTTGATCTCGAGCTACCTTACCAGACATACTTATCACACCCTGTTAGGCACCCTATTTTTCAGTCATAAGACTGTATGTAACACATGTCTCATGCTCTCCTGCCTGTTACTCATTTCACACTCCTCCACTAGCATCCCATTTCCACAGGCCCCAACTCTATCTAGCCTTTGGGCTGAGCTCAAATGCTACCTCTTATGTCATCTTTTTGTTCCTCTTGATCAAAAGCAATCTCTCCTACCTTTAAGGCCTATAGTATTAGGCCTTCCATTTCTTGACTTTAAACTTTTTAAAGGTAAAAACTGTCTTATTTATTTTATATGCTATTACAATACCTACTATTTTAATGTATAAATGAGAGTACTAAGTATATTTCTCCATTGATCCTACAGCTGGGGAGAAAACTGGGGAAACAAAGGCTATATCCTCATGGCTCGGAATAAGAACAATGCTTGTGGCATTGCCAATCTGGCCAGCTTCCCCAAGATGTGACTTCAGCCAGCCAACCCTATCCTGCTCATCCATTCCTTCCATGATGGTGCAATGAAGTGATGTACTTTGGAAGGGAGTGGTATGCCTTTCTGGAAGCAGATGTAGTAATACAGAGATTGTCCATTCAGTCTCATTTGTTTGTGCTTCAGGCGACACTCCTACTACTTTTCCTTCTCTCCACCAAGGCCTTTATTTTTCACTGTGACCACAATAGGAATTTCACTAACAGGTGTGCATTCGTAGGCTAAGAGGTGTGACCATAGCCTGCCCTGCAGTGTTGTCCTGAGGCTAATGCTGTGCAAACAGTTAGAAGCTCCAATCTTAGATAGGCCAGATTCTCATTCACAGGGCCTAGTTAGCTTTGACCACTCTAGGGGAATAAGGTGATCTGACTTTTTGATCACCATGTTCACATCTTTTATATCCCAAGGTAGAAATATCTATGCACCCCAGTTCATAAATCTATTTATCAATTTTTGGTACAAGTTAACATGATACAAGAAATGTGTTTTCTTTTTCCTTCTTTGCATTTTTTAAGTAAACCTAGTATTTATCTTTCTATAACTTAATAAATAGCTATTTGGTAACAAGTCATTTTGTGGTGGATACTGTCCTAGGTGCTAGAGACAAAAAAGGAATAAAACATATCCTTATATTTGATGTGCTCATAGTTTGTTTGAAGAGATCATAACATAAATAATTCATCTTAATTCATTTATTTGTTCATTCCTTTAACCAATTTCTATTAAGTGCTCTGTACTAAGAACTGTGCAAAATTTCAGGAAATAAATGGATATAATGAGATTTCAATATTTAATTCCATTTTAGGGGTACCAGATTAAGTGGCACAAATACTTGGGCCTTGAAAAATATCTTAGGCTCTCTGAAGTTCTAGAACCTAAACTTACGCTGTCTCCAGGAGAGGAAATTGAAGAAACTTTTAAAAAATACATTTATTTTTACTTTTTTCTTTATTGTTGAAAGTATTGCAGTTGTCCCCTTTGTTTGTTTATGGTTGTTTTTTTTCCACTGACCCCCTCCACCCTCCATCCACCCCTCCCAGGCATATTGGAAACTATTTTTTTTTTAATTGAAACACTTTATAATGGTTTTCAAGCAGTATTAATTCTAAAAGAATTTAGCAGGCTAGTAATAAATCTGTATAATTATTTTACCATTTTTCACAAAATCCTCATTCTTACCACTAGAAAGAATTCACATTTAGAAAATGCTAACCATATGTCAGGCAGTATTTAATTTTATTCTATGCAAAATCATTTATTTTTATATGTAAATATTTATTACCATGCGGTATGCATGATAATGAAATATATATTAGTAAGACACAGCCTGAACTTTAAGAATATTATAGACTAGTGACAGACATATAAACAATAATACCAACCATAAAGAAATAAATACGAATTATGCAAATTTGGAAATGAGCATTCATTCTTAATGGGACTTTAGATGAGTTTTCATTGAGAACAGAGCTTTGGAAGATCTGAATGGGCAGAGAAGACCGACGGGGAGTGGAGCAGGAGGAGTGAAGGCATATCAGGCCAAAGGTTCTCAGTGAACAGGCGCTGAGAGAATTGTGTGTGTGAATGGTGAGGGCTGGGATGGCTCCAGTATAGGATGCAAAGACATACATGATAGAGCTGAGGTGAGGAAAGTAGGCTGGAGAAGAATCATGGAAGGCCTTGAATGCCTCCCATGTCCCAGGAAGTACATACTTTATTTTATAGATTCACAGGCATTTAGAAGATATCAGGTATTTTTGAGCAGGAGAGAGACATGATCAGATCTGTATTTTAGCAATATTCCTCTGGCAGTGGTGTAAAGGACAAATAACAGATGAACAAAATGAAGATGCAAGAAAGTAGAGGAAAGTTGACATGATGAATACGGCACATACTCTGCTTCTTTTCAAAGAAGGGTCCTTCACAGAAAAATGACTTCTGAATTTTTCTGAAGCTTGACTATGTGCTTGCAGGTGGGGTGTTAGGTAAAGGCATTCCAGACCCAAAGAATAGCATATTCAAATGTATAGGCAGGAGAGAACATGGTGAGCAATAAGCATGTATTTTTTCTGAGCTTTGAAAGGACTAAATACAAACTTGAGAAATATCAGACTCCTCACCATGAAAATATATACAGTTCTATTATTTTGATTTGGAACTTTATCCCTTTTGCCTAAAGAACATTTTTTTTAGAATTTCCTTTTGAATGGACATGTGATCAACAAATAGACTCCATTCCTATATGTGGTTGGGTTTATTTTTAGTGATATGCTAAGGGAGGAATGGTCACCCTGAGGGCAAAGTCCTACTCTACAATTGTTATTACAATACTAGGCACCCAAGGCTTTTTACCCACATAGAGGGCACACCTCGAGTATCCAGCTTGGGGGAATGGGCAGGCTGTGCCCCTGGAACCTATAGGACATTTACTACATTAGCCTACTCTATCAAGCCTGGGAAATATAGTAGCTATGTATAGTATTTCTACTAATACATAGAAACAAGTACAGGGAAACTGCCAAAATGAGGAGACAAAGAGGCCCGAAATGAAAGAACAGAAGAAGCTCCAGAAAAAATAATTAAACAAAATGGACACTAGTTACCCTAGCAGTTTTGCTCAGTGGTTAGAGTGTCATCCTATAGACCAAAGGGTCATGGGTTTGATTCCTGATTGAGGACATGTACCTTGTTTGCAGGTTCAGTCTCCGGCCCCAGTAGAGTGCATGCAGGAGGCAACCAATTGATGTGTCTCATGTTAATGTTTCTCTCCTTCTCCTCCCTCTCTCCCATTATTTATTAAAAAAAAAAAAAAATGGGAAGAATATCTAGGGAATCCACAGTAGAGTAGATGAAACTGAGAATGTGTGCCCTCTATGTGGGTGAAAAGCGTTGGGTGCCTAGTAATAACAATTATAAAGTAGGACTTTGCCCTTAGGGTGACCATTCCTCCCCTAGCATAACACTAAAAATAAATCCACAGTAGAGTAGATAAAACTGAGAATCAAATCAGCAATTTGGAATATAAGGAAGCAAAAAACACCTAGTCAGCAGTAAAAAGAAAAAAAAAAAAAGCTTCTGGTGCAACTTTAAATGTACCAATATTTGCATTATGGGAATGCTGGAAGGAGAAGAGAAAAATCAAGAAATTGAAACCTATTTGAAAAAAATGACAGAAAACTTCCCTAACTTGGTGGAGGAAATTGACATACAAGTCCAGGAAGTGCAGAGACTCCAAAACAAGATGAACTCAAAGAGGCCCTCACTGTGACGTATCACAATTAAAATTAAATTGTATTAAATTCCCAGTACAAAGTTAATCACTTGGGTAAATTAACAGAGAATTAAACTAGCATCAATATTATCCTAAAATTCAGAGTCCCTTTTCTAGAAGCAGCTAACTTTTGGGGTGTATGAAGCTAATAGATGATGATTTCAAAACCCGAGGAAGGCACTAGGTTTCCTTATTCTGCTTTCATTTCCCTTTCCCATATTATTCAAATATTTCCTAATCTGTGATGGAAGGGAGTTAGTGCAATGCCGGTGGCCCATAAAGCCAGCATGACTACAGTAGAGGTTGAAAGTTAAAAATTTGTTCTAAATTGAGTACAGTGAGCAAGGATGAGTCAGATGTTGGGGAATGCAACAAAGCATTTGTAGGAAATGGCATAATAGTAATACGCCTTAGGTACACAATTTGGCAGTGATATACAGGATGAGATTTCAAGATAGACTGGAATGAAGGCTGTTGAAATAATTTAAACCATGTCAGCAAGTATTTATTGTCTATTGTATCATTGCACTATATACTGTGGAGGATACAAAGATGGTAAGAAATACATATAACTCTAGTACTTACGGGGCTAACAGGTAGACAATATGGCAAAGAATAAATAATTGTAATATTAGGTAGAAAATTAAAGGTATGATTTCTCTCTCGCCAGAATCTCTGAGTCTGCCACAAGAGTGCCTCAAAGCAATGCAGAAGCTGGGGTGGGGGTGGGGGTGGGGGACATTTGGTTGGAAATTTAAAAAAGGTTTTTTGAAAAAAGTATCTTCTGAGATGGGCTATGAAGTTTGAACAGGATTTCAGGAGGCAGAGATGAGGGAGGGAAATTCCAGACAGTGGGAAAACATTACTTTTAAAACTGGGTTCAGCTGAAGCCGGTTTGGCTCAGTGGTAGAGCATCAGTCTGTGGACTGAAAGGTCCCAGGTTCAATTCCAGTCAAGGGCATGTACATTGGTTGTGGGCACAACCCCAGTGGGGGGTGTGCAAGAGGCAGCTGGTCGATGTTTCTCTCTCATCGACGTTTCTGTCTCTCTGTCTCTCTCCCTTCCTCTCTGTAAAAAAATCAATAAAATATATATATTTTTTAAACAAAACAAAAAAAACCTGGGTTCAATCCCAGGTCAGCAACCAATTTTGTCCTCTTGAACAAGTTATATAATCTCTCAGAACTTTCATTTTCTTGTATAAAATGAAGATAAGAATTGTACCTACCTTATAGTGTTGTAAAATTTTAATCATAATACACATTCTTTGGCAAATAATTGGTGTCCAAGATTTGTTAAAATTGTAAAATGGGTAAAAAGTGCTGAGGATAAGTTGTGGATATTCTGGGAACATGAAAACTAGTTGCTTTGAGTATAAGGTTTATGTGTGAGTATAGATGGCTTAGTCTGTTTGAGCTGCTGTAACAACACAAATGGGTGGTTTATAAACAATAGATTTTGTTTTTCACAGTTCTGGAGGTTGGGAAGTCCAAAATCATGACTCTGGCAGATTCAGTTCTTGGTGTGAACCCCTTCCTGGTTCACAGATGGCTATCTTTTTGTAGAGGGCCAAGGGGGCCTCTTTTAAAAGGCAATAACCCCATTCATGAGGGCTCCACCCTGGGAACCTAATGTTCTAATAAAGCCCCCACATCCAAATACCTTCATGTTGGAGATTAGGTTTCGAAATCTGAATGGGGGAGGGTGGAGAGTCAAACCCTTAGGTTATAGCAATAGTGAAGATGAAGCTGTAAAGTATAGGGTGGTATGTTTTTTTAAAAATTGATTTTATTTTTTTAGAACAGTTTTAGGTTCACAGCAAAATTGAGAAGGTACAGAGATTTCCCATATACCCTCTGCCCCCACACAAGCATAGCCTCCCCCATTATCAACATTTCCCATCAGAGGGGCACATTTGTTAACAAATGATGAACCTACACTGACACATCATAACCACCCAAAGACCATAGTTGACATTAGGATTCACTCTTGGTGTTGTTAATTCCAAGTGTTTGCACAGATATATAAAGATATATCTACCATATGGTATCATACGAAGTAGTTTCACTGCCCTAAAAATCTTTTGTGCTCTGCCTATTCATCCCTCCTTTCCCTAACTTCTTGCCTTGTTTTGGACTTGTATAGTATGTAGCCTTTTTAGATTGGCTTCTTTCACTTAGTAATGTGAATTTAAGGTTCCTCCAGGTCTTTTCCTGGTTTGACAGCTCATTTTTTTTTTTAGTGCCAAGTAATATTCCATTTTCTGGATGTACCACAGTTTATCCATTCACCCACTGAAGAACATCTTCAGTGCTTCCAAGTTTTAGCAAATATGAATAAATCTGCTATAAACATCTGAGTGTGATTTTTGTGTGGACATAAGTCCTTTCCCCAATAAAACATGAAAATATTTGTCATATCTACACAATTTAAGTTTTGGCTATAATAAATGTATCTTTTAAACAAGCTAGAAGGATGAGAAATATTATGTTCAATCTGTACATTCTGCAGCATTAGTGTGGAAAACTGACGTTTAAATTGTGCAATCGTAGATGTGAATTTACTGATCATCTTCAATAGACACAATTTTTGAGCCATTTCCATTGTATTTTACTCCCCAGACCTGATCCTGGTAGTCGAAGAAGGTGTGAACGCAAGTCTTCGTTCCGATGTCACAGACTTTCGCATTCCTGTCAGACGAACTGGAAACAAAGTGAGTGTTGTCAGGATAGAACGCCACGTCCAGCACCCAGGATGCGAGGCCACTCAGAGCGCCAGCCACGTTGGTGTGTTGTACATTGTAGATCCTGATGGAGCCATCATCTGAAGCAGGGATGAGGAGCTTGGAATCTGGGGAAAAGGTCAAGGAGCGAATGGGCATGTCATGGTCTTCCAGCATGTGCAGCAGTTTCCCGTTGCAATATCAAAAATATTGATGATACTTCCCATCAGGATTATAGGCAATGCTAATAATGAATGGTCCAAAGAATATCCCTTTTACCCACTTTCCACATCAAAAATGTTCACTTTCCACACATGAGTTCCTGTGGCCAGATACTGGGAATCAGGAGAAAAGGCCAAAGTCTAGGCATCCACCCATCCTGCATCTATGGACTTCATCTGTTTGCCATACTCCAAGTCCCAGAAACAAATGTGGGCATTGAGAGAACTGGATGCAGTGATGGGCGGCATGTGGCTGATGTCCACAGACACCATGCCCAGCTGATGTCCCTCCAGACTGCGCTGCAGGTCCAGCCTCTCATCACGCCATTTCCAGACTTTCACCAGGTCACCCAGGGACCCCATGACCACTGTCTCAGTTTTCCTTCTTGTTTGTCCCCCAGGCCACTGACTAAGTGACATCATGGGCTTGCTCTTGTTTGCAGAGAATATTGTACTGGCTGGTCATTTCCTTAGCCAAGGATGAAGGGCTAAAGGCCAGACAGCTCGCCTCACTGCTCCGTCACATAGCACAGGCGCATGTCTAACTTGGACATAACGTTTTTACCTTTTGGACAAATACTAAGGAACAAAAGATAGCCGATCAATGATTTCTCTCTCATCACTGATGTTTCTATCTCTCTCCCCCTTTACTCTCTGAAATCAATAAAAAATATATTTTTTTAAAAATAGTAGGGAGCTCACAAAATCTCTGGGAAAGTCAGGAAGCCAGTCAGGCTTGGAGATCAAGTAACCAGGAACATTTCTTAAACCACACAGAGAGAGATGCTCAACCTAGGATGCTACTGAACAAAACACAGTTGACATGAATGCTACCATTCATACCGGTAATACTGGGGACCAGGTGGCCAGAAAATCTGCTGTTGCTGCTGCTCAGCTCTACCATTGTGTGTGTTTTTTTTTTTCTCTCTCTCTCTTTTTACATTTTTTAAAATTTATTTTTTAGAGAGAGGAAGGGAAAGGGAGAGAGGAAAAAAACAACAATGTGTGAGAGAAACCAATCTGAAAATTGGTGATTTTAGGTAAGGTGAATTATCAAAATGATGAAGGATTGAAGGGTGAACTTGCAGTGCTCTTATTTTACTGATCAGGTTCTACTGATCTCCCGTACTGGGGGCTCTTTTGATGCCTACTTGTACCCACTTTGTTTCCAAAATCATAGAGAGAGGGCTGGAGTCAGCTGACCGAGCAGATTTTAAATGAAACTGAAATGAAAGTTCACTTCCTCTTCGGATGATTCATGTGACAAGTTCCAACTTCTTTTTAAAGTCAAATTTAGCTGAAGTCTCTTTGCTGCCTTTGAATCTTTGGAGAGAGACTACCTTCAAGCATTCCTAGTATGGGAGCATCTGCTGGTTCCAATATGTATAGGTACTGTCCGGGTTTTGTTTTCTCCTATTTGGTCTTAAACCCTTTGTGTTTTCAGCTTGCTCTGCCTGCTAGGTTTCAAATCTTTGGTTTCAGGAAGTAAATAAAAAAATCAAATGGCTCAATTTGCCTCTTTGCGTTTGGACTAAAAGGAACTTATTTTTGAAAAGTTAAATGTGAGCTTGGACATCTAAGCCTGAGGCTGAAATGTAGTTTTCTTTGGTGTATAATTTGAAGATTTATGTGGTTACAATCACAGTTATTTTCAATTAAAAAAACGGAATTAAAAGGAGAATCCAGTTTGAGAAATGGCTAGTCACTGAATTTCTGTTAAAATGTTTTTGCATTAAATAGATAAGTAGTGTTTTCAAAAGAAGTTAATTTTGCTTCCTTTGAAATCAATATTTTGATTGCTAGAGGTGGGGGGGAGTTAAAAAAAATTAATTCAATAAAATGACCTTTGGATGTGAAAAGAATACTTGGGAGTTGTCTTTTAACCACCTCTAAATGTTGTGAATATTTAAGTAGGCCAGTTAAGAAGAACTTACACACAAAAAAAATTCTGAAGATAAATGATTTTTCCAAGGTTTGCCTTCCCGTTAATGAGGAAAGAGGATGTTCCTTGATTAGATTTGTTGGCAAATCCTGGAAAGTCCCTACTTCCTGCAACAAAGCCAACCCTGAATGTGAGTTTGGTTTACCAAGCACCAGGAAATTTCTGAAAATCACTTTTTAAAGAGCTCATAAGCATTAGTAGTAGTATTTTTGACATGAATCTGCAGACCACAGTATAACTGTGACTATATGGGGCGGGGCAAAAGTAAGTTTACAGTTGTTTGTATGGAAAATAATATAATAATTCATAAAAATAGCACAAGAATAAATTTTGTACATGAAACAAGATGCTTAACCTATTACTTATTAATTATTGTGTTATGTTCATTTGAACAACTGTAAACCTACTTTGCTCCACACTGTATATCCTCCCACACTTCTTCTGTATAATTCTGATTTGTAGTATTCTGTCCCTTTGACAGCCTTTGCATTGCTTTTTTTTTTTTTTTTTTTTTTTGTTACGAGAGATATGGTCACAATAGATACAGCTAACAGCTACTCCTCCTATGTGACCTTTCCTTTCACAGAATGAAATGCCTGCTCTTGCTTCTCCTTGGGTGCTCCTCTGCCATGGCACAACTGCACAAAGACCCCACGTTGGATCACCACTGGGACCTCTGGAAGAAAACCTATGGCAAGCAATACACGGAACAGGTAGGTGGGATTGTCACTTGAGTGATTTGCTTTTACTCTAGTACTCTGTGCTTTCTCCCTCTCAGATTATATTCTTACAAACAGTGTTTTCAATAAATGTTCCATTCACATTTCTTGCCAGAAACAAAACAAAGTTCCTGTTTTTATAGAGCTTACACCCTAGTAGAGCAGGCAAGAAATAAGTTAATAAATAAGCAGGTGTATAGTATGTTAAGTGGTGATAAGTGAAGTAGAGAAAAACAAGGTAAGGCATGGAGGGTAGGAAGGGCCCTGGGTGATGGCAGGGAGAGGCTGGGAATGATGATTCTATAGAACAGTCAGGGAAGGCCTCACCTATAAGGTGACATTTGAGCAGAGAATGGACAGGGAGCAAGCAAAGTAGATCACTAGAATGAAGGTGCCAGACCAAGGGGAAAGAGGACATGTTTGGAAAATAAAAGCCCTTATTTCCGCCCCGGGCAGATGGAATGCCAGATGTTGTTTCTTGACTCTCACTTCCCACTTTTTACTCTTATTTTTATTTCAAAACATACTTACTGATTTTGATTTTAAGTCCTTAAACCTAGTGCTCCACATAACTAAGTCCTGTAACTACAGGGTGTCCCCCAAAAGCTATACGTACTTGGAATAATTATCGATATAAAGGCAGTATTTATTAAAATACATTTCATTTTTAAAATGTAATAGAATCTATAGACATTATATATATATACACACACACACATTTTGTGGGACACTCAGTATATAATACTGAGTTTGTAGGCCAACATGCAGTCACTTATTTGATGTATCATTTTTGTATAAAAAGATACTTTGAGTAGTACGTGCACTCTGAGTTGTTTTCTTGGGATGATGGACTTCACCTTCACTCTAATTTCAGAGTCCACTAGAGTTAGATGGTACCACTGTCTGGTTAAAGCTATCTTTCTTTTTAATTTCACTCCCTAAGGGGAAATAAAAATGACTTTCCATTGGTATCTTACCTTAATTTATTTAATTTATCCTACTTTAGTTATCTCAAAGTTCATTTCTTATTTCCTTTCCTATATTTCATTATGTTTATTTTTTTATTCCATTTTTTCTGCTCCATTGGTTTGGCAATATATCTGTACATTGCCACTACTAAGGTAACAATAAAATCTTGCTCCAAGGAAGAGGGGGCTGCATCTAGATTTGCTACCTGGAACCACGGTCTGGGCTTGGGCTCTAATACTTAATGAGATGAGGCAGAAAATAGTTGTTGCTGGTTGCTCATCGGGTTATCACTTATTGGAAACTATAGCCTTGGGGGTAGAAATGAGTGTTTGGAATTTTAGGAGGCATCGTATACTTTGTATTCCATGTACATTGATCCTATGTAAATGAAACTCCCCGAGGGCAACAAATTCAACAATCAAAATATGGATTCACTCTGGATAAAATTAAAATAATATATATATGTATACATATATACATATATATGTATACATACACACACACACACACAACATAAATATATAATAACATCCACACAAATGAACAAGAAAGTATAAAAGAAATTAGAAATTAAATTAGGAATCTTGAAAATTAAAACTGTAGTAATTGAAATAAGGACTCAATAAAAGGTATATAAACTCCAGACTAGAAAGAGTTGAATAGGAATGGCAATCTAAGAGATGGTACTGAAGCATTCAACCCCCAAGGAAGCATATGAAAAGGAAAAAGAAAAACTGTGAAAATGCAGGTAAAAGAGATGAAAAAGAGTTTGAGGCTACAAAATATATCTGATAGAAATTTCTGAAAAAGACAGTTAGATGGGATGGTAGAGAAGCAATATTGATACTGGTTAGAATTTTCTAGATATAAAAAAAATCCTGCATCTTTCAATCAAAAGTACCCAAGAGAGGAAATAAAGAAACCCACACCCAGACACATGTAATGAAGCTTCGAAATATCAAAGAGAAAGGGAATCATAAAAGTTACCAAAGTTAAAAGCAATAATCTGCTTTCCTATTCTTCATTAAATTTATTTTTCTTTATTCCATTTTTCTATTCTAGTGGTTTAGAATAATAAATACTAGAATAAAATGGAGAAATAGCTTCAAATCGATAAAGAAAAATAGCTAGAAATGTATAATCAGTTAAACTCTTTCAAGAGTGAGGGCAAAACAAAATTTTTTAAGCCTGTAAAGATGTGAATTTACTACCTACAGTGCTCGCTTCGGCAGCACATATACTAAAATTGGAATTTACTACCTACAAAGGTTATACTTCAACCAATTGCACTTCGTAAAACAAAAACATTTTAGCAGATGGAAGAGGTTCATTATACATCATAAAATAATATTAATCACATCAAGCAATTAAGCGTAAGAATTAAGATTGATAGTTTTACCAGTTATATTAAATATATTCATTTATTTACATGGTGGAATGCTTCATAATATGTTTACTTTCATTATTGAACACTTATTTGAGCAGGATTCAGTACAACTATGTTCTTTTTTTCCTTACTTATTAGAATGAGGAAGTAACACGACGTTTCATCTGGGAAAAGAATCTAAAATTTGTGATGCTTCACAACCTGGAGCATTCGATGGGAATGCATTCATATGATCTAGGCATGAACCATCTGGCAGACATGGTAGGTAAACCACAAATAATCCTGCTCTTATCTCTTGGTAAGCATGATTTCTGTCTTTCCAAAAGCAAATTGAAAGTAAATGACAAAGGCAAATTATCTACATGTGAAAGTTAGAAAAGGCAGAATTTAAAAACAAGAATTTGCACATATTTCTTTAGTCCTAATGTTACTACTTTACTTACCAAATCCCTTCTTTATTTTAAACTCATAGACTTTAGTCTTTTGTTTTTATTAATTTTATAAAACATTGCCCAATTTTTTTTTAAGCTTGGTAAGACTGCTCACAATCTTGTAGTTATCGTACTTATATAAATCTAAATTGGCAATTTAATATGGTCCACCTGCTTTCTTAATTGGAGAATTAATTTCTTAATATCACAAGAAAATCTTCCATTTTATATTCTGTACTATCCTGCAAAACTGCACCACTGTGCCAAAATTAAGAATCATAGGCTCATTTGAGATCTTGCTCACTGGAATCACAGTACCCCTTGGAAGGGAACACCCTAGTAGATTAAATTCCCACTTAAATGTGGGACTCTCCTTTATAATTCTTTCTCACAAGGAAAATCAGTTCAATCCACTTTCTAGACAGCTCTTTTATAGAATTATGCCTTACTTTGAACCAAAAATCTGTCTCCCTGTAACTTCTAGTTTTTGTAATTTTCTTTTTCTCCTTCCCACTGTCTAACTGGGATAATAATGCAAAATGTGAGAGTAAAAAAGAGACCCAGATAATTCACCCATGAGGTAGTTAACAGTATCTATGATGGTCACAACTACCACTTGTTTTTTCCCAGTTGTCAAATATATTCAGAGTTATAGTTACTAGGATATTGAAAAGCAGGATATAAGTGAAAGGATATATATTTATTTTATTTATTTTGCCTTGTAGACCAGTGAAGAAGTAATGCTATTGATGAGTTCCCTAAGAGTCCCCAGCCCATGGCAGAGAAATGTCACTTACAAGTCAAACCCTAACCAAAAATTACCTGATTCTATGGACTGGAGAGACAAGGGGTGTGTTACCGAAGTGAAATACCAGGTGAGTATCATCACGCCAGGCCTCTGCACCCTAGGTAGAGTTCTCTCTTCTGTAAATACTTAGTCTAGCTACATAATCTGGCAATGAATCTCCCTTATGTACATTCTAATTATTTTTATCATTCTGTCTTCTCAACTAAATTGTGAGCTACTGAGAGCAAGGACCACATGTCATAATTTATTTGTATTCCTCACTAATGGTTAGAGCCACATTATTCAAAAACTGTAAACTAAGCAAATAGGTCAAGACAGACTTTCAGTGCTCATGCTATCCATCGCCTGCACTGGACCCTCCACCATGCTAACTGCTTGAGAAATAGTATTGTGTGTGAGAAAATAGCTCCCTCCATCTCACTTGTGAATTTCAGGTTGGAAGGAGAGGAAAGAGTTAGAGCTCACTGTTGTCTATAAATTACACAGTCAAATAATTTGATTAGGCTTGCATTTTTAGAATAAGAAATACAGGCTTTTAAATTTTTGTTTCTATGTTTTTATATTTCCTTTATTTTGCTTGTAAAAAAAAAACTACAAAAATCCTAAATTAGGGATAAATAAGAGTAAAACGCATGTATTATTTAGAGATCTAGGTAAGGAAGAATCAGAATATTTTAAGCACCTGCCCCAGCTGGTGACCCTTAAAGGTAAAAATTAATAAGTGAATGCTACTGTTAATCTCTTTTTCCATCTGGTTATTTTTCTTTCAACTATTTTTGGGTTTTTTACTGGAGAGTCTCTAAAATAAAAGTTTGGGAAGATCTGATAAACTGCTTATTTAGGTGTTGACTATAAATAATGTTTGAACTTCTTTCCCTGGGTGCTTGCATTTCAATAGATGATTTTTCTTTAACCAAAAGCAATTTCAATGTGCTTTCTTTGGGTAGAGAGCAAGGTGGGATGAGAAGAGAAGAGTGAGAGCAGTTATAATAGGGCTCTGTCCTCTCTGTACCTTTTGTTTTCTGTTTGTAAAATATCTTTGGATTTAAAAATTCAAAAACTAAAAGAAATTTTTGACCTTATGTTTCAGGCATGGCATTATAGAGTATTTTAGATCAAGGGAATCACCCCAGCTCCTTTCAAAATCATTTTATTGTAGGCAACTATTTCCTTTATTTACGGGTGAAAATAGCTTGGATTTAGTACATGTTTAATAAGTACTGTTTCTTCATATGCTTGAATATAGTTATTAAGCTCTGAGCTCAGCCATTTGCAAATCTTTATCCAGGTTGAACCTTACCCAGAGTGAGCAAGGATTTAGTCTTCATTCCCGTTGTCTAAGACAATGATTGTCAACCTTCTTCATCTCATGGCACAAATAAACAAATTACTAAAATCTGTGGCACAGCCGGAATCGGTTTGGCTCAGTGGTAGAGCATCGGTCTGCGGACTGAAAGGTCCCAGGTTCGATTCCGGTCAAGGGCATGTACATTGGTTGCGGGCACATCCCCGGTAGGGGGTGTGCAGGAGGCAGCTGGTCAATGTTTCTCTCTCATTGACATTTCTATCTCTCTATCTCTCTCCCTTCCTCTCTGTAAAAAATCAATTAAAAATAAATAAATAAAATCTGTGGCACAACAAAAAATATATTTTTGCCTATCTGACCCAGAAAACAGTTATATTTTTTATTCATTCATACTGGACAGCTATTGTGTTAGTTGTCATTTTGAAAAATATGTTTTTATTGATTTTAGAGAGGAAGGGGGAGGAAGAGATAGAGACAGATAAAGAAACATGATGAGAGAAACATCAATTGGCTGCCTACCAAATTGCCCCCTCCCCCGCCCCCAAAACCCTGAAACCCAGGCATGTGCCCTGACAGGGAATGGAACCTGTGACCCCTAGGTGCCTGGGACAGCGCTCAACCAACTGAGCCACATCGGCCAGGGCAGCTGTTGTCACCTTTTTATTTGACAATCTAAGGGAAAAGAGGTCAATGCCCCCGACTAGTCAGGTATTGTATGTTTTAAAAATTCTTGCAATACACCAGTGTGTTGTGGCATACCAATTGAAAAACACTGGTCTAAGAGAAGAGAAAATTATAAGTGGGGGAGCTTTTCTCATAACTGTCGACAGGGCTGATATGTTGGGTGTTGCCCAATTTGGGTGTTACTGACTTTCTGTAATTTCTTCTATGACTTCTTGTCTGTTTTAGGGTTCCTGTGGTTCCTGTTGGGCTTTCAGTGCTGTGGGGGCCCTGGAAGCACAGCTGAAGCTGAAGACAGGAAAGCTGGTATCTCTGAGTGCCCAGAACCTGGTGGATTGCTCAAATGGAAAGTACAGCAATAAAGGCTGCAATGGTGGATTCATGACAGAGGCTTTCCAGTATATCATTGACAACAATGGCATCGATTCAGAAGCTTCCTATCCCTATAAAGCCATGGTATGTCACAAGCAAATATTTTGGCTGCCCCATGATCTTATATCCCTTGACCGACTGAACTAAACTCACCACCAAGCCAATACTTGAGAAGCAGTGTTGTATCTGTAAAAATCCTGACTAGGAATCCTAAATTCTCAAGAGTTCTTTTTCTTTTGCAGGAGGCTTCTTAATTTATCACTGGCATATTAGTTTTAGACAAGCAAATACAACTCATGCTTAAAAAATGGAATTTCAGCAAACCTTCCTTAAAATTCTTTCTATATATCTGCCTGGAATTTAAATTCTGTCCAGTAGCCTCCCATGATTATTCTTATCTTAAATCATCAACCACATCATTCTTCTAGCTACTAAAAAAAACTAAGTAATGCTCTCTTCATCCTCCTTGCAAGTTCATGATATATTTTATTAAATAATGTAAGTAATATATCCATCCATATTGCAGAAAATTTAGAAAAGATAAAGTCACTCCAAAACCTCCTACCTTATCCACTATTATTTTGGTTTATTTCTTTCAAGTTCTCTTTCTACTAAGTACTTCTAAAGCATAGTTGTAGAAACAAACATGAATTGATAACCTCCCTTTTCCCACATGAAATATACTGTTTTCCATACTACATGGTTGTTATAAACCATTATTTAAACTGCAGGTCATCTTGCAGGCATTATATTACCAAAAAGATTTTAAAGCTCTAGTCTAGAGTTTAAGATCTTTATGTTGTACACCCCTACAATCCACCTTAGAGTCTGAGGACATTATCCGGGCAACTTATGCATATATGAAATGTGCACAATGTAAAACAATAGAATAATATGTACATCCTCTGCTATTGATGAAACATAGGACTGGGCTTTGGAAGATTTGATTTTTCTTTCTTCAAACACAGGAAGACACCTTAGATACTTGAAAAGGCTAATGAGGAAAGAAAAGATATTTGAAGTCCAAACTTAGGATATTGGTGATTTGTGAAAGAAAGTGAAGTATACTTCTTTTTTTAAAAAATCAATCTTTATTGTTCATATTATTACAAAGGTTCCTCATTTCTTCCCCCCTCCACCAGGTTCCTACCCCACCCTCCGCCCCCTCCCCATCCCCCATTGTCCTCATCCATAGGTGCACAGTTTATGTTCAGTCTTGAAGTATACTTCTTTATCTAACTTATACTTTTTTTTTTCAGGATGGCAAGTGCCAGTATGACTCAAAATATCGAGCTGCCACATGTTCCAAGTATGTTGAACTTCCTTACGGCAGTGAAGAGGCCTTGAAAGAAGCTGTGGCCAATAAAGGGCCTGTGTCTGTTGCTATAGATGCGAGCCACCCTTCTTTCTTCCTCTACAAAAGTGGTAAAAACTCAGACACCATATCCTCTTGTTACATTCTGCCCTTGCACTATTAGAAAGAATGTTATCCACCTCTGAATGTTTTGAATAGGATAAATAGAACCCTCCATTTCATGTACACATTTTATACCCAGTTCTAATTAGTAAAATAATACTTGCCGAAGTTTACTAAGACTATATGCCAAGTACCATGATGAATTCTTCTCATGTATTATCTCATTTAATTCTCACAATAGCCCTATTTTACAAATGAAAAAATTAAGTCTTGTGTTAACTTGCTTAAAGCCACACAGTATGAAAAACGGTTAGCTGGAACTAGAAACTGTGCTACTTGACTCCAGCACCTGTGCTGCTAACCACTGTAGCCACTGTGTACTACAGCTGCACATAGCAGTATAAAAAGGAGGGCACCCACTGATGGGTAGAGATCATAATATTTTTTCTAAACCTCACCTTAAAAATAATTTAATCTAGCCCTGGCTGGTATGCTCAGCAGTTAGAGTGTTGGCCCCACATACCTCAGGGTCGTTGGTTCGCTTCCCAGTCAAGGGCACGTACCTGGGTTGCAGGTTCACTCTCCACCCCCAGTCTAGGTGTCTCTCTCACATCAATGTTTCTTTCTCTCCCCCTTCCTCCCTCCCTTCTACTCTCTCTGAAAAGCAATAGAAAAAATATCCTCAGGGGAAGATTGACAGAAAATTTTAACAAAAAATTTAATCTAATAAAGAATGAAAATGTATGGAAGAAACAATTTAGGAATATCTACAAAGAAATTCAGTAGACCCTGGCTGGCTAGCTCAGCTAGATAGGCCAAGCTGGAGGGCCCCATTTCCTGATCAGGGTACATTTAAGAAACAACCAATGAATGCATAGGTAGCTGGAACAACAAAGCAATCTCTCTCTCTCTCTCATAAATTAAAAAAAATACAATAACTGTTTATAAGTTAAAAATAATTAGAAAAGGGTAACAGTTTTATCAAAGAAAACTTTTTAAGAAACTTGGCAAAAAAAAACCTGACAAACACAGCATTGATGGCAAAAAAATATTAAATATAAATATTATAGTTAAAAAATTAGAGTATATGTTCTTAAAACTTTTAATTAACATATGCAAAACAGTCTAATAAAAATAATAGCATTTTCAAATGTCCTTCATTGTCACATACCATTCACTCTTTTTCTATCTCTACCCATTTTATTCTCAGGTATCTACTATGACCAAGCCTGTACTCTAAAAGTGAATCATGCTGTATTAGCGGTTGGCTACGGTAACTATAATGGGAAAGACTACTGGCTAGTGAAAAACAGGTAATATATTTATACTTTAATGTATATGTGTATATATATTTTTTTAATAAATTTTTATTGTTCATATTATTACAAATGTTCCTTTCCCCCCCCCCCTCTCCATTGCTCTCCTCCACCAGGTTCCTACCCCACCCTCTACCCTTTCCCCACCCCCCATTGTCCTCATCCATAGGTGCACAGTTTATGTTCAGTCTCTTCCCACATCCCGCTCTCCCCATTTCCCCAAGAATCGTCAGTTCACCCCCCTTCCATACCTCTGATTCTATTATATTCAACAGTTAATATTGCTCATCAGATTTTTTTTAATTTCCTTGGTTTTTAGATTCACTTGTTGATAGTTACGTATTTGTTGTTCATAATTTTTATCTTTATTTACTTTCTCTTCTGAAAGAACCCCCTTCAGCAATTCATATAATTCTGGTTTGGTGGTGATGAACTCCTTTAGCTTTTTTTTTATTAGTGAAGCTCTTTATCTGACCTTTGATTCTGAGTGATAGCTTTGCTGGATAGATTATCTTTGGCTGTAGGTTCTTACTATTCATCACCTTGAATATTTCTTGCCATTCCCGTCTGGCCTGCATGGTTCTGTTGAGAAATCAGCTGACAATCATATAGGTGCTCCTTTATAGGTAACTACCTTCTTTGCTCTTGCTATTTTTAATATTCTCTCTTTGTCTTTTGCTCTTGGAATTTTAATTATGATTTGTCTTGGTGTGGTCCTCTTTGGATTCCTTTTGTTTGGAGTTCTGTGCGCTTCCTGGACTTGTAAGTCTAATTCTTTCACCAGGTGGGGGAAGTTTTCTGTCACTATTTCTTTCAGTATGTTTTCGATATCTTGCTCTCTCTCATCTTCTGGGACCCCCCCATAATTCTGATGTTGGTTCGCTTGAAGTTGTCCCAGAGGTTTCTTACATTATCTTCAATTTTCTGGATTCTCTTGCCTTCTAGCTTCTGTGGAAGAGTCTTCTGACCCTTTATGTTCCAAATCTTTGACTTGATTCTTGCAATCTTCCATTCTGTTTTTAGGACTCTGTATAATATTTTTTATTTCAGACAATGTATTCTTGTTGATCCCTTATCATTTCTTGTTGATCCCTTATCATTTCTTGTTGATTCCTTATTAATTCTAGTTGATCTCTTTTCATATCCTCATAGGTCTTATCCATCTTTTCTAGGAAATTCTTGAAAAACCTTATAAGCGTAGATTTGAACTCTATATCCAGTTGCTTTTTGTCCTCCATTGCTTTCGTTTGTGATCTATTTCGTTGTCCCATTTTGCAGCTACAGATAGGGCGGAGTTTCAGGGTGGAGCCTATAGCCTTGGCTTCCGTCAGCCCCGCCCTATGCCCACCCTATGCGGCTGCTGGGTCTCAGGGTCCTTCAGTACTCGTTGCAAGCGCCTCTGAGAGAAAGGTGCCCTCGATTTTTGCCTGCTACCAAACAGTCTAGGCTCTCCCCCAATGAGCCCGGAACTGGGGTTCAGTTCAGTTGGAAGTGGGATTGGAGATGGTGTTCAGAGCAGTCTGGAGCCCCAGTCTCCTTCCCACCAGGGCAATCCCGCGGCACAGCCAACTGTCCCTTCTTTGCACGCAATGTGCGTGCCTCCGGGACCTCCTTTCCCCGCCACTCCCCCCCCCCCCAGGGTTCCGCCTTACAGCCCAGCTCCCTATGGATGAGCCTAGAACTGGGGTTCAGAGTAGTTGGATCTGGGGTCCAGCACAGTCGGAGCTTTTATCTCCTTCCCACTAGGGAACGCCAGCCAGGCACTCAGCCTCCCTCCTCTCTGGCTCGTCCTCTCTGAGCGCGCCGTGTGTCTCCGTACCTTAGGCTTTTACAGCTTCGCCGCGCTTCCTTCTGGTTTTCTCCTTGCTTCTTGTTGTAGAATTTCCAGTCGGTCGACTTTCCTGTAGTTCTGGGTAATGTCCATTTTATATTTTAGTTGTATCTTATTGAAATTGTTGTGTGCGGCTGCGGCTAGGTGTTTACCTGGGAAGCCATCTTGGATTCCCAATCTAATGTATATTTAATTAAAATCAGGATTTGGAGGGAGCCTCAACAAATGCTTTCTTGTGATTATGATGATGATCATGATATTGACAATGATAACATCTTATAAAGTGATTTCTAAATATGTACTGTCTTCATTTCCTATTGTGCCTTCAGCTCTTTATTTTCATGGCTGCTCTTCTATAATACTTTTCTGATCATTCCTTCTTGATCTCCTTTAAGAATACCTCTCCTCTGTTCAGCTCGCCAGTGTTGGTCTTTCCTCCAGGGTCCCATCCTTTGCCCATTACCCTTATTCTACAATTTTTTTTGGGTAACATTCTTCCATTCTTAGGATAATAGCTATATATATATATATATATATATATACACTAGAGGCCCAAAGCATGAAATTCCCTGCCCTATGCCTTTTCTATAGTAGTCTCTCAAAAATATTTAATTGACATTCTTTAAAGGAATTTAAGTTTAATAGCAAATGGTTACCTATGATCCTATTATGCAAAAACATTTAGAGGTGGGGCCTTGGAAAGAATAATAATACTCATTCCCTGTATAAGGCATATTTACAAAGGAGGATTAAAGGTTTGGAATGGATCTTTCATTGTTTTATTTACGTATTAAGTATTCATCAAAATAGGATGAGGCAAAAGTAGGTTTACAATTGTTCATATGGAAAATAATATAATAAATAATAAGTAATAATACAAGAATAAACTTTGTTTCACATACTCACAACTAGAATCTTACTTTTGCCTCATCCTGTTTAGGACTAAAGCCTTCTAAAATTCCTTTGAAGCCAGAACCGGTTTAGCTCAGTGGATAGAGTGTCAGCCTGGGGACTGGAAGGTCACAGGTTAGATTCTGGTCAAGGGCATGTACCTTGGTTGCGGGCACGTCCCCAGTGAGGGGTGTGCAAGAGGCAGCTGGTCAATGTTTCTCTCTCATCGATGTTTCTAGCTCTCTATCCCCTCTCCCTTCCTCTCTGTGAAAAATCAATAAAATATATATATATTTTTTAAATAAATAAATAAAATTCCTTTGAAAATTGCCTAAAAGTCCTTGGGAAGTTATTATATTCTAAAGCTAATTTTGTTTATAGATTTTTATTTTTTAAAAACAGTTTTATTTATTGATTTGAGAAAGAGACAGAAAGAAACATCAGTTTTTTGTTCTACTTATTTATGCATTCATTAGTTAATTCGTGTATGTGCCCTGGCCAGGGATCAAACCCACAACCTTGGTATATTGGGACAATGGTCTAACCAACTGAGCTACCTCGCCGGGGCCTACAGCTTTTTATATAGAGTTGCTTTATGAGAAACACAATCTAAGAGATAAAAATTGATAATGTGGCATTCATTTGTAATTTTGTTTATTTGTTTTTCTAAAGCTGGGGCCTCCACTTTGGTGAACAAGGATATATTCGGATGGCAAGAAATAGAGGAAATCATTGTGGGATTGCTAGTTATCCCTCTTACCCAGAAATCTAGAGGATCTCTTCATTATATAACAAGTCAACAAGTCAAGAAAGATGAAACACTTTCTCTTCAATTTTACCTGTTATAACCAGTAGAAATATGTGTGTCATGATCAATGTAAATATATGGTTTGACTCTTCTACTTTTTTAACTTTGCAGATCTTGAAAAAAATTGCAAAGTAAAAATTAATATATTGTAAATATAACTGTATGAGAATTAGTCAACCTAATCCAATTTGTCATTGTCTTATTTTACCTCTTTGTCTTTTTATGTCCCTTGATATCCTTTTGTAACTTGATGGATTATGATTTATAATTGTTTGTCTTTTCAACTTAGTATCATTACCACATAACACTCTTTTCTTATTCTTAGATAATATTATAATCTATCATGAAAATTAAAATTGTGATTTGCTGGTGATGGGCTATGGCAACTTCAATGGAAGAAACTATTAAGCTATTAATGTGGCTCAAATTGTATCTTTGCACATAAAAGTTTCAATAAATGTTTTAAATGAAGTTAAAGTAGACAAATGCTTAAAAGACTGTTTTTACACACTTTGTAAGAATTATTTAGTGATCAATAATTAATATACTAATTAAACTATTAGCAAATTGGCCAGGACCTTTTGGAGCAAATAATGATGTCAACCTGAATAAAATAACCAAACTGGCCGAAACCTGTTTGGCTCAGTGGTAGAGCGTCGGCCTGCGGACTGAAAGGTCCCAGGTTCGATTCCGGTCAAGGGCATGTATCTTGGTTGCGGGCACATCCCCGGTGGGGGGTGTGCAAGAGGTAACTGGTCGATGTTTCTCTCTCATCGACGTTTCTAGCTCTCTATCTCTCTCCCTTCCTCTCTGTAAAAAAAAAAAAAAAAAAAAAAAAAATCAATAAAATATATTTAAAAAAAACAAACCAAACTGCATTTGTTTTAATATTTAATATTCCATTACTCATATTTATCTAATTCAGATTGATCTTTCCTCACAACTGCTATAGATATGTAGATTGGTTCTGAAAAGGCAGCAAGAACTTTAAATTTTATAAGCTCATGCCTACAACATAAAATGTGTGCAGGATGATGTTATTAGTATATCTTAAACTGAACTTAAACTAATTCTGCTATCTTAATCCCTCTCCATAAAGTACATTTTTCCCCATCAAGCACATTTTAAAGAACAAGAATTGCTAACTATAAAAGCATGGTTATACTATATAACTAACATCAAATGTACGTATAGAGAAACATTATGATTAAAAAGTATTTAGTTAAGTTCTGGCCAGTGTGGCTCAGTTGGTTGAGTGTCACCCCATGCACCAAGAGGTCGCAGGTTCAATTCAGGGTCAGGCACATGTCTGGGTTCAGGCTCTGTCCCCCACTGAGACATGCAAAGGGCAGCTGATCGATGTTTCTCTTTTTCTCCCTCTCTCTAAAATCAATAAAAACGTATTTTTAAAAAAGGTATTTGAGTATTCTTTTTTAAAATTTTAAGTTCTTTATTATTTAAAGTATTACATAAGTCTCCTGAGTACTCTTTTGTTTTTATTTTCCCCACAATTTTTCAAGCACTGTAAATGGAATAAAAATATGGGTTCTTTACCTTTGTCTAATGAAGCCTATGGATACCTTCTCAGAATAATGTTCTTAAGTGCATAAAATAAAACATAGGATTGCAAAGGAAGCTGATTATTAAAATGTTAAAATATAAATTTGTGCTATAGTAACATACTGTACATGCTTCTTTATAAATGCATTAAATAACAAGAGTCAATAATTATCTTAAATTTGAAGTAGTAATGAGCATATTTGAAAATATCTGCAAAAACTGTAAGGTTATATAAAAATATCTGAGTTTTCTTTTGGTTGTAAAATTACAAGTATTGCTAATATTGTGGTAATATTAATAATTACATAAAATAAATGCAAACTTTCAGTTAGAGGTTAGGCCTTCCACAGAGAGGAAGGGAGAGGGATAGAGAGCCAGAAACATCCATGACGGAGAAACATCGACCAGCTGCCTCCTGCACACTCCCCTACTGGGGATGTACCCACAACCAATGTACATGCCCTTGACCGGAATCGAACCCGGGACCTTTCAGTCCACAGACCGACGCTCTATCCACTGAGCCAAACCGGTTTCGGCAACCACAATAATTTTTATGTCAGGGGATTTTCACTATTTTTGACCCTGAAAATAGGGTTCTAGTCTCCATTCCTCTCCTATTTGACTCTGGGCAAATCTTTCCATATATGGAGTCACTGTTTTCTAACTGGTAATACAGACATATCAAAATTATGAGTAATTACGATATGTTTACACCTCTAAACCAATTTATTCAACATTTCGGTAATCTAAGAAGTTGTACTGCTAGATAATCTCAAATTGCCTACTGGCTCTGATTTTATTATTTTGTTTCTAAATAAAACATTAATGATATTCTAAGCTATCTGCTGTCGCGAGGTAGATGGCACAGGAGAAACATCTGAAGTCGGAGACTGCTAGAGCAAACTGGTTTCCCGGAAGTCACATGAGACTGTAAGGTGGTAACACACTATAGGGTAGACTCAATAACAAAATTAAAAAAAAAAAAAAACGACCCGAGATTACTGTGACTAATTAAATGGAGGTTGAGGACACTTTGGTCACTGCAGGAAACCTGTGCAAACCGGCAACGTTTTGCCCATGCACTTACTTAACCTTCCCCTCCTCGGGCACATGGCTTTGCTCATTGAGATGCGGCACCAGGTTCTTGGGGTTCCCAGCCTGCCTTGCGCTACTCTTGGCGGGAAAGCTGACCTCGCTTGGGGTCAAAAGGCTTCTTCCGGGCGCTTCTTCCGGCAACCGTTGAAGGGAAGCGCATGCGCATTGGGCAAAGAGCGTGCTTCGCGCTTCACGCGGCGCTCTCCTGGTCGCTGGTCCCTCAGACGTTTTGTAATATATATGTTTGTGTCTATTTTCCTTTATTAATTTTATTACTTATAGTAATATTTGCTTTTAAATCTCTTTTTCTGTCACCGGCTGCTTACTTTTAAGTTTCTTAGAGTCTTAAAGGCGAAACATTCCGGGGGGGGGGGGGGGGAGGGGCTGTATACTTAGAGGTCTTTGAAAATAGGTTACCTCACAGCTCGTCCAGGCTTCCTCAGGAGAAATTTAAATATTTAGAGTAAATAGACTCTTCTGTGAACTTTTCTAGTTGAATTGTCTGATGAGGAAAAATGAAGTTGGGGCCGAAAAAGAATGGAAACAGCAAAATGACAAAGTTATCATTGAGAAACCAGACTCTGTAAAAAAAAAAAAAAAAAAATTAAAAATCTAGGGTATTTTCTGTTTGCCGTTTATGGTGGTTCCACAGAGTAGGCTTCCCTCCAGAGCCGGACTACAAGCTCAGTGAAGGAACGTTACCGGACTCGCTTATTTTGAAACTACAAATTTAAAACAAAAAATTAAAAGATTGTTGTACAGGGTTTGGCAGGGGCAGTTTTTCATTCCCTAGTACCTACCTGTAAAACTTTGTTAATGCTTGAATACTATTAAGTGAAGAAAAAAAAATAGGAGATTATGCTTTTCTTAAAAAGTCTTTGAGCCCGGGTCGGTTCCCACACACCACAGGGATCCCGGCTAAAGGCGCGTCCCTGGGGGAGGCAACCAATCTCTCTCTCTCTCTCTCTCTCTCTCTCTCTCTCTCTCTCTCTCTCTCTCTCTCTCTCTCTCTCTCTCTCTCTCTCTCTCTCTCTCTCTCTCTCTCTCTCTCTTCCTCTCTCTCTTCCTCTCCTCAATTCTACTTAAAACCTGTGGAATTCCCCCCCACCCCCCTCCAAGAAAAAAGCTCTTTTAAAGAGCTTTCTTAACCCATTTTATGTGAGGCTTGCTAGTAAAATGGCTTAAAATTAGGACCTTACAAAATAGGGCAAAATGAATGTTTTTGAAGATTCCATTTTAAGTAAAGGAATCCCCTCATTTAGCCACCTATCATTCTTCCTGCCTTTGTAGGTAATAAACTAGAATAGGGTAAAAATAAGGTCTGAAGTTAAAGCTTGTATTTGTATCTCAAGGTTGAATTAAAGAAAATACTTCTCAGAAGATGGCCACTGCACAACTGCAAGGAACACCCATGGTATGAGTTGTTGGTTGTTTTTTTTTTTTTTTTTTTTGTATTTTTATACATTTAATTTATTTAATTTTATTGTGTCTTTAAGTCTCAGCTAATTTTATATTTGAAAATTAGAGCCAACTATTTGAGCATTTAGTGAAATCAGAAAACTCCATGTTTTAAGAAATGAAGATTTTTTTTTGCTAAACTATTTTGAATGAATGGAAAATCTTGTTGGAAGGTGGATGCCTCATGGTCAATGTCCGGTTCAAGGCCAGTTCTCATTAGTGTGAATGTTTGCGGTTCTGTTGCTCTGATGAAATTATCGTTCATAGCGTCCACTCCTAGAAAACGGATGTTCGTGGCCCCACAAAGGTAAGATTGCCATCTTTGCACAGCCCTCGCCTTGCACAGTGTTTTCTGTCTGTGCAATGAGTGCTATTTAAAAAAATATATTTTTTATTGATTTTTTACAGAGGGGAAGGGGGAGGGATAGAGAATTAGAAACATTGATGAGAGAGAAACATCGATTAGCTGCCTCCTGCACACCTCCTACTGGGGATGTGCCTGCAACCAAGGCACATGCATCTGACCACAATCGAACCCGGGACCCTTGAGTCCGCAGGCCGATGCTCTATCCACTGAGCCAAACTGGTTAGGGCCAGTGAGTGCTTTTTATGTGGCTTTGAGACTGCTGCCTGGAGGTACCTTCCCATCGCAGAAGCCACGCTCCTTACTGGGGACTATTTACTGGGTTAGGGATTCTTGGGGAAAGCACCAAACTTTTGCAAGATTAGGTCTACAATTTCAGGAAGACTTTCCTTTAGTACATGAAATGTCTCATTTTCTTTGAATTTAGAGTGAATTGGTATTTCCCAGCAAGATTCCGACTGAGCAGCAGTCCTTGATGCTGGTGAAGAGGCTCCTAGCGGTTTCTGTGTCCTGCATCACGTATTTGAGAGGAATATTTCCAGAATGTGCTTATGGATCAAGATATCTAGATGGTAATAGCATGTTTATTTTAAAACTTCCTTTAAGCATAGTTATTTTTACATTGGCTTGCTCTAAAACTATTTTTTTACTTAGAGATTTTGCTTTTTTAATAACAGTTTGATTGAGATATAATTCACACACCTGACAATTCACTCATTTAAATTGCACAATTGAGTGATTTTTAAATGTTCAAAGGGATATGCAACTATCACCACTGTCATTTTTAGTAAATTTTCATTACTCCCAAAGAAACTCCGTACCCATTAAGTCACTCTCGCTTCCCTCAGCTTCCCCTTGTAAGCAACCACCAATCTGCTTCCTGTCTCTATGGGTTTTTCTATTCTGGACATTTCATATAATTGCAACCATATAATATGTGGCCCTTTGTGACTGGTTTATTTCTCTTAGTATAATGTTTTCAAAGCTCATCCATATTGTAGCGTGGATTAGTACTTTATTCTTTTTTATTGATGAATGATACTCCATTAAATGGTCCTGTCACAGTTTATTTATCCATTCATCAATTGATGAATATTTGGGTTGTTTCCACTTTTTGGCTATTATAAATAATGTCACATTTGTGTACAAGTTTTGTGTGGACATCTAAGTGTTATTTTTTTTAAATATTCAATACCTTTGATTAATATAAAATTTTTCCTCAGTTTCTCAAGTATAATTTTACCTGACATTACTCTTACAATGATGAAGTAAATAGATTAAAATATTGTATTATTCATAGCTTTATACAGTGGTAGTGATTGTTCTATTGTAAAAATGCCTAATACAGCCAATTTATATATTATATTGCCCAGCACATATATGTATGCAATATTGTGGCTAATGTTGTGTATCAGCTATGTGTGCGTGATATATTAAGCACTATGTTATGTATGATATTTTGCAATTCACATTAAAGGCCTATGAGTTAGATATTATCCTTGATTTTCAGATAAAGAGCCTGAGACTGAGAGATCTTTTCAGTTCTTTCCACTGTATTACATGTTCCTTCTTTGCAGGGCTCTAATCAGTTAACTTCTTGGCCTTTTACAAGTATTTTATAAGGATAAGCATCATAGCAAATATTTTAACTCTTGGATAACAATGCCGTGAAAGCATTAAGTGTAACTTTAAGTATTCTATAGCTTTTAAAATTGAAAAATTTCAACCTATCAACATGCACCCTTAATCCTTATGTTACCATTTTATAATAAGGATAAAAAGATTATTTCCATATAATCTTTCTTCCTTGTGTACCTTGAAAGGAACTGTGGGTGGTAGGGCTGTCGTGGGCACAGGAGCAGGTCTTGGCCCATCCTCTGTGCTCCCGCCCAGTCCCTCCCGGTGAGGCCCCCAGTCTCCTGTCTGTCAGCAGCTCTGCTCCCACTGCTGCCGCTTCCACAGGCTGATGGCACCAGCCCCACTCCCACCTGCTGAACGCATGGAGCTATTGGGGCCAGCACCAGCAGCAAGTGTGAGTGGAGCTGGTACCATGAGCAGGTGCAAGAGGTGGCAGTTACCTCGATTGCCCCTCAAGAGCAGAGGGAGATGGAGAAGCCCTAAGAGGCAATTGGAGCGGCAGCTGCCTCTTGCATCCACTGATGCGGCGAGCAATCTGGGAGCCATCTGTGGGTGGGAGCAGGTGAGAGCACTGGGTGGGACTGCAGCTCGCAGGAGCAAAGAATTTTCAGTAATCACCAGAGGCTCACCCCAATGACCGCAACCAGCGCCCTGCCATGGTCTGGTACCCCTGCTCACCTGCTCCACCATACTACTGTGGCCAACTCCTGCCATGTTCTGCACTCACCCTCTGGTGGTCAGCACAAGTCACATGGACCGGTTGTTCTGCCATTCGGTCTATTTGTATATTATATAGAACTTGTATTATATTTGTATATTATATAGCCTTGTATTATATAGAACTAGAGGCCCTGTGCATGAAATTTGTGCAAGGGGCATAGCCAGGGCAGCTTGCCTCCTTGCCTTGGCCCTCACAGCTCTGGCTTCATCTGGAAGGTCATCCGCAAAGATGTCTGGGAAGTCGTTTGACTATCCAGTCTAATTAGCATATTACACTTTTAATATTAAACTAGAGGCCCAGTGCACAACATTCGTGCACTGGTGGGGGGGGGAAGGTCCCTCAACCCAGCTTGTGCTCTATCGCAGTACGGGAGCCCTCAGGGCCTAATTCTTAGCACACAGTAAAGGTGGGAAAGGTTCCTGTCACTGCCACTGTACTTGTCAGCCCTCAGCCCAACTTGTGGCTGAGTGGCGCTCCCCCTGTGGGAGCACACTGACCACCAGAGGGCAGCTCCTACATTGAGCGTCTGCCCACTGGTGGTCATTTAGCATCATAGCAACTGGTAGTTCCACCGTTTGGTCGATTTGTGTATTACCCTTTTATTATATAGGATTATTATAGATAATATACAACTAAAGAACATAATCTCCACTTTAAATTTCTAGTTGTTTACTAATCTTAAGTACCTCTAAATTTATATTATAATTTTTATGTTTAGATCTTTGTGTCAAAATTCTGAGAGACGATAAAACTTGTCCAGGAGCTACACAGTTAGTGAAGTGGTAAGTAAAATAATACCTAATAATAAGATTTTTTATTTTTTTATTTTTTATTTATTTAATATATATTTTATTGATTTTGTACAGAGAGAAAGGGAGAGAGATAGAGAGTTAGAAACATCGATGTGAGAGAGTCATCGATCAGCTGCCTCTTGCACACCCCCCACTGGGGAAATGCCCGCAACCAAGGTACATGCCCTTGACCGGAATTGAACCCGGGAACTTTCGTTCCCCAAGCCCACACTCTATGCATTGAGCCAAACCGGTTTCGGCTAATAAGATTTTTTAAAATTAAATCACATTTTTTGTACTTTGGATACATTTCAGTGTTTAACCCAATTTTAGCAATTCCCCTTTAACCTTGGATACTATTTTTGCAGGTCTTTGGATTTTTGCATTAAATTTTTTCTTAATTTTATGCTCCATGTGAGCTTCATTTTCCCATTATTGTTCCCCACAAATAGTAAGTCAGATATTTTACTTTTTATTTTTTTAATATATTTTTTGTTGATTTCAAAGAGGAAGGGAGAGAAGAGAGATATAGAAATATCAATGATGAGAGAGAACCATTGATCGGCTGCCTCCTGCACACCCCACAGTGGGGATCAAGCCTGAAGCCCAGGAATGTGCCCTGACTGGGAATGGAATCATGACCTCCTGGTTCACAGATCAATGCTCAACCACTGAGCCACGCTGGCCAGGCTGAGGCCAGATATTTTATATCTTCCCTTCCGTCCATATCAGCATTTTATATTTCTGCCATTGTTTGTTTTTATTATTTTAAACTAGTTACTAAGACAGGAGCTTTAATAAAAAAATTTTTATATTATTTAGTTATGAGATAATGAGATTTATTAAAAGAATTATTTTCTGGAAATGCATTCAATCTAAAAATGAATCCTTAATTATTTTTTTAGGATGCGAGGATGCTATGATGCTTTACAGAAAAAATATGTAAGTCAATCTCTCTTTATCCTTTTTTCCCATAATTTATTTTACAAATGTAACATTAATTACCATGTAGTAAAACATTAATTTAAACTTACTTGAGCATAGGACAGTTCAAATTACTGAAAAGCCTAAACATTTGATATTTTAAAGACCAATATTTCCTTCATTTAAAACTAATAGAATTACTATATCACAGATTTTGCCAAGACAGTTGTGGTTGTTAACACACATTAATTTACAAAAACAATGAATTAAAAGGTCTTTCAATAGTTTACTAATGCCCAGCCACTGTGGCTCAGTGATTGAGCGTAGATCTATGAACCAGGAGGTCCTGGTTCGCTTCCCAGTCAGGGCACATGCCAGGGGGTTGTAGACTCAATCCCCAGGAGGGGTTGTGCAGGAGGCAGCCCATCAATAATTCTCTCGTTCTTCCTCTCTGAAATCAATAAAAATATTTTTAAATAAATAAATAAAATAGTTTATTCATTAGTTGTACATGCCTTCTATGCTCTTATTTATACTAATAACTTAATCATTTCTTCATTCAAAAATAAATTTCCATTAGTCTAAGTTATATTGTCACAAATTCTGAATTAGTGAAATTTCAATTAATAAAGTTTTAATACAGACCATGAACCTTTTTTATAGTTAGAATATTTTTATATCAACATATACAAAGAAGTGAAATAAAATTGTGAGAAATGTAAAATTTTATCTATGGTCACTAATTTCCCTCATTAAGGCATTAAATATTTAATGTTTATTAAATATTGAGTGCCTATTGTGTGCTAGACACATATTCTGGGTAGGAGCTGGGTAAACTAACAGTGGTCAAAAAAATAAAGAGGGTCCCTTCTATAGAGGGAAAACAGTCAAATAAGTCAAATAAATATAATTAAAAATTTTAGAAAAAAATATGTGGCAAATGAAAGGTGAGGTAACTTTTGATGGGGTGTTCAGAGAAGCTACTGTGAGGAGGTGGGATTTAAGCTGAGACTTAAATGAGAATAAACCAAGCAGGCAATGATGTTAGGGAGAGAGTATTCCTAGCAGAGCAGCAAATTCAGAGCTGGAGAGGAGTTTGGAGAGTTCAAGGAACAAAAAGGTCAGTATGATTGGAGTGCAATGAACAGTGTAGAGTGGCAGGAGATGAGCTTGGAGAGAGAGAGAGGGCAAGAGCATTCACAGCTATGTAGGTAAAGAGTTTGAATTTTACTTTAGGTTCAAATAAAATGCATTTGAAGATATTGAGTAGAAATGTAACATTATTTGATTTATATGTTATCAATAAATTAGAAAACACTCTGGCTGCTATTTAGAGAATATACTGTAGAAGAAGATTGAAATTAAGGAGAATAACACTTTAACCTATTATTACAATACTGGGGTGGGAGGGACAGGAGAAGAACTAGTGGCTTAGACCAGGATAGCAGAAGAAAAGTAAAAAAAAATTTTAAAAAAATAAAAATTAGGATATGTTTCATAGTAGAATTGATTGGACTTAGTGGTAGATTGGTTCTGGAATATTAGCAAAAGATCTAAATCAAGGATGACTCAGATTTTGGCAGGTTACTTGAGTGAATGATTTCCTGTGATTCTCTGTTCTATGGTCTCAAAAGCTTCTTTCCTTTATTAAATGAACAGAACCCTGAATCCTGTATTTTTTCTCCTTTCAAAGTTTGTTTTCACATTGGAAAGCTTTAATGTGTTCTTTCACAATATTTATTTTCCTTGTAACTGGCAGTAATGCTCCTGTTTGCTTAAGCAAATAACATGAATTTTATCCTTCAGTAAGTTAACTATTTTAGGGAATAGAGAAAGATATGTAAAGAATATGTTGCTCTATATGCATCATAGAAAGCCTATTTTCTGCAAAATTATTTCTTATTAGAAATAAATGTTGAAATAGAACTCTTATGATCCATCATGAAAAAACATTTTATACAATAAGAGTAAGATTTTTGTTCTTTGTTGTATTTCAGCTAAGGATTGTTGTTCTAGCTGTAAGTATTTTTAAATTGTTATTTTTTAAAGACTGTCAAATTCTACCTTGCTTAACTAAGTAATACTAAAACTATCAATTAATTATGTCATTTTATTCTAGTAACTAACTGATCTATTCCATGGGAGGAAAGTATCAAATTAATATTTTAGGGGGTTGTTTTGTATTTTATCTTGCTGAGTTCATGCAGTAGTTTAATCTAAAAAACTAATTTAGTTCTCCTTGAATACTTAGCTTTGTCTCACTCAATTGTAAATTACTTTAAAATAGGTATACACCAACCCAGAAGACCCTCAGGTAACTCTGCTTAAGTTACTAAAGAAGCATAATGCTTCTAATATTTAAAAAATAACAAAATTATATAATATCTTATGCTTTTAATTGTGTTTTAATCAATGCACTTTCACATATATTTTCAAGTTTAAACTTCATAAAGACTTTTGAGATAAAACAGGATTTGTATTATCATTTTCAAACAAATTAATACACTTATTACAAGACAGATTATGTGACTGACCTAGGTCACAAAGCCACAGACCATTTGAAATAACTTAAATATCCTGACTACTGGTTCTTTACAGTATTCCTTTTATAGAATTACTAGAGACCTGGTACACTAAATTCTTGCACTTGGGTGGGAGTGAGGGTGTCCCCCAGCCTGGCCTGCACCCTCTTGCAGTCCAAGAGCTCTCAGGGGATGTTCCATTGATGGCTTAGGCCCGCTCCCCAGGCCGGCAGCTGGATATCCTTAATGCTGCCATGGAGATGGGAGAGGCTCCAGCCACCATCACTATGCTCGCCAGCCATGAGCCTGGTTTCATGGGAGTGCACTGACTACCAGGGGGCAGCTCCTGCGTTGAGCATCTGCCCTTTGGTGGTCAGTGCGAGTCATAGCAATAGGTCGTTCTGCTGTTCAGTCGATTTGCATATCAGCTTTTATTATATAGGATGAAAGGGGTTGAGTTTGAGAAAAACAAAACTCCTTCTTAAACTTTGATATTCATCCCAATTCAGTCACATCCACCAGTTCATCTAATAATTCAAGTAGGGATTACAAGAAATGAAAAGAAAAACCAGAAGATAAGAAACTGGGGGTGGAGGGACCTCTTGATTGCCTACTCTTTTTTTAATCTATTTTTTTTATTGATTTTAGAAAGGAAAGGAGAGGGAGAGAGAAACATCAATGATAAGAGAGAATAATTGATCAGCAGCTTCCTGCACTCCCCCTAATGGGAACCAAGCCCACAACCTTGGCATATACCCTTGACAGGAATCGAACCTGGGACCTTTCAGTCCACAGGCCGCAGCTCTATCCATGGAGCCAAATCAGCTAGGGCTGATTGCCTACTCTTATTAGACTCTGTTCTTTGGGGCTTTCTATGTGATATCTCATTAATTCATCACAACCTTTGTGAGGTAACTACCATTATCATCTCTACTTTATAAATAAGAAAACCTAGATACAAGGTTTCTTGCCTATGTTCACAGTGACTGAACCAGAATTTGGACCTAAGAAGTTCAGTTCCTGATCTGAGTGCTTAACCATTACATTATACCTGTTATAACACAGTGTTTTACTCAGTCATGGAGAAGCAGATTTTTTTTTTTTTTTTTTTTTTTTTTTTAAAGAACTGATTCCCTTCCCTCTGGAGCACTGAAATGTAAAGAATGCAATAAAAGTACTAGAGTTTCAAGAGGGCTGGGAGTGTGTCTTTTCGTTAATATTCATGCCTTAATATATATGTCCATGGAGATAAAATCATATGGTCAAAGGATATGATTAGTTGATTGTTCAGAAACTAACTGTTCAGAAATATGTTCATTTATTTTCAGATTTCTTTTTTAATCAAGCAACCTACATGGCTGCTTTTTATTTTTAGATGTTTTATAGTTACACGTTTTTTCTTTCAATAAAAGAGATACCTTGCTGATAAACTAATATCTAATGCTTGTTGTGCTAGGCAGTTCATTAAGGGCTCTAAATAAATTATCCCACTTGATAAATATTGACAACTATCAATGAGATAGGTACTATTTTCAACCCCTTTCATTAGGTGGGGAAACTGAGAATTAGAAAGCTTAAATGGCCCCGCCTTCATGGTTCACTGCTTGAACATTGACCTATGAACCGTGAGCTCATGGCTCAATTCCCTGTCAAGACACATGCCCAGGTTGTGGGCTCAATCCCCAATAGGGAATGTGCAGAAGGCAACCGATCGTTGATTCTCTTTCATAATTTCCTCTCTGAAAGCAATAAAAATACATATATTTTTAGAAAGCATAAATGATTTGCTTGTGGTTACAGTATAGCAAGAATTGAAGGCCTGTACTTTATCGTTCTGCTAAAGTAAGAGATATGCTGCCTCCCTTCCTTATTTGTCTGTCAAGGAATTCCTTCTCTCTGATATATCTAACATACATTGCAATGAATAGGAGAATAAATTTTTCTCCAAGATTGAAGCCCTAACCCCCAAACCATGGTAATCAACTATTGGGACTTTAAAGTTTCAGTGAAGCAATAGGGATTAATATGGCAGAAAAAATTATTAGGTAAACTTGAGGCCCGGTGCATGAAAATTCATGCACTGGAGTGGGGGTCCCTCAGCCCAGCCTGCTCCCTTTCACAGTCCGGGAGCCCTCAGGGGTGGGAGGCAACCTGGCCTCGATCAGGGGAAAGCAGTGCCCCATCACACCTCTGCTGCTGCCATTGCTGGTGGTGCAAGCCTCAGCCGGCCCTGGTTACCTGAGCTTCGGGTGGCCCTAGATGGCTGGGCAGCCAACATCTAAGGCTTGCTTGTGCCTCAGGCATCGGCTGGGCAGCCGCCATTCAAGACTTGCCTGTGCCTCAGGCCAGCCCCGGGGGGCTGAGGAGACTGGGGGACTCTGGAGGCAGGCACTTGGAGTGGCTGGGCCTGCCTGGGGGTGGCCCTGGCCTTGCTGATTTCCTACCCTGCTTCAGGGCTGAGGGGACTGGGCACCGCCATCTTGTGGCTGTGTGTACTGCTGTATTTGAGGGTGTGGCAGTTAATTAGCATATTAGCTCCTTATTGGCTGTAGGCACCACCATTTTTGAGGGTGGGACAGTCAATTAGCATATCTCCTTATTAGCAGTGGGTGCCACCATCTTTGCAATGGCATGAAAGTCAATTAGCATATTCCCTCTTTATTAGCTAGGATATTAAGTCATACAAAAGCAGTATATAGCTACTTGGCTTCCAGTACTATATATCAGATTCATAACTGCAGTGTTTTCTACTTAAGACAATTTCAGAATGTTACCAATTTAAATTCAAGTACAGTGGGAATGGACCAGTCATGGACTTCATAAGGTATTGTCTATAGTTTTCTTTTCCTGTGACAGATTACCATTTATTCATATTAATAATATATAACTAAAATTCAGGATTAATTTGGAACTTTTCAGACATTCCCAATTAACCATCAAGGTGTAGCTGTACCAAATATCCTTGGAGTAGCTGTAAACCAGGATTCTGTGGTTAATTATATGTTATTTTAATGGTGAAACAGAACCAAAGAGTGTGAAAGCTATTGTATCTTGAGTGATTATAAATATAATTAAAATCCAGGATTGGTTTTCTTCAAATATTTTATATAAAATACATGTTTATTTATGTAAAATTAAGATACTAGTTTATAATAATAAATTTTTTATAATAATGACATTTTATGGTTTCAACTTCACAATGCTATAATAGAAATAAGAATCTCAAATAAATGTGAAGCTATGTTATTAGAAGCTACAGGTGTCATAAAATAATGTGATTCTCTTCTATTAACAGTCAAAGCACTGAATCTAGTATGTCATATGCTGACACCAAGAAAGCAAGTATTCTCCTCATTCGCAAGATGTATGTTCTAATGCAAAATCTGGAACCTTTACCTAATGATGTTTGCTTGACCATGAAACTTTTTTACTATGATGAAGGTACTATTTGTAATACATACTGTTTTATTTTTTAAATATATATTTTAATTAATCTCAGAGACAAATAGGGAGGAGAGAGAGAGAGAAACATCAATGATGAGACAGAACCATCACTCAGCTGCCTCCTGTATGCTTTACACTGGGGATTGAGCCTGAAACCTGGGCCTATACTCTGACCGAGAATCAAGCTGTGACCTCCTGGTTCATAGGTCAACACTCAAACACTGAGCCACTATGTCTGGGCTGCAATACATACTGTTTTAGTATTGTTGAAACGATTGGTTTTCATCCCATATGTTTGTAAGAATCTAAATTGTTATATACTTTTTTGAAATCACAAAATTTACATTTAATATCAACATTTGGGGGGAAAAATTGAAAAAATGGGCTTTAAATAATACACAGACTTCTCCACTGATAATAACATTTCTATGTGAGGTACAGTCTTACTCATAATTAAAGAAATGGCCGAAACCAGTTTGGCTCAATGGTAGAGCGTCAGTCTGCGGATTAGAAGGTCCCAGGTTCGATTCCGGTCAAAGGCATGTACCTGGGTTGCGGGCACATCTCCAGTAGGGGGTGTGCAAGAGGCAGCTGGTCGATGTTTCTCTTTCATCGACGTTTCTAGTTCACTATTTCTCCCTTCCTCTCTCTGTAAAAAATCAATAAAAAAATATATTTAAAAATAAGAAAGAAAAATGAAACAGATACCATTTTTCACTTATTAGATCAGAAAAATTTGTAAACATTATTGGCAAGAGTGTGGGGGGGAAGCAGACATTTTTATACACTCTTAAGAGAATATGCATAGGTACAACATTTTTAAATAACAATTTGACAGTATTACAATTTTAAATGCACATTGGCTTTAATCCAAAAATTCTATAGCTAGGAAAATATCTTAGGACTATACTTACACAAATATGTAAGTTATATATATTAAGAATTTTCATTATACTATTGATTAAAACAGGAGCAAACTGGAAACAACTTTGAGTGTCCTTCATTGGAGGATTATGTAAATAAATTATGGTGCATCTATATAATAAAATACTGTGCAAGCTATTAAAAAGAATGCACTGATAGCCTGTCAAGTGTGACTCAGCAGCTGAGCATCAACCCAGGAATCAAGAGGTCATAGTTCGATTCAGAGTCAAGGCACAAGCCTGGGTTGCAGGCTCAATCCCCGGGGAGTAGTGGGAGGGGGCTGCAGGAGGAAGCCGATCATTGGATGTTTCTCTATTATCAGTGTTTCTCCCTCTCCCTCTCCCTCTCCTTCTCCTTCTTCTCTTTACAAATCAGTAAAAACATGAAAAAATTATTTTTAAAAATGTGCTGATAAGTTAGTCAAGAAATATTAAAACATTTAAAAGATGGTAAAAACAGGTTGGCACAAGTATGATCTTATTTGTGTTTTAAGTATATATATATGTGTGTGTGTGTGTGTGTGTGTGTGTGTGAGAATATATATATATGAATATATATGGAATATTATAAATTTTACATGCATAATCTATATTTTCTAAAAGAACATAAAGCAACAACATAAAAACCACTGGCATTTATTAAATAACTGACTATGTGCCAGTCCTGTTCTGAGCATTTTGCACACTTTCTTTCTTTCTTTATTTATTAAAATACATTTTATTGATTTTCACAGAGAGGAAGAGAGAGGGATAGAGAGTAAGAAACATCGATGAGAGAGAATCATCGATCAGCTGCCTCTTGCACACCCCCTACTGGGGATGTGCCCGCAACCAAGGTACTTGCCCTTGACCGGAATCAAACCCGGGACCCTTCAGTCCGCAGGCCGACGCTCTATCCACTGAGCAAAACCAGACCCGGCATTTTGCACACTTTAATTCATTTAATATCCACAATTACCCTATGAGGTATTTCCTGTTATTTTCCCCATTTGACAGATAAGTAAATCAAATCAAGGATGATAAATTATTTTCTCAAGATCACAGTCAGTGAGGTAAAAAAAAAAAAAAGGTTACCTTTAGGAAATAAAATAAGAACTTGGAGCCGAAACCGGTTTGGCTCACCGGATAGAGCATCGGTTTGGGGACTGAAGGGTCCCGGGTTCGATTCCGGTCAAGGGCATGTACCTTGGTTGCGGGCATATCCCAAGTAGGGAGTGTGCAAGAGGCAGCTGATTGATGACTCTCTCATCGATGTTTCTGACTCTCTATCTCTCTCCCTTCCTCTCTGTACAAAATCAATAAAATATATTTTTAAAAAATAAATAAAAAATAAATAAGAACTTGGAGACCATAGGAGGGTGATTTTTACTTTTTATTGTATTTAAAATTTCTTCAATCTGCATCTGTTTTTAATATTTTCTTCAATTTCATGAACAGCACAGTTTCTACTTACTTTTTTGCAGTTACACCCCCAGATTACCAGCCTCCTGGTTTTAAGGATGGTGATTGTGAAGGAGTGATATTTGAAGGGGAGCCTATGTACTTAAATGTGGGAGAAGTCCCAACACCCTTTCACACCTTCAAAGTAAAGGTGACTACCGAGAAAGAACGAATGGAAAATATTGATTCAACTGTATTATTTCCAAACCAGTTAAAAACGCCATTTCAAAAAATTCTCATGGACGAAGATGGTCCAGAAGATGAACAGGAGCAATATACATCTGTAAGTGTATTTAAAGAAATATAAAGTATAGTAGTAATAAATGTTTGTCTCAATGAGGACTTTAATAGCTCTTGTTAATATTTGTATAAATACTGTATCATAAACATAAACTCAAGGTTGGAAGGGACCTTAAAGAAGGTATAGGCTTGTTTTAAAGGACAAATTATAAAAATATACAACTTTCTCAAAATATATGCTGGTTCTAAGAAACCCTAGATCTTGTTGTTTGAGGGCACTAAATTAGAAATGTTCACACAATAAGCTGCCACTTTTATAGCTCAGGAATTTCCACACAGATATTAGCATACACTCTGAATATGCCTCAACCCAGTTTGAAAATTCAAAATGTTTTAATGCTTTTTATCTTTATACAAACAATAGAGGCCCGGTGCACGGATTCATGTACTAGTGAGTTCCCTCAGCCTGGCTTGTGCCCTCTCACAACCCAGGACCCCTTGGGGGATGTCGGACTGCTGGTTTCCTGATCCTCGGCAGTCCGACATCCCCCAACGATGTAGCAGTGCTTGAAGTGGCAAGCGGCCAGGGAGGAGCCCCAGTCCAGGCCGGGTACCAAACAGCTCCCGCTCCCGCTCATCCCAGTTCCGCTGCCGTTTGATAAACTCATTGAGCAGTGCTCTCGCTGTGGGAGCACACTGACCACCCCCAGCTCCTGCGTTGAGTGTCTGCCCCATGATGGTCAGTGTGCATCAAAGCAACCAAACGGTTGGCCAAACGGTAGACAGGTTGCTTATTTAAAAGTGCAACAAGTTGGAATGAAGTCTGGAATGGTCCTAGAGAACCAGCCAACCACCTGACCTTCCCTAATAGTGGGGAGCATAGTTTGGGCTCTGGAGCAGTCTGAAAACCACTGATCTAGTCCAATTCCCCAACTAATGCTGGTACCCTTTTTACAATATTATTAGCTCTGCTTGAATTTCTTTAGGGCCTGGAGAGTCAGTCCTGAAGCAGCCTGGAGTTCCTAGAGGAAAGAAAGTCTTATTGTTGTCCTCTTATACCTAGCACTTAGACTTACAAGTGTGCATTCTCAGTAGTATTGGTTGAATGAATGGATGAATATAAGTATAAAAAAGCCTATGTTGTTTTGCCTCACTTCAAGAAAATAATTTTCTTTAATCTCATCTTTGTTGTTTTCTCATGTCTCATTTTATTCTAAATTGGGACCACAGTTCTGATTATTCTGATTTAGGCTTTGTGCCCACACCCTTACAAATAGAAAAATTTCATTTTCAACCAATACAGTTAAAGAAGAAATATTTCCCCTAAAAACTAAACCGCAGTCTTACTTTATAAACAAATATGTCTGGGATTTATGTAGCATTCTTTAAAATATTTAAAGCTTGGCCCTGGCCCTTGTGGCTCAGTTGGTTTAGTGTTCTTCCATGCACCAGGAGGTCACCGGTTCAATTCCCAGTCAGGACACATGCCTGGGTTGCAAGCTCCATTCCCCACCCTTCCCCACTCCACCCCATGCAGGAGGCAACCTATCTGTTTCTCTCCCTCTCCTTTCTTTCTAAAATCAATAAAAACATATTTTAAAAAAATACTTAAAGTTCTTTGACATATGTCACATAGGGAATAATACTTATAAAGTAGACATTAAACCTGTTCAGAGTATATGCTAACATCTGTGTGGAAATTCCAGAGCTATAGAAGTGGCAGCTTGTTGTGTGAATATGTCTAATTCAGTGCCCTCAAATAGTAAGATCTAAGGGTTCTTAGAACCATTATACATTTTGAGAAAATTATGTATTTTTATCACTTGTCCTCAAAGCAACCCTGTTAAATATTTTATACTTTGGATAAATAAGTTGTTTTGTTATATAATAGTAATTATACGACCACTTTATTTCTAGCAAGGAAGTTGTAGTCTGTTATACTAGAGGCCAGGTGCATAAATTCATGCATAGGTGGGGTCCGGCCCACCTGCCCTGATTGGCTGATGGGGCCTGCCTGGGGGGAGGGGCCGAGAGCAGTTGGTGGGCCCACACCACCCCCTGGTTGAACTCCCAATGGAGGGTGAATTTGCATATTAGCCTTTTATTATATAGGATTTAAACTTCACAGAAAAAAAATTTTGTTTAAATAGGTCTACCAAGTTGTTTTAGTTTCTTTTTGAAATATGTCATTTCCCCCCCCACATATAGGATGATTTTGACATTGAAACAAAAATAGAAGAGCAGAAAAAAAATCCTAGATCTTCTGAACTTGGAGGTATGAAGTTAATGTAAATGTAGATTAATTCACTTCTAACTCAATTTTATGCTTTTAACTTTTTTTTTTTTTTTTTTTTTTCAGAACCAAGTTTAGTTTGTGAAGAAGATGAATTTATGAGATCTAAAGAAGGTCCAGAGTTTTCAGTTTCTCATTCTCAGGTATAAACTTGATAGTTTCATCTTACTTTTAATTTGTTTTGTTTTTCATATTTTTATTTTTTATTGATCCTCACCCAACGATATTTTTTCATTGATTCTTAGAGCTCAGAGAGAGAAACATTTATGTGAGAGAGTCACATCTATTGGTTTTCTTCTGCTTGGGGATCAAGCCTGCAACTGAGGTACATACCTTGACCAGAAATTACTCTGGAACCCTTCAGTCCACAGGCTGACACTCTATCCACTGAGCCAAATCCATTAGGGCCTAACTTTTTTTTTTTTGAGACTTGTTGCTTATGTGTTTATTTAGTTATTTCTCCGATTTTCTTAATCCAGGTCTTTTAGAAGAAAAGAATATTAAGAATACTCATTAACAAAGAATACTCATTAACAAAATTTGGGAATTATATGTTGAAAGTTTTAAGTATAATATATTATGGGTAGATTTATTTAGTAATCTACATACTGTTCATAGAATCTCAATATTTCAGAGCTAGGTAGAATCTTAAGCAATTATTATATATCACCCTTTGTATTTACAAATGGAATAAATAATACATTTTGGTTGCCTTGGAGCAGAACATGTTTAGTTTTGTTTTCCATTTACAGTAAAATCTAGAAGTAATATTTAGATAAAATGAACTTGAAAATGTTATTGATGATTGTCCCCCTTTACACAATCCCTTTTTCCATTGGCAGTGAGCTAAAGTTTTTTTTTTCCAGAAGAGTAGTGCCTGGTGGTGATCATTTGGGACTGTCTCAAATCAATGAATGGTCAACTGTGAACAGTGTCAGTTCCATATCTTTATATTTGTACTTTTTGTGACAGTAAAGACCAACTCAAAATTATTGGTTTCATTGCCTCAACAAACAAGACCCTAAATTTTATATGATTGAATTATTATTATTAATATATTTTATAGATTTTTTACAGAGAGGAAGAGAGAGGGACAGAGAGTCAGAAACATCGATGAGAGAGAAACATCCATCAGCCACCTCCTGCACACCCCCCACTGGGGATGTGCCTGCAACCAAGGTACATGTCCCTAACTGGAATCAAACCTGGGACCTCTGTGTCCACAGCCAACACTCTATCCACTGAGCCAAACCAGTCAGGGCACAATTGAATTATTTTTAAATATATATTTTTATTGATTTCAGGGAGGAAGGGAAAGAGAGAGAGAGTGAGAGAGAAACATCAGTGATAATAGTGGATCGTTGTCTAGGTGCCTCCTGCATCCCTCACCAGGGATCAAGCCTAAAACCCAACTATATGCTCTGACCGCCTGACCCTCTGACCCCCTGACAGAGAATCTATCTGACCATTTGGTTCATAGATCGATACTTAACCATTAAGCATACCGTCCGGACTATTATATAATTGAATTTTAAAACCCCATTATTGTGTTATGAGAACACATGATTCAATAGGATTATATTATGTTATGTTATGTGTAATTATTTTCTTCTCTAGGTTGAGCAGTTAGTCAGTAAAACATCTGAACTTGTTATGTCTGAAAGCAAAACAAGAAGTGGAAAAATTTTTCAGAATAAAATAGTAAGTGTCTCTTTTGATTGTTTTCCATTCTAACCTTATGATTTCCCCCCATATGTGAGTTTATTTTGCTTATGAACACTTCATTTATTGGACCAATATTTAGTAAGCACCTACTATGTGTCAAATTCTTTACTAGGTGTTAAAAATAACACATAGTTTCTGTTCTTAGCTAAAAGTCTAGTAATTGGAAGTCAACAAGCAGTGGTATAAGGTCTTTATAGCTGTCTGAATAAGCTACATAGAGCCACAAAGGAAAGAATGGTTAATTTCATTAAAGATACATTAGAGAGGTATATCCAGAAAAGGCTTTGAGAAGTGCCACTATTATATACCAGTAATATAGACTCCCAAGTAAATGCCATGTTCCATGTTCCATCTTATAAATGGATTATCTTGTTAATAAGACATTAAAAATGAATGTTTTATATACATCTTGTATAAAATGAATCTCATGTTCTTAAACAAAAAGGCAAACACTGCTTTGTTTTAATTTTTGGTATGAGTTGTATTAAATAGAAATTTGTATTTTATTTTAAACCTTTAAGTTACTCTTAAAGGTTCAGAGGTGAAATAAAAGCATTCTGTAAAATATGCAAAATATTATGCCCAAAAATATAAAACAGCGCATTCTAACAGTGGTATGCTGGAATATTTCTCCCAACTCCTCATTCAGTGACATCATGTTGGCAGCTTGAAATTGGACATGATAGAGTATTTTTTAATTTATTTTTTATTTTTTTAATAATAAATCTTTATTGCCGAAACCGGTTTGGCTCAGTAAGGCTGTTTTGTTTTTAAAAAACTTCATATAGTACCTATGGTTAAAAATTGAGTGTTAGTTGTTCTCTGAGAAGTAGCCCATTAGTAATTATTCTCTTTTTTTGGAGGCTAATGGAAATAAACCAGTAAAATCTTCTAAAGCAAATCGGAAGAGATTTCAACTAGAATCTGAAAAAACAGTAAGTCTTATGATAATACATATAATAGGTTGAATAAAAGTATCAGAATATCATTATTATGGATTAAATTGAAGATGACAACTATAATATCCCTTGATATACCTCAGAGCTCTGATATCCAAATCATTTAAAAATACATTTGGTTCTGAAAATGGAATAAGTTTAAAATAAGATACAGTATGTTGGTATATTAATTTTCTCCATGTAAATATATAATGAATGATTCCATGAATTATTTGAAGTAGCTGGAGGAATTTATAAAATAAAATCAGTATCAGAAAAATATGAGAATGAGAAAATGAGAGGAGGAAATGTGCTAATTGACTGTCCCACCCTCAAAAATAGTGGCACCCACAGCCAATAAGAAGGGAATATGCTAATTGACTGTCCACCCTCAAAGATGGCAGCACCTAGTCCCTTCAGCCCCGCCAGGGTGGCAGGTGTGCAGCAAGGCCGGGCCTGCCCCTCCCCCCAGGCAGGTCCAGCCACTCTGTGCACCTGCCTCCAGAGTCCCGCAGACCCCTCATCCCCCAAGCCGTCCAGGGCGGGCCTGAGGTGCAGGTAACCAACACAGGCTGAGCCTTGCACTGTCAGTAGTGGCAGCAGCAGAGGTGTGATGGGGCATCACCTTCCCCTGATCGCCGGGTCACTTCCTGCCCCCGGGGGCTCCTGGACTGTAAAAGGAGGCAGACCGGGCTGAGGGACCGCCCCCCCACTCCAGTGCATGAATTTTCATGCATCAGGCCTCTAGTTTTATTTATATAAAGTTAAAATTGAGTCACAAATTTGAACTTTCTAAGATCAAAACTAAAGCAGAAATATAAATTGCCAAATCCACGTGTTCCTTAAAAATATGGTATTTCTGTCGAAACCGGTTTCGCTCAGTGGTTAGAGCGTTAGCCTGCAGACTGAAAGGTCCCAGGTTCGATTCTGGTCAAGGGCATCTACCTTGGTTGCGGGCACATCCCCAGTAGGCAGTGTGGAAGAGGCAGCTGATCAGTGTTTCTCTCTCATTGATGTTTCTAACTCTATCCCTCTCTCTTCCTCTCTGTAAAAAATCAAAAATATAAAAAAGTTTAAATATCTTAAGAAGAGAATGGAATAACTTGACATTTCACTAATATATTAGATTCTTTCATTTTTCCCAATGTATTAAGCCTTGATTTCTCTCCCTGCAAAATCATAATTCAATTTGTATCATTTGTAAGTTTCTTCCAGAAAAAATTGATGTTCAGTAATTCAGGGAATCTAGTTAGGAATTTTTCTAGTTTGTCATCCAAGTCATTCAAAAATGTACATTGAATGTCTACTATTATTAGGCACTGCTAAGTACCAGGGATATAAAAACAAAACATGATTTAAATCTTACATTGTGCCTAGATAGAATGTTTATCTGCAGCTCATTTTATGATCCATTTTCCCTCTCTATCCCCCAAAATATTTTACTATTTTGAAAGCATAATCTTAACTCTATTTACCTATTCCAACAATCCTTATAATTTGCAAATATGTACTTTTCAGCAGCCATCAGAAGATTTAAATATGTCAATAACAAAATTTACCTTACTTTTAAAGAACCCAGGTAACCTACTTTAGGAGGACAGAGATAGGTATAATTTTTTAAAAAGAAGAAGAAACTCAGAAACATAAAAATATATAAAATTAAAGACACTTAAACTGTAAAATACCGGTTCTTACTAGTTGCTTTCTTTTGACAGGTTCTTCATCACATTGACTCTGCTAGTCAAGAGTCAGTGCCAAAAAAAAGAAAGTTTAGTGAACCAAAGGAAGATATATAAAAATTATTTTTCTTCTGCATGATTGTAAAGTTCATCTCTACATTTAAAGGACAGTATATTCCTATTTTAAGGTGTGTTTACCCTATCTCTGGAAATTTATATGTAGTCTTAAGCAGTTAGTACACTAAAATGAATTCTTAGCTATCATATTGTGATCCTTAAACTTACCTAAGACAAATCCAATAGAACTTTTTAATAAAACCAAAAGAACCATTGTCATAATTGATTCTGTTTATTATCTACTCAATATTAATCTATCTTCCATTTTGGTGAACACTTTCTTTAAACAAACATTAATTTTTTAAGGTCCTCTAAAGCCATTTTGAAACAATGTTTATTTTGCTGTTATATTTTGGAAGAAATTAACTTTTTACTTATGTTAAAACTATACCATTTAACTGGTTTTGTTTGCAACTGGTTTTGTTATTAAAACAATGTTCTTCAATACTTGGATATAGTGTATTAACATAATAATATATAATGTATAATTGAATATTGGTACTTTATCTTTTTTTAAAAAAATTTTACTATAAGATAAAATAACTGATTTTAAAAGTTTGGCATTTTGCAGAGCATAAATAAAATATTGTTAAGCATCTATATTCTTTCTTGACTTCCAATTTTTATATAATTAGCATGGTTAGGCACCAATTTCGAGATCATTTTGGTAGATATTACTTTGCAAGAGTTGGGCACACTTTCTAGAATTTTTGAGTGGTGGTGTGAAAGACACTGTGCCCTTAGTGAGAAACCCTGGACATAGTTCCAGCCTTGACCATTTCCTTTGCTTTAGAAACAGAAGACTTAAAACTTGGTCTGCTTGCCTCTTGCAGTTTCAGCAGACATATTCTAAAAACTTACATTATTCATAGTTTTACAGTAACAAGCATTAAATAGAGAATTTAGAAGTGTACCCATCCTGTTTAATGTAAACCAAATAAAGGTCCACAAACTGAGTCACATCAGGCTTTTTTGGAACAGGATAATTAAGAATAAGCTAATTGTCAAACGCAACCAATTTTTAAATGTTCATTTATTATTAGCTTTATTGTATCCCAACACATTTCACGTCATTATACTTGTATACACTGTCACACTGAGATTGACCAACAGGAACCGCTGTCCCCCGGCGGTTGGAGCTGGCTTACTTAACATTTGGATTGGCCGGTTCGATGGGGTTTGGGAGTGCAGGCCTCTCCTCTGTTCCACCGAGGTTCCTTCATTGGATTGACCAGCTGTCAGGTTGAACCCAAACCTGCCTCCTTTTAGTGGTGTTTGTCTGGATCGCAACACAATAGCGGGGTGGCGGGGTGGGGGTGAGAGCCTCCCCTCGTAAACTCCAATTGGCTGGACTTTACCAGGGTGGTTTCTGATTGGTCCAATGAAGAAACACCAAGGTAGGTTGCCTAGTGATCCTGAGGAAGCTGATGTGTTATTCCTTTTCTGCAGCGAAGGATCAGGAAGTTTGTGCTCTTTCCTTGGCTGGGAAGTTTTTCACCTACTAGAACAAGGGTAGGGGATTGGGGTGGAGGACAGGTGTTTTCCTAAAGTAGAGTGCAAGCTGCCGCCTCCCTCGGGCCGTGACCCAGGAGAAACGTCAGGTAAGCAACCGGGGAAATGCATTTCGTAACGTAAAAAAATAACCAAAAAACCTCCAATTTTTTATTTTATGGGGAAAGGGTGGTTTTGACTTATTTAATTTTTTTGCCTTAAAAAAATAGGATTTTTAACTAGCAAATGTCCAGGGGGAGGGGAGATTCATTTCTCAAAGAAAATCCCTCCCCTTCTCTCCCCCAACCCCCCTAAGATTTAAAGTTTCTTGGACTGGGTTAAGAAATAAGCCCTATTCACAGTGGCAGATAAGTTTAATGCCCTTAAGCAATTTATTTATTTCATGGTTCTCTTCGTCCTTCACTCTTCTTTTCACCTCCTACCAAGAATTATATTTGAAATATAATTCTGTACAGAGTCTTTTGTAAGTCACTTAAAATTTGTATTTCTATTTTAAATGTTCACATGCATTTCTGAGTATTCATTTTAATCAGTATATATTTATTGAGCAGTTACAACGTTAAAGACCTTGTGCTAGTTGCTATGGAGAATAAAAAAAAAAAAGCTAAGAAGACAATATTTCTGCCCTCAAGAAGTTTACAGTTGAGAGACAGCCAGACTATAATAAATATTTTAAAGTAAGTAAGTATAAATAAAGTTTTGAAAGTACAGCTGAGGGAGAGACCAATTCTGACCATGGGACATGGGTAATGGAGGAGAATCACTTAAGCCTCAATAGACCTTTTAAGAATGAGTAGAATTAAAGAGTAGGGGGGAAAGGATTGTACAGAGGATAAGAGGTGAAAGACATGGCATGTGTTTGAGAAATTGTTCATAATATGGAATTGGAAGTAATGGAAAATAATTGAGAAATGATAGAATGGGATTCAGTCACAGAGGTTCCTGAATGCACTCTTTTTTCTTTTTTTCTTTTCTAATCCTCTCTCAAGGATATGTTTTACTGATTTCAGAGAGAGGGGGAAGGAAGAGAGAGAAAGAGAGAAACATCAATGGTCTCCTTTAAGTGCTCCCACTGGGGATGGAACCTGCAACCTTTCTATGCATAGAAGGACACTCCAACCAACTTAAGCCTCACTGGCCAGGGCTTGAATGCATTCTTTTGATGTTGCAAAATATATTATTTTAAACAATTGTTGATTAAAAAAAAAAGAATTTATTGTTTATCATCTTAATAACTGGCATTTAGGTTTATCTCAAAGTGAGCTAACTTAAACTTGATTACAGATGACAGTGCACTTTCTCTTGACTAGATTTTAAAACAAATATAGTGCTTGGTATAAAAGGGTATGTGTTTTGATTTTTTTTTAAAGGAATTTGCTAATCTTTTAACATTCTCTTGCCAGTATTTTTGTTTGTTTGTAGCTGTTTCGTTTGCGAGATGGATAGAGATGAAAGTTTTCTGGAATGACCACACATGATCTTCTGAGTGTTATTCTCTAAAGTAGTGATTTCCTAAGTGAGTTCATGAACTGAGTCATTACTGTTTGGGAAGAAAATATAAGAACATCTATTTCTATTTAGTTTTCTTTAATTTTTTACTTTATCGTTTTTGTGTATGTTATATAACATGCCACTGGATGTTTATAGAAGTTTTATATAAATTATATGCATATTTGGACTGAATGCTCACAATTTTTTGCTGTCCCATATTATTTAACTTGGGGAGGATCCATTTCGTGAAAGAGGAGTCACAATGATAGACAGTCACTCCTAGGTTATATATTATGCACAAGAAATCAACAGGTTTAAAAGATGATTATTCCTACTGGACTTTAAAATTACTGATTTTGATTTCTTGCCAGTGCCTTCTGTGTATTTAAGTTAGGTACTTTGGAAGATATTGAATTATGTTACCCACTTAATTTTTCTGGTCATTACTCTTTCTTTCTCTAAGTTATAAATATTTCTTATATACATTTTGGTATGCATGTATGAGTATTTATATATATTTATTTACATAAGCACACTATAAGTATTTTTCATCACCCTTCCAGAAATAGTTCAGAATGACCACTTTAACTCACCGTGCCCGTCGTATGGAAGTAGGCAAGAACTCTGAAAAGAAGGCAGAAAGTGAGGAAGATACTAATCAAGACAGGAGTTCAGACAATGAAGACTCTGGAGACTCTAAGGATATTCGCCTCACCCTTATGGAAGAAGTATTGCTCCTGGGACTAAAAGATAAAGAGGTATTGTAGTTGGGTCAGCTGGGTCATTCCCAAGGCTTAAATACTGAAATGTTTTTAGGAAGTAATAGAATAGAATATTTGCATTAATGTTAAGTTGGCCTTAGAATTACGCTGTGGACATTTAGTGCGGAATGAGAAATTTTGGAGGGTAGCTGATACTTGGAGGGTAAAATCCAGAAGTGCACTACTTGAAATGTAATTTAATATCAAAATTATTCCAAAATTTTAGAAGATACAAGAGAAGATATAACACAGTGTAAAGTTTTTGTACTTACAGTTTCCCAAGTGATAATGATACTGAAATATCCTCTTATTAAATTAAGAAAGAAGGCCCAGCCCTAGCCCGGTGGCTCAGTTGGAGCACTGTTCCCTGCACCAAAAGGTTGCAGGTTCGATTCCTATCAAGGCACATACCTAAGTTTTGGGTTTGATCCTCAGTCGGGGTTCCTGCAGGAGGTTGCTACTGATGTTTCTCTCTCATTTTGATGTTTTTCTCTCTCTCTTTCTACCTTTGTCTTTCTTTCTCCCTTCCTCTCTCCATCCCCTCAGGTGAGGATTTAAAAAAAAAAGATCAAATTGCCTGAAACCGGTTTGGCTCAATGGATAGAGCATCAGCCTGTGGACTGAAAGGTCCCACGTTCAATTCCGGTCAAGGGCATGTACCTTGGTTGCAGGCACATCTCCAGTAGGGGATGTACAGGAAGCAGCTGATCGATGATTCTCTCTCATCGATGTTTCTAACAATCTATCCCTCTCCCTTCCTCTCTGTAAAAAAATCAATAAAATATATATTTTTTAAAATTAAAATTAAAAAAGGTCAAATAAATGAAAAAGCAAAACTGATTCGCTAAAAGAATGTCAGAGTAGGTCTGAAGATTAGATGGTATAAATACTATTCTGAAAGAGGAAACATTCACTGACTGTAGAAGCATAGCATATTAGAACTAGTTTTAGTTTTGAATAGAAATTATTAATTTCCTGTTGACCCTAAATACTGGATTTTTGCTTTTGTCCTGTAGAGAAACTGCCTTTGGACTTGTCTTCGTTTGTCTAAATTTATAATAGTTGATATAAGCTTAGGGAAGTAGAATTAAAAAATAAAGGAGCTCATTTAGAGCTATAATCATAGTGGGTACTCAACATATTGGTGAGATACTGTACAAAGATGGGCAAATAAAAATTACCTTTCTAATTGTTCTAATTTCATTTTTTAATATGCTAAATTAAGTTTTTAGCTTTCAGTTGTCTCAGGAAGACTAAAAAAGAATAAATCCTTAAGTGCAAATAAACAGAAGAGATCAAACCTTTGGATATGTTAAAGTAGTAGTAGTAGTAGTTTTCCAAAATGCCAGTTGCATAACTGTCTCTAAAAATATTACATTGATTTCCAGTTCTCATTTTCTTCTCATTTCCCAAAGTAGATTTATTTAATCAATATTTAGTGTGATTGGGGACACCAATTATGTGCTTAGTGTTATGCAAATACTAAAGTAAATATAAAATAGTATAAATGAAAAAAATAAATAAATAAAATAGTCTAAATGTTCCCTGCCTCCAAGAAATTTATATTCTAACTGGAGATAAAAGTTAACCCAAAGAATCATCAGCAGTAAAATGGATAAAAATTGTATATCTACACTACCAATAAAAGAGAAAGATGCAAATTGATTGTACCTTCACAATGCCCACCAGCCAATCAGGAGTTGGCATGCAAATTAACCCAACTAAGATGTGGGGGGTTGGGGGGGACGGGATGCAGGTGTTCTGCACAGCCCCAGCTGCTCTGGGCCTCTGGGCAGCATGGGAAGGCGGAAAGGTGGCTCTGGGCCAGAGCAAAGACGGTGCCAGCAGCCAGTGGAGGGAAGGCCCATTTTTGCACAAATCTTCGTGCATCAGGCCTCTAGTTTATTTAATTAAGTGTAAGTATAGCTCTAACTAGTTTGGCTCAGTGGATAGAGCCTCAACCTGTAGACTGAAGGGTCCCAGTTTCAATCCCAGTCAAGGGCACATGTCTGTTTGCACGTTCAATCCCCAGTGTGGGGCATGCAGGAGGCAGCCGATCAATGGTTCTCTTTCATCATTGATGTTTCTATCTCTCTCTCTCCCCCTCTCCCTTCCTCTCTAAAATCAATAAAAATATATTAAATGAATGAGTATATTTTTAGAATGAAATGAACATTTTTACAAAATATGTATAATTCTCATATAATGTTCAGTAAAGGAATCTAAACACAAAATATCACATACTATATGAATCTATATATAAAAAAAAAAAAACTAGTATTTGGGGTTGCATGTTAGACATGGTAAAAATATAAAGAACAGCAGGAAGGGGTTACCATAGTTGTTAGGAGAATGGTTACATTTTTGTGGGAGGGGAGAGGAGGTTTTAGTCATTAGAAAAGCGAATGAGGGGGTTTTCTAGATACTAGTAGTTTTCCGTGGGATATTTCATGAATATTGACTTAGGGATAATTCATTGTTATCTTTTGTGTACTCCTGTGTGTGCATTACATTTCACAATTCAAAAGATTTTTAAAGAAAAACAAGTCTTTCCATGTTAGAACAATAAAAGCCAAGGGAGTTGAAGGGAAGAGAGATCATCATGTGTTGGAATAATCTGGGGAATAATAAAAGGGAGTAAAACAAGCTGGGTCTTTAAGAAATGGATAAGATTAATAGAAATGGCCAAAACCAGTTTGGCTCAGTGGATAGAGCATTGGCCTGCAGATTGAAGGGTCCCAGGTTCGATTCGGGTCAAGGACATGTATCTGGGTTTCAGGCACATCTCCAGTGGGGGGTGCGCAGGAAGTGGCTGATCAATGATTCTCTCTCATTGATGTTTCTAACTCTCTATCCCTCTCCCTTCCTCTCTGTAAAAAATCAATAATATATATATATATATTATAAAAAGATTAATAGAAATGGTGAGAAGGGAATACATTGTGGATGAGGGGAATCTAAGCAAAGATATCATGAACTTGATGAGTTTGGAGTTTACTGAGTAACCAGTATGACTGAAGTGGGCTCTGTTCTTGAAGAACAATGAGAATCAAAATTGATAACTAGATTCAGAGTATGGAGGATTTTGAGTTCTAAGCAGAGACATTTAGGCTCTTTCATTTAAGCAAAAGAGCAAAGTTCATTTCATTGTTGTGTCCAAATTGAGGACTTAGTGATATTGTTGCTCTATTTTGTTTCTGAGTTTATGTTTTACTATGTATTTTTTCTTGTTTTACATGGTTTGAATTTGTGACATGTCAAAGAAAAATCCTACTGGTAAATGTTAAACTTTGTATTCCAAAGTCCCAAAATTAACTTTTGCTGAAGATTTCCATTAGACTCTCTGTTTCTAAATCAATACTATAATTTTAAAAAATTACATCATCTCAAAAGCATGTTAAGTGGAAGATAATACAAAAAGATTAATACTTCAAGAATTATAGGCCTAGAAAGGAATGAGAGAAGGCCATATAGTCAAATTGCTTTTCAAATATTAGTCATTCCTTTCTTCAGATTCTGCTGCATAGTGGCCACAGACTTGTTTTAAAATATTAAGCTTCATTGTCTTTGAAAATAATCAGCAAAATTAAATAAATGTTGAAGAATTTAACCTTTCAAGTACACTTAAAATTAAATGATATCTCAGTTCCATAACACTGACCTCAACTGAGAAAATTAAATTTGAGTCCCAGCCTGACTAAAACAAAATAGATTTCCTGTTATAGCCTGTGATAAGAATTTTGCTATAGATATTATTGATTGATGGACAAATAATGTTTTAATTAAATTGCTAGTATATTCAAAACTTCCCTTTATGAGAATCTTTATTATTAAATTACCTGAAAGAGGAGTGAGCCTATTAATGCTTTTTAAAAAAATATATTTTATTGATTTTTTACAGAGAGGAATAGAGAGTTAGAAACATCGATGAGAGAGAATCATCGATCAGCTGCCTCTTGCACACCCCCTACTGGGGATGTGCCTGCAACCAAGGTACATGCCCTTGACCGGAATCGAACCTGGGACCTTTCAGTCCGCAGACCGACGCTCTACCACTGAGCCAAACCAGTTTCAGCCTATTAATGCTTTTGATGGTTATACTTTTAGTTTATGAATAATATCTTTTTAACCTTTTTCCCTGTTTTGCAAAGCTTTCTCCTAGTATTGCCATGTATTGAATACTTACTATGCATTGGGACATAAAAACTTTTCATCATGCGGGCTCAATCCCCAGTAGGGGATGTGCAGAAGGCAGCTGATCAATGATTCTCTCATCATTGATGTTTCCATCTCTCTCCCTCTTCCTTCCTCTTTGAAATCAACACACACACACACACACACACATATATATGTGTGTGTGTGTGTGGGTGTGTGTGTGTGTGTGTGTGTGTGTGTGTATATATATATATATATATATATATATATATATATATATATATGGCTAATATGTGTTCACTATCCGACTGGTCACTATGATATGCACTGAACACAAGAAAGCAGACACTCAACACAGAGATACCGAGCGGCAGTGACTTGGCAGCGGTGGTTCACAGGTAATGCACCTAAAACCAGAGAGGAGGGAACCTGATTCCTTGTGGGACCATGCAATTCCACCTTCAGCCGTGGGTTATGTTGTTGCTAGGGCACTGTCAGCCCCAAATCTGGTTTACTGCACACTTGCTTTTGCATTCCACACCCTGTACAACACCAACTTTGCAGAGTTTCCTCTCCTACTCTGGACCCCCTCGGGGGATGTTGGAGAGCCGGTTTCAGCCTGATCCTTGCAGGCCAGGCCGAGGGACCCCACCTGCTGGAGGGACCCCATTTACTCTGCAGATGTCCGGGAGAACTGTGGGAGATTGGCTCCAAGATGTGTCTGGCCCATCTCACCCAGTCCTGGCCTGCCAGCCACCTTCTAATTAATTTCCTTTCAATGTGCACGAATCTGTACCAGGTCATTAGTAAAAATATATTTTAAAATAGTCTGTGGAGAGAGA